TAGAATAGAATAGAATAGAATAGAATAGAATAGAATAGAATAGAATAGAATTCTTTATTGTCCAACAGTGATTGGACACACAAGGAATTTGTCTTTGGTGCATATACTAAAAGGAAAAAAAAAGAAAAAAAATACATTCATCAAGAATCATAAGGTATCTTAGTGATGGCCATATGTACTAATAAGCAATCAAGCAATCAAATCATACTAGGAAACAAACAGAACAATATAAATCGTAAAAATGCAAACAACATGGTTATAGTCATAAGGAGGAGATAAATACTAGTAAATAGTTTGACAGTGTTGAGGGAATTATTTGTTTAGCAGAGTGATGGTGTTTGGGAAAAAACTGTCCTTGTGTCTAGTAGTTCTGGTGTGCAGTGCTCTATACCATCGTTTTGAGGGTCAGAGTTGAAACAGTTTATGTCCAGGATACGAGGGGTCTGTAAATATTTTCTCAGCCCTCTTTTTGACTTGTGCAGTATACAGGTCCTCAGTATACAGTATACAGGTCCAGTGTACAGGAAGGCAGGTTAGTAGCATTTTTTTTTTCTGCAGTCCTAACTATCCGTTGAAGTCTTGTTTGGTTGCAGAGCCAGACAGGTGCAGATCAGGTTCAGCCGGTTCTTTCTGGCTCAGGCAAATCGGTAGCAGCGGCTGCGGGAGGCTCTGCCCACCTGTGCGGACATCATGACGTTGCTTTTTTAAAGCCTCTGTGCATGTGCAGAAGGCTTTGCGCATGCGCTGATGACAGGCACTTTTGTGAACCGGTAGGGAAGTTAAGTGAATTTCCCCCCGGTGCAGATGACAGACTCAATAGTTCCTCTGTAGAACTGAATCAGCAGCTCCTTGGGCAGTTTGAGCTTTTTGAGTTGGTGCAGAAAGAACATTCTTTGTTGTGCTTTTTTGATGACGTTTTGATGTTTATTTATTTATTTATTTATTTATTTATTTATTTATTTATTTATTTATTTATTTATTTATTAAATTTATATACCGCCCTATTCCTAAGGGACTCAGGGCGGTGAACAGCGAACGATAAAAATACATGTAATACAAACGTTAATAATAAAAAACCAATTAAAATATACTAAACATTCTGGTCCTAGATAATTCAAGACATCCCAGTTTAAAATAAAATCAAAAAGCAATATAAAGGGAAAGTTAGCCCAGGCCGGCCTGCTGAAACAGGAATGTTTTGAGGGCACGGCGGAAAGTGCGCAGATCCGGAATCTTCTGTATCTCTGGGGGGAGCTCGTTCCAGATGGTGGGTGCCCCCACAGAAAAGGCTCTCCCCCTGGGGGCCGCCAGTCGACATTGTTTGGCTGACGGCACCCTGAGAAGCCCCTCTCTATGGGAGCGTACTGGGCGGTGAGAGGCTATTGGTGGCAGAAGGCGGTCTCGTAAGTACCCCGGTCCTAAGCCATGGAGCGCTCTAAAGGTGGTAACTAAGACCTTGAAGCGCACCCAGAAGACCACAGGGAGCCAGTGCAGCTCGCGCAGGAGGGGAGCCACATGGGAGCGCCATGCTGCTCCCATAACTACCCGCGCGGCCGCATTCTGGACCAGCTGGAGCCTCCGGGTGCTCTTCAAGGGGAGCCCCATGTAGAGAGCATTACAGTAGTCCAGGCGTGAAGTGACGAGGGCATGAGTGACCGTTTTTAACGAGTCCCGATCCAGAAAGGGACGCAACTGGCGAATCAGGCGAACCTGATAAAAAGACCTCCCGGCCACAGCTGTCAAGTGTTCTTCTAAAGACAGCCGTGAGTCCAAGAGGACGCCTAAGTTGCGAACCCTCTCCATGGGGGGCAATGACTCATCCCCAATAGTCAGTGATGGCACCAATTGACTGTATCGGGACGTCGGAAACCACAGCCACTCGGTCTTGGATGGGTTGAGCCTGAGTCTGTTCCTCCCCATCCAGATCCATACAGCCTCCAGGCACTGGGACATCACTTTAAGGGCATCATTGGGGTGGTCCGGGGTGGAGATGTATAGCTGAGTATCATCAGCATACTGATGATACTTCACCCCAAAACCACGTTAGCTGTCCATTTTAGATCTTGCAATATGGTAGAACCTAGAAACTTGAAGGTCTCTACTGTTGATACTGTGTTGTCTAGTATTGTAAGAGGTGGAAGTATGGAAGGGTTTCTCCTGAAGTCTACCACCATTTCTATGGTTTTGAGTGTGTTTAGTTCCAGGTTGTTCTGGTCGCACCACAAGGCTAGTTGTTCAACCTCCTATCTGTATGCAGATTCGTCATTGTCTTGAATGAGACCAATCACTGTTGTATCATCCAAGCCTTATTTCAGGGTTCAAGAAAATATAAGACAGGGTCTTATTTTTGGGGAAACACGGTAATGCAGCCTTAGTGAATAGTTTGACAGTGTTGAGGGCATTATTTGTTTAGCAGAGTGATGGCATTTGGGAAAAAACTGTTCTTGTGTCTAGTTGTCTTGATGTGCAGTACTCTATACCGTCGTTTTGAGGATTAGAAGGGTTAGTTAGAAGAATATCTGGAATGATGGTATTGAATGCTGAGCTGAAGTCTACAAAGAGAATCCTTGCATAGGTCTTTGGAGATTCAAGATGTTGTAGGATGTAGTGCAGAGTCATATTAACAGCATCATCTGTCAATCTATTTGCTCGGTAGGTAGTATATATAAGTCTAAGTGTCTTTGGTAGTGCTCGGTGTAGCTCATCAAGAGGGGCGAGGCTACTGACTCGCAAGTAGCTGGATGGCCACCATTGCTCCTGCCTCTTTATATATATATATAAAGTTTATTGTCATTGTACGCATATATTCACAGTATACCCATACAATGAAATTCACATAACACCCAGAGACCAAGCCCAACACACATAACAATCCCCAGACACACACCCCACACACCAAAAATTCCCCACCCCTAAACCACCCAAGCATCCACACAGCAGACCAAATAATGCTGTCCAACAGCTCACTGATGGTGGCCCTTTAGTTCATTGCTGAGTGCAATTATAACTCTGGGATAAAAACTATTCAGAAGACATGTGGTCTGAGTTTTAATTGTGGACAGAAGGCAACTGTCCAAAAAGATTGTAAGTAGGATGGGAAGAGTCTCTGAGAATGTTGTGCAACTTCCTCAAATAGCGAGATGCGAAGATGTCATCCAGGGCTGGTAGCTGGAGCCCGATGATATTCTGGGCAGTTTTAATAATTGAGCCGAGGTGGCACAGTGGTTAGAGTGCAGTACTGCAGCTACTTCAGCTGACTGCTAGTTCAGCAGATCAGCGGATCAAATCTCATCGGCTCAAGGTTGACTCAGCCTTCCATCCTTCCGAGGTGGGTAAAATGAGGACCCAAATTGTTGGGGGCAATATGCTATTTAGTATACTGTCTTTGGGGTAAGCCGCCCAGAGTCCTCAGAGAGTGGGTGGTATAGAAATATGACTAATAAAATAAAATAAATAAATAATTCTCTGTAGAGCTTTTATGTCCGCTGCAGAGCTGCTCCCATACCATGGAGGAATGCCATATGTCAAGACACTTTCAATGGTGCTGTGATAGTAGGATAGAAGAAGATGCTGAGATAGATTTATCTTCCTGAGCATTCTCTGCCTCTTCTCAGATCAGACGGAGGAGGCAGTTCCTTCTCATCCATGCTGGCTGGTTGCAGCTGCATGCACTCTCCTCCCGAGACCCTGGGGCTGTCCTGCTGCAGCTGTCTCTCGACCGTCTCAGCACAGCTGGCTGCTCGTCTGATTGCTCCCCCTGCAGCCATTCCACCATGCCTGGTCTTGCTGATGCCAGCTCAGGGCCACCGTCCACCTCTGGGCATGCTACCACCCCCCACCCTGTAAGGGGAATGGGACAACTCGCAACAGCCAAGTCATCCTGTGCAACTTGCTATGGCCAGCCCGTCACAACAAACTTGCCATGGGACAACTTTCCACGGCCAGCTCGCCACGGGACAACTTGCTGCAGGACAATTCAATAATTCAATTTAATTATTTAAAATAATGTTAAAAATATTTTAATTTTTGTCATTTGTATTTCATTTTCTTTTGGCATCCTTTATTTAATGATCCCGTCCCACCATTTCTTTGATATTTGTGTAACTCTTGTCCTGCAGCGAGTTGTCCAGTGGCAATTTGGCCATGGTGAATTGTCCCACAGTGAGTTGGTGTGGAGACTTTCCCACGGCAAGTTGTCCTAGACCCTTCTGACGTGCCTGGGACCGGCTTTAGTTTAGGGTGAAATACACCTGGATGGCATTTAGGTCAAACTGTTGTGGAAAACCACTACTTATCTCAGCATATTGTGAGAACCTTAGCATCGCTTTGGAGGTCAATTGGTTGTGCAGTATGAACACAGCAATTCTATTTTGTTGGGCATATTGTGTAAATCCAGCCAGTGTCAAGTTTTGTTGGCAGCAACCGGCAAATGACTAAAAGGATATATTTACTGATTATCCTAAGCTTATGTTGGCAATGGGGACCAGAACTGCCATCAGTAAGTGACTTGATCACAGAGTATGACATCACGTGACCATGCACTTAGCCAGGGCAAGGCTGGCTGTTGTCATAAAATGAGAGCCTCAACTTCTGACTTCCTGCTGGCTTCCCCATTGACTTTGCTTTTGGAAAGCTGGCAAGGAACATCAGAAATTGTAACCATGTGACGGTAGGGACACTGCAATGGCCCAAACTCAGAGGACTGTGTCATAAGCCCCCCTTCCTTCAGCATTGTTTGAATGGTCATTGAATGACTGACGTAACGCAAGGAAACTTGAACTCCTTATTTTTTTCTTCTTCTAAGACTAGAAACTGTACTTTTTCCCACTCTAGAAGTAAGATGTTCAGGTGACTAATTTCCACCCCAACGTATTTTTGCAGCCTTGTCTTGGTCTTGTAAGTTTGTGCTGGGATTTCAGAACCTGTCAAAATAGTTTGAAGCAGAGCAGCAGTGTAGCCAAAGAACTGCCCCCTGTTGAAGCTCTTTCGTTTCCTCCTAGGTGAGAGAGGTGAAAAAGAAAGATCCCTTTGAAGAAAGCGGGTTGAACCTGAGTCCCACTGCAGCGGAAGCCAAAGAGAGAGTGCGTGCCAAGAGGGTGAACAAGAGAGCGCCTCAGATGGACTGGAACAAGAAGCGGGAGATTTTCAGCAACTTCTGAACCCACCGAGGGGCCCGTTTCCCTTCCGGCTCCTCCTGCACGGAGACATTTGAAAGGTGCACAACTTGTGTCCCATCCCGACGGACAGGGCCACAACGCACTCCATGCGCCACATTTTTCCACAGGCAAGGCGAATTCACTCTGATGGCGGCAAGCAAAAGGGAAGGCGAAGAAGGTGGGAGGGAGAGAGAAACCTCTTGCAGTTTGTATTAATTATGGATCATTTAACTGGCAATATTAGAATATATTATTTATAGGACCATTTTTATATAAGGAATTGTTTGAGTTGCTTTTCTTCTCCATTTGCGTTTAGATATTTTAAAATATTTTTACATTCCAAATCAGCACCTTTCCTTTCCATTTAGCTGAAAGCTAGAGTTTCTACTACTATGGACTGCAGTGTTAACAACTTCAGAAATGGATTAGCCAACTATTCCTTGATTGTGACTCTTTCGGTTCTAAGTTTGGAGTTTATTTTTTCCATACTTTATCTTCAGTACTTTATTTTTTTCAGTACTTTATTCAGTTAGCACTTGAAATTCCCTTGTTTTTAGCATAGCAGATCTTTTTCTTTCCAGTCCTTTTTCAGACCCATAACTTAGCAAGTACAAGATTTTTATGTTACAAAATACCACAGACGATTACAAGGACAGAGATCATCAGCTGTCAAGCCCACCTCTTAAGGACCCCTACGTGAAACCTGTCATTTATTAAGGGATTGCAATCTGAATTCATTTTTGTTATAACAGAGTCACTCAATAATGAAATGGATGGCCTATGAAGTTATAAAGTAAAAAAAAATAGAATACACTTTTTAGTGAGACTTGAGAGACGTATGAGAAAAAAGTTCCTTCAAGAATGAAATTCTTGCTGGTAAGCAAGAAACATCTCAAGGTGAATTTCATCTCTATTATTTTTAGGACATTAATTTTGATTTTGCTGATCTTTCAGGAGCTGTGAGGCAGCCAGCCACCCTTTCAGCTTGCAACCTACAGTAGAAGCCTTTTTCTGTCCCCAGAAATGTTGACAGGGTTTGGTCTCAGGTGGGACTAATCTTCACACAGGTGGTAAACATGATTGTGAATTTGGTGTGACGCTCTCTAGCTCTTACACGGTTGCTCTTGGGGAAAGCAATGAATGTTAGATACCAGTGGGTCTGCTCTTCCCCAAAGAACATCTTGGCCCATCAGCTCCAGAGCTGTCCATTTCTGCCTAACTCAGCGAAGGCTCAACATCCAGAGACAGTGGGCAATGAGGGGTTCCTGCGACTCTGTGATTAAATCTGGTGGTCGTCATTGGCCACTGACTGTTCCGAGGGGGCGAGAGAATGGAACCCACAGGGAAACTTACATCTAAGCCTTTTAGGCAAGGAGTATTTTTACTCCATCTTTATTCCTGGTGGGACACGTGTCGTGGGAAATTTCTGCTGCATATGCCAACATGCCTTGGACCCAGGTCAGGACAGAGCGGGCAAATTTGGAATTTCCCACCAAATTGATTCTCTTTTGGTGGGAATGTGGTTTCTAGTGTTTCTGAACAGCGTAAAATCAAGGCAAATATTTCCAAGTAATTTCTGCAGAACTCTCTTGCCCATAAAAATGCCACTAAGAGTTCTGGACACAAAGTGGAGGTCACTCTGGACAGAAGTACAGCTCCCAACATTTTGGTGACACTCCAGACACCTCCAGATGAGCTACCAAATTGGAATGATTAATTTGGCAGGAGGGATACGTGGCAAGTCAGAAATAATCTTAACCGTATAAAGCCTTCATTAAACCTAAATATAATTGAGTTAATGAATGAACCCTACCCACCTTCATTTTGGGGGGCAGCCTCTTAAAGGCTGAGGGTGGTCTTTGGCAAGGAAGAAACTGCTCACCAGAGAAGAGTGCCCTGAGCAGGGAGGGAAGGGCCTCGCAGCTTTGTTAATGGGGGAGGGAAAAGGGCAGGGATGGGTCTCTGTTCCTTCTTCCCTAGGAAAAGGAACAACCTTCCTTTCTCTTTTAAAAAAAGTGTTAAGAAGCTAGCTGAGTGGGGTGTAGTTTCCCCCCTTTTTTTTTTTTAAAAAGCAGAGGGCATATAAACAAGGAGTTGCCTTTTCATGATGGCAGGGATTACCTATTGCTCTTAGGGGGTGTCCACCAGGGAGGGTCCCCAGAGTCCAGATGCAATCAAAGCCCTGCCCTTTTTGTGTACCAACTGTCCTCCGGCGCTCCTGAAAAAGGGGGGGGGCAGGGGAGAGTGATGTTTTTGCATGTTATAAATGAACAAATTTGGAGCTTTATGAATATTTTGAAAATGGTGGACTTGAAGTTTGCTTAGTTTATTCTCCATTTGAAAAAAAAGGTAGCGGTTGAGCAATTGCAGCATTTCTTTCCAGAGGGGCCTTTTGTTCAGGCGCTGCCTGGGCTGACGGAAAGGCCCTGTAAGAGTCACGGGCCAGACCAAGGGCTCTGATGCTCTGAAGAGGCTTCAGATACTGGATATATGAATTTGCAATGCATTTGCACCCCTCGTGCCAGCCTCCACTGCCTAATTACACCCCTAGGAGTCAGGCTTCAACCACAGGAGAAAATATTGCAAGGGAATCAAATTCCGGATTTGGCTCTCCTGTTAAAGAAACCAGGAAGCTTCCAGTGAGAACTTTTTAGGGGTGCGACAGACTGTAAATTGCAATTCACACCTCACCCTTTCTTGTTTTCTTTCCAGTGAATCTGATTGTAGAAGATGGGATTGTTTTTGAAAGGACAAGTAAAATCCGTGAGTGTTGTGGTTCTCTGGAACTTTGTCTTGTGGCTTGTAGAAAGGTGAAATCTAGATGGAGAGAGGAAAGGCTTGGCGGTGGTCCCGTCCACCCTTTTGGGCCGGTAGGCACCTGTCAGTTAGGCAGCAAGCAATGCCTCTCATTTTTGAAGTTTATCTCTCCAGTTTGTACACCTTGAGGCTCTCCAGAGGTGTTGAGGGTAGAGCGTCCTTAATGCCATATTGGTTGAGAACGATGAGTAGTGTATTTCTACTTATCTATGGAAGGTCTCAATTTGGGAAAGATTAAACAAGAATTTTGGATTTAAAAAACTACATTTCAGATTATTGATTCCATTAATTTTTGGCTTCATCATTGTCCATGCAGGATGTCAAGGATTGATACAGATCACAGAAGCTGGTGCCTCAAACATCACTATTATAATGGATTTTTTGCCCCATCCCTTTCCACGGGTGACATATGTACAAAGGAGGTAGGGCTTCCATTGCACAGCTGTTCCTGCCATCTTCAGTTTTTCTTTCCTGCCCCCCAGCTGGTGTCCCTGAACCCACTTATGAGTAGGGAGGAAAATGTCACTGCAGTCCATTTTCATTCTGCGATGATTTAATAGCTGTCCTGCTGTAAGTGATTAAAGGATGGAGGCATAAAATGTGGCATGATAACGTGCATAATATAAGGCTACAGAAATGGAAATTCCACCCCCTTCCAGTTTACAGTTGCAGGAATCCCCCTTTGCCTCTGCTTGGACGTCCCCCATTTCTGCTAGGCTTCCCCCCCTAGAGTTGGTGGGCTAAGAGCCCCAGGAGATGTCCAGCTGATCTCGGGGGGGGGGGGCTGCTCTTCATTGGCGGGACTGGAGCCACCATAATAGGGAGCTGGAGATGTTGATGGTGCCAATGAGGAAGGGGCACCTTCTGGGGGAGGTGTGCATTTTTAAAATGTGTGGGGAAACCGGTATTAAGGTGGAAAATCTTCAGGTGGTTTGCATGGCTTGCGTTGAAAGTGTTTTTTGAGTCACCTTTTTTGGTTTGTGGTCAGAACTGCTTGGCTTCATTGTTTTATGGAATCGCTTTCACATTAGAGACGTGGGGGCAAAAGGCAGGCACCGGCCCTGTGGCATTTTTCTCCAGAGGACAAGTGTGCAGGTGCCAGCCTAAGAAAGGGCTTTGTTAGTTTTCCAGACTGACGGCTGGCTGGACAATGGGTGGGACGAAGGCCCCACGTGAGCCCAGCGATCACCCTGGCCTCTTGCCTGCGTTATTCCCAAAGGGGAATAACTTCTGCCCTCTGCTTCCTGGAATGATGCTGGTGGATAAAAGCACACGCTTTCTTCTTTTTCTGCCATCAGGCCAGTTCTGTAACTTGATTTCTGCACATTTTAGAAATTCTCTCACACACAAAAACTGACAAAAAGAACTCCTTTAATTGCATTGTGTTTAAAAACGTATACTACAATGTCAATAATAAAACTGATTTCTCATGGACAGCAAGCTTTCGTTGTGTTGGTGTCTGTTCTGTTTTCTTTCCATTTTTGCTCCTTCCAAACACATTTTCTGACAATTCTCAAGATTCAGTATTACAAACGCCCTCCCTTGTCTGAGCCTTCCCCTGACCTCAGGGAGCGCTGATGTCGGTCTTCTATGTGGCACTAAGACAAGGTAACTGCCGCCACTGTGGAAGTGAAGCCCCGCCCCTTTTGTGTTGCACACGCGGCACAGGTAAAGAGGGTGGGGCTTTAACTGCGTCATGACCCCACTCCATGGACACTTTTGCGGCCACCTTAGAGGCTAATGTTGCTAAGTTTTCATTTTCAATGCAGCACAAGAAAATGTTTAAATAAATAAGCAGCATTACCTGCATTCATTGTTGATGAACTAATGTAAACGATACCAGACAAAACTTAAGTTTGGATCTAGATTTACCTTTTTGTGCGGGAAGAGTCATCGCCCAACCTTGCCACTCAAGGACCAAATGCACCCCTTCTGTGCTGGGAAGTAACAATGGGTCCTTTTGCTTCTTTTAAAATGTGAAAATGTATCCTCACAATTCATATTTAGGATCCTATAATTTGTCCATTCAGCTATTGGTGTAGTAGGATGTGAATGCATCAAAGCCTCCCCCCACAATCGAGACATGGTCTTGTGCCAACCCTTTTCTGCCCAGAATTGGACTTCAACCTCCAGCAGCTTTTCCTCAGAAGAACGGGTGTAACTGCTTTCAAGTCTGAGCCACCTTAGTGGGGGCTCCCAAGGCTGCACATCGGACCAGATGACTGAGTTGGAGAAGGCCTTTGCTGGCATCAAGTGAGGAGCATTGGAAATGCAAATTCGAGGCAGGGAGGAAGGGTGGGGGGCACCAGTCTGGTGTAAGACAGAAACCCAAACCCTCAAAACCCAGGGAAGGTTGGAGGGGCCGCTCTGCAACCTGCAGCCACCTCAGTGGGATTCTGTTGGGTTCTTTATGTTAAGACCTACATCCCTCTGGGTCAGGAGTTGGGGCACTTCTTCCTTCAAGTCCCCCCCCTCCCAAATGTTGAGTTGGGCTGGATGAGACTGGCTGGTTTAAGGAAACCAGCTTAAAGAACCTCTGTGGCTTTGAACAGAGGCCCCTCTGGTCCTAGTTCAACCACGAGGCCCCCTTGTCTGTAGAGCTGCATCACCACTAACTAGTCAAGAGCAGAGCAAGCATGCTACGTTGGTCTCTTAAGTGACATCACATCCTTAAACTCTGTTGCCTGTTTTGAGTTGGCTTTTGGGGCAAGATGCAGACTTGGCAGTTCCCAGTATCTCTCACAATTACAATGACCTCTTGGGTCCCTTCCAAGTTTTATGATTCTATTAATCATTTACTAAGGATGGTGTAGTGAATCCTGCAGTGTGCAGAGAGTTGGTCTTGATGACCTCTTGGGTCCCTTCCAACTGATTCTATTAATCATCAGTGGGTGTTAGAAGCCCAGGGGACTGCAGTTCTGCAACAGGCTGGCTTTGGCTCCTCCAGCATCCAGGCTGCGCCAATTTAGCTTGCTTCGAGCATCAGTCCTTCCCTGAAAGGATGCTGAGCTTGGCACCCACTGCCCAGCCCTCCCTGCTGTCCCAATCTGTCCCTTTCTAGTATTGTGGTGCGACTGCTGCTGCTTCAAGCATTCCACCAAGCATTATTTTCATTTCATTGGAGAGATTTTGTTAAGTGAGGAAACCAGCTATGAATATTTAGTATAATATATGATATAAACAAACATCTTGAAGGCCCTTGCCTGCCCCAGATCTATGCAGTCATTCCTTCTCCTTCCAGATACCCCCTTGAATGAAGCCAGCCTAAGCCTCCTTCCCACATACTTTATTTATTAAAAGCGCTCACTGGATAAAATCATCCTTCCTAGATAGCTGCCTCTTCATGGAGGCTCAAGAGGCAGAGTGAAATCCCAGCCCCAAACTTCTGTGCCCGGAGATGGAGGACAAGGAGACCTCCTCCTTGTCCAAGGAGGCCCTGCAGTTCCTGGGACGGGCTCCAAGTCTCGGCCTGGTGGAAAACAGCTTCTCCCAAGCAACGGAAGCCCCGAGACAAAGAGGCCATGGGTGGGGGTGGGGCTGTTCCTCAGCGCTTTGTGGATCCCGGGCAGATGTTCCTGTTGAGGCACTTGCTGCAACGTGGATGGACAGGCAAGCAGATCTGCTGCCCGAAGCCAACCAGGAGCCAGTTTAACTCACTCCAGAGAGTTCTGCAGGCAGCGGAGCAAAAAAGAAAAGAAGAAAACATTTCAGTGTGGTAGAAAAAGTAACACATTGGTATCCAGCGATGCCTGAAACAGCCCACCCTCAGACGTTACAGGAAGACAATTCCCAACGGTGAGACCACGGGAACATCAACACCAGGAAATAACTACAATTCTGGAGCGTCGAGCAATAGAGGCAAGTTGGTACCCAACACTGGGGACACTAAAGGGAAGTGAGATTGCCATCACACCCCATTTACCAAAGTGCGAGCACAGAGGCTGCTCCCTGCCCCACCAGAACTCTTCCCTTTGTCCTGGGTTGGAGGAGGCATTTTAGAGCCACCTTCCATGCATAGTTCCCAAGGATGCCAACAGGGTTAGGCGGATTCCTTGGGGACGCCTGGCAAGAAAGACGAGTCTGGAGCTGGTCTTTGGCTTTCACTAACAAGTGAGGTGTTGGCTGGTGCACTGATGTCTGCTAACCCATGGTGATGGGAACCACAGCCCTACATGGTGATAGGAGAGAGAATGCCTTGGCCAAAGTCCTACAAGTGTGAGAAATTTCCTACAGCAGAACACTCAAATCCTGCTGTTGTAGGTCAAGGTCAACCTTTGCTACAACACTGAAATAAATGGAAAGATGGAGTAATAGGTGAAAAAGGGGCCTTGCCCCCTTTTCAAGTGAGAAGGTGTGCCTATCCCATTGGAAGGAACAGCACTGCTGACGGATACATCTGGAATGCAGACTTCTTAAGACGAGCGTTTTCCAGCCTGCATTCCAGAGAATGGGAATGAAGGCTGCTTTGGCGCTGTGGTTACGACACCAGACTGGAAACTGAGAACCCACAAATTCTAGTCCCGTCTCAAGCACAAAGCCAGTTGCGTGATCCTGGTCCCAGACCCTCACTCAAAGTCTTATAAAGAACAAGGTGGTGATGGAAAATCATTTCTGAAAATGTTGGCAAGAAAACTGCAGGGATTCACCAGGACTTGAAGCCCCACCCCCATTTTTTTTTTAAGAGAAACCTGAGCTTTTCCAAGGTGGATCCCAGGTCTAGAGAGGAAATGTGATGAGCCTTGAAAAACAGAAGCCTGCCACTACCCCCACCTCCTTAAAGAGGCAATACTGGAAGGAAATGTCAATTGGAGACCAGTTTGAAGCACCTTTGCCTGCATCTCATCCACTTAATAAGGAATGGTATTGTGGGAATGTAACTCAATGTCCTTGCACAAAAATCATGGGAGCTGGGATCCCACACGGAGACTAAGAGAGAGGGAGAGAAGTGAAATGTTTAGGGCCAGTTTGAACAGGCTCACCTGGGCAGCCATTCTTCCAGGGCTTGCCTCGTTTCCTCTGGAAGTTTTGTTTCCCTTTTTGCCCACTTTAACCTGTTGCAAATCCGATGCACATGCGTGTCCACACCTGTAGTTCAAAATCAGAAAAAGGAAACTGTCCTAAACAAGGATGGGGCAAAGCCTCACCCTGCTGCAATCAGGTGCATCCCCAGCTCCTTGAATGAGGGCATTTGATCCCCTTGGGAGGACAGTTGCGGCCCAATCAATCAGCTGAGATTGCAAAATGGTGTTTTGTTTAAGTTTAGAAAAATCCCGGTTTGGCCCACAGAAGGACATCTTCGAATAGAGACAATGGATTTATTGGAGATTTTGATAGAGGCTGAATAGACATTTGTCAAGGGTTTAGTTTTCTGGAGGGCCGTGTCAGATGATCCAACCTTACAATTCGGTCTATGGATTGGCTCCGAGTGTGGCGAGACACCTTAGCCGCTGCTTCAAACCAGAGGGTCTTCTGGCGCTTTCCTTCTCCTTTTCCTTCTCACGAACAAAGCCTGGAGTCACAGGCTGAAGGTCTTTTATTCAGCCAAGGGCTTACATGAAGCTTCTGCAGTAAGAAGGTGATGGAGAAACCAGTGGAAATCTGGGGACTTTCTGATGTCCAGGGCAAGATCCCAAGCTCTCCTCGCTAGTTCCTACCATGACTGGAGACCACAGAAGGGGGAGAACATTAGTGGCCTGGATAGGAAAGGCTCCAAAAATGTTTTTTCCTCTGGGGCTCCCAGGAGTAGCATGACTGTCCATGGTATATTAATCGTCAATAGGAAAGAAATCGAACTGAAGACTCCAGCATCCCTGCTGAGCTATTTAATGGCTGCTTTGCCCCCACAATTCCTTCTCAACTACTGTCACGGCCGAGGAGCCCTTCATCAGGAATCAACAAGCTGTATTTCCCTCAAACGCCAGCCCCCCCCCCACTACACCCCATCGCTCATCAGCATTCAGGAAAGCAGTGCCCCCTGCTGGAGGATTCTGTCATGTGACAGACACTCCAAGTAGAGCAACCCAGTTGCAAAAAAACTTTTGCAGTTGGATGCCCTAGTCAAGATGTCCCCCCTCAGATCTCCTCTCTGCCCCACCCACCCACCCGTGTGGCTTGTGGACTTCCTTCCAGATCCATCCCACTTTATTTATTCCCCTCTGAAATCTGGGCTGGCTAAAAAAGTGGCTGGCAGGCAGCTCATTGCTTTCCTTGGACATGCCAACCCACGGAAAGGAGTCTCGTCACCCCAGAAGTCCTACCTCTGGAGTCCTACCTCTCCAGCTTCTCCCATGAGGAACCGTCTCGTAAAACAGATAACTTTACTGTCATTTTTTTTTTACTGCAAGCACACTGGCCCACATTAAAAATGAAGTTCTGTTTCCTGTTCTCAAGAGAAAGTGTGTATCTACCCAAACACATACATAACACATATATACACATGCTATATATAGCAATCTCCTTCATGGATTATTGCCTTGTCGAGGTGAAGGGGCTTGCATAGCTCAATGAAGCTATGCCATGCAGGGCCACCCAAGACGGACAGGTCATAGCAGAGAGTTCTGACAAAACGTGATCCACTGGAGAAGGAAATGGCAACCCACTCCAGTACCTTTGCCATGAAAACCCCATGGACAGTATCAAAAGGCAAAGATGAGCCCCTCAGGTCGGAAGGTGTCCAATATGCTACTGGGGAAGAGCAGAGGGCTAGTACTAGTAGCGCCAGAAAGAGTGAAGCGACTGGGCCAAAGCCGAAAGGATGCTCAGCTGTGGATGCATCTGGTGGTGAAAGGAAAGTCGATGCTGTAAAGATTTTTTCTCTATAGGAACCTGGAATGTAAGATCCATGAATCAAGACAAGCTGGATGTGATCAAACAAGAGATGACAAGCCTGAACATCGACATCTTAGGAATCAGCAAACTAAAATGGACAGGAATGGGCGAATTTAATTCAGATGACCATCAGGTATACTACTGTGGGCAAGAATCCCTCAGAAGAAATGGAGTAGCCCCCATAGTCAATAAAAGAGTAGGAAAAGCAGTACTGGGATACAATCCCCAAAATGACAGAATAATCTCAGTTCGAATCCAAGGCAAACCATTCAATATCACAGTAGTTCAAGTCTATGCCTCAACCACTGGTGCTGAAGAGGCTGAAGTTGACCGGTTCTATGAAGCCCTACAGCACCTTACAGAATTAACACCAAAAATGATGTCCTTATCATCATGGGGGATTGGAGTGCTAAAGTAGGAAGCCAAAAGATAACTGGAATAACAGGCAAGTTTGGCCTTGGAGTACAAAATAAAGCAGGGCACAGGCTGATAGAATTTTGTCAAGAGAATACAATGGTCATAGCAAACACTCTTTTCCAACAACCCAAGAGACGACTCTACACATGGACATCACCAGACGGTCAACACAGAAATCAGTCTGACTATGTGCTCTGCAGCTAAAGATGGAGCTGCTCTATACAGTCAGTAAAAACAAGACCAGGATCTGACTGTGGCTCAGATCATGAGCTTCTCGTTGCAAAATTTAGGCTTAAATTGAAGAAAGTAGGGAAAAGCACTAGGCCACTCAGGTATGAACTAAATCATATCCCTGATGAGTATACAGTAGAGGTGACAAATAGATTTAAGGAATTAGATCTGATAGACAGAAACAGAACTATGGACGGAGGTTCAAAACATTGTACAAGAGGTAGCAACTAAAACCATCCCAAAGAAAGCAAAATTGCTGGTTGAGGAAGCTTTGCAAATAGCTATGGAAAGAAGGGAAGCAAAAGGCAAGGGAGAAAGAGAAAGATACACCCAGTTGAATGCAGAATTCCAGAGAATAGCTAGAAGAGATAAGAATGCCTTCTTAAATGAACAGTGCAAAAAAATAGAAGAAAACAATGGAATAGGAAGGACCAGAGATCTCTTCAAGAAAATTGGAGATATGAGGGGAGCGTTTCATGCAAAGATGGGCATGGTAAAGGACCAAAATGGCAGGGACTTAACAGAGGCAGAAGATATTCAGAAGAGGTGGCAAAATTACACAGAACAGCTATACAAGAATGAGCTTAACATCCCTGATAACCAGTGGTGGGTTTCTCCCGGTTCCGCCAAGCCGGTAGCCGTGACAATATGACATCACCGAACCGGTTCTGCACCCCCCCCATGTTATTCTACTTTTTATTTGGCCCCACCCCCAATCTATTGCTGCCTCCTGAATCCCAGCTATGGGCTATAAGGAAAAAAAAACTGTTTAAACTCTTCAAAGGGCCGCCCTACAGCTGATCAGTGGTAAAAGGCAGTTTGGTGGTAGACCGGTGCCTCCAAAAACAAGTGAGTAGACCAACAAGTGCCTGCAAAAATAAATGGGTAGACCAGTGCCTGCAAAAATAAATGGGTAGACCAGTGCCTGCAAAAATACATGAGTAGACGAAGAAATGGAGGTACTGACAGATTTTATTTTCTTGGGCTTCAAGATCACCGCAGATGGGACTGCAGCCAAGAAGTTAAAAGACACTTGCTCCTGGGGAGGAAAGCCATGGCAAATCTAGACAGCATACTAAAAAGCAGAGACATCATCCTGCCAACAAAAGTGCGCATATTCAAGGCTATGGCTTTCCCAGTTGCAATGTCTGGCTGTGAAAGTTGGACCATAAGAAAGGCTAAGCGCCAAAGAATGGAGGCCTTTGAATTCTGGAGCTGGAGAAGACTCCTGCGAATCCCTTGGACTGCAAGGCAATCAAACCAGTCACTCCTAGAGGAGATCAACCCTGACTGCTCTTTAGAAGCAAAAATAAATGGGTAGACCAGTGCCTGCAAAAATACATGAGTAGACCGGTGCCTGCAAAAATAAATGGGTAGACCAGTGCCTGCAAAAATACATGGGTAGACCAATGCCTGCAAAAATAAATGGGTAGACCGGTACAGCTCTGCAAGCAGTTAAAAGCCTGGTAGATCAGTACCTCTGCTAAATCCTAAAGAATTGTCACATGACCATCAAGCCACACCCATAAAATAAGCCACACCCACAGAACTGGTAGTAAAAAAATTTAGAACCCACCTCTGCTGATAACCATGATGGGGTGGTCACTGACCTCGAGCCAGACATCCTAGAATGTGAAGTCAAATGGGCCTTAGGAAATCTGAGCAACAACAAAGTTAGTGGAGGTGACAGTATTCCAGCTGAGCTATTCAAAATCTTAAAAGATGATGCAGTAAAAGTGCTACACTCAATTTTCCAGCAAATTTGGAAAACTCAACAATGGCCACAGGATTGGAAAAGGTCAGTTTACATTCCAATTCTAAAGAAAGGCAATGCCAGAGAATGTTCAAACTATTGCACCATTGCACTCATTTTGCATGCTAGTAAGGTTAAAATCCTACAAGCCAGGCTCCAACAGTATGTGGATCGAGAACTACCAGAAGTACAGGCAGGATTTCAAAGAGGCAGAGGAACTAGAGATCAAATTACCAACATACGCTGGATCACAGAGAAAGCTAGGGAGTTCCAGAAAAACCTCTACTTCTGCTTCACTGACTATGCTAAAGCCTTTGATTGTGTGGATCACAATAAATTGTGGCAAGTTCTTAAAGAGATAGGAGTAACAGACCATCTTATTTATCTCTTGAGAAATCTATATGTGTCAAGAAGCAATAGTGAGAACTGGACACGGAACCACTGATTGGTTCAAAATTGGGAAAGGAGTCCAGCAAGGCTGTATACTGTCACCCTGCCTAAATGCAGAGCACATCATGAGAAAGGCGGGGCTAGATGAATCAAAATTTGGAATTAAGATTTCCGGGAGAAATATCAACAACCTCAGATATGCAGATGATACCACTCTAATGGCAGAAAGTGAAGAGGAACTAAAGAGTCTCTTAATGCGGGTGAAGCAAAGTGCAAAAGTTAGCTTGAAACTCAATATTAAGAAAACTAAGATCATGGCATCCGGCCTCTCAATTCCTGACAAATAGATGGGGAAGAAATGGAGGTACTGACAGATTTTATTTTCTTGGGCTTCAAGATCACCGCAGATGGGGACTGCAGCCAAGAAGTTAAAAGACGCTTGCTCCTGGGGAGGAAAGCTATGGCAAATCTAGACAGCATACTAAAAAGCAGAGACATCATCCTGCCAACAAAAGTGCGCATATTCAAGGCTATGGCTTTCCCAGTTGCAATGTCTGGCTGTGAAAGTTGGACCATAAGAAAGGCTGAGCGCCAAAGAATGGAGGCCTTTGAATTCTGGAGCTGGAGAAGACGCCTGCGAATCCCTTGGACTGCAAGGCAATCAAACCAGTCACCCCTAGAGGAGATCAACCCTGACTGCTCTTTAGAAGGCCAGATCCTGAAGAGGAAATTCAAATCCTTTGGCCACCTAATGAGAAGGAAGGACTCGCTGGAGAAGAGCCTAATGCTGGGAATGATTGAGGGCAAAAGAAGAAAGGGACGGCAGAGAACGAGGTGACTAGATGGAGTCACTGAAGCAGCCGGCGTGAGCTTAAATGGACTCCGGGGGATGGTAGAGGACAGGAAGGCCTGGAGGAAGGTTGTCCATGGGGTCGCAATGGGTCGGACACGACTTCGCAACTAACAACAAATATATAGCAATAGCACTTAGACTTATATACCGCTTCACAGCCCTCTCTAAGCAGTTTACTTAAGAGTTCACAAGGTTGATGCTCTAGGGAAGAAAACTATAAATGAATCTGGATATTCTGCTTCGGATACCACGAAGCCCCCTCCCAGATGGTAACAAGGAAAACAGGTCATGAAGAGGAGGTGGTGTCCCAGCTCAGGCCATACTCTGGCTCCGATTCTCCTGGCATTTCAGAAAATTTTCAAAAACACGGCTGCTTTTCTAGGAGGGTTTGTGTGAAGTTCATGAGCTGGATGTGATTGGTAGGGACAGTTCTTGTCCTTGGCTCCCATTACATGCATACAGTATTTGCCATTATTGTGACTGATTTTACCGAGTTTTAATTCAGCGGGGGCTGCCCAGGGACACTGTTTCAAGAACAAGATCATATAAATTGACTAGAACACAGGTAGTCCTCAACTTACAACCACAATGGAGACCACCCATCATCTTGTAAGTTGTGACAGTCATAAATCACGTCACCCACATGACTAACTCAATTTTATGACTTTGGTGTGGCAGTCATTAAGTGAATGCTGTGGTTTAAAGCTGCAAATGGCCATAAATGCGGCAACTGCCGAGGCATTGAGGTGCAGTCCTGTGACTGCGGGGGGTGGGGGCTGTCATAACTTCAGAACAGGATCCTAAGCACCCGGGAGTGTGTGTGTGTTTGTGTAACTTTTAATGGTTGCTAAGCGACTAGTCATAAAGTGAGGACCACCTGTAAATGAATGAATGAATGAATAAATCTGAACTTTGAAGTTTGGGCAATCCAGATGTAAATATGACAGCTGAACAGGAATTGGAAGGACTGGAAGACCGGAACATTAGTGAATATGAACTGGATACATGGCAGGGATTGTCAAAAAATCTAAATGTGCAAGAATTAGCTGAATGCTTGTTCCCCCAAAAGACACAGAAAGAAATCTATTATGGCAAGAGACATACCGATCCCTGAGACGTTCTTCCAGGCAATGTCCATCACCAGGTGGGCCATCTTTGGACCAACTCCAGGCAATTTCACTAACTCTGCAACAGTTTTTGGGATGTCGCCAGCATACTCCCGCTTCAGGATTGCTGTGGTCTGCTGGATATATCGCACCTTGTTCTGCAGCCCATGAAAAGGTCAATCAATAAGCTGGACTAACTCAGGAGGAGGAACAGCCCTGCCGGATCAGACCGATGCCAATCTGATTTCTGCATTTTTATTTTTTGTTTCCTATTGTGTCCTAACCAGCTGGCCCCAAACTTGGTGCTTGCAACTCAAAAAAAGACCTACTTTTTCTCTGTCCCACTACTGTTCCCCTTCAAATAGTATTTGGAGACAGCTGCCTAGAAGTAACATGGAAGCCTCAAGACCATAACCCTCCATAGACCTGACCTGCATTCTCTAAACCCTTTTAAAAGCCATCCAGGTTATAGTGCCTACTTCACCATTTTAAGAACATCAGAAGAGTTCTGCTGGATTAGGCCAAGGCCCATCTTGGATCAAAATTTTGTTTCTTGCAGCAGCCAGTTGACCTTGGAGATGGTCATCACAACCCAGAGATGAAGACTACCACATTCTCTTGCAAGTTGTGTTCTCCAAGAGATAGAACATAGCACTCAGCAATAGCACTTAGACTCAGATATCACCCAACAGTGCTTCACAACCCTAAGTGTCCAGGTAGAGAATCCAAAAATAGAACTCCTGGGACATTGTGCTTCCCAGAAGGAAAACTTTATTGAATACACTACATTGGCACAGAAGAAATGAAACCAGCTCTGAATTTCCCATGCAAACGTCCACATAGTTGGACTTGATTTTCCCCTTTGGCCATCCCCCTCAGTTCATTGCGTTGCCAATTAAATCTTTTTTTTTTTTTTATGGGAACAGTCTGGATCTTTCAAACACCTGCGCTGTGTGACCTTGGGGTTGGTAGCAGGGTCTTACGATCTGCAAGTTGGCATTCCATTCCCTGACATATCATCCACCCTCCTCCCGATTGTTGTCAAGCTGAGAGCGAAGAAGCAAGTAGGCGAAAGAGGGTATAACTCTTGACAGTTTTACAGAGTCACCCTACTGAACCCAACAATTGGGGTCCTCATTTTACCGACCTTGGAAGGTTGGAAGGCTGAGTCAACCTTGAGCCAGTCAGGATCAAACTCCTGGCTATGGACAGAGTCAGCTTGCAATGTGGCATTCTAACCACTCCACTAGCACCATGTGGACAGAAGCTTCCTTTTGTCTGTCCTAAACTGCCTTCCTTTCATATTCTATGAGTACAATGATAAAATAAACTCATTTATATTATAAAGCTTTTATTTCAGAAAGCTGTCCTTTAATTTATTTTCCAAAAATTCAATTGCTTTACTTTAGTCATTTAACTTTTACCATACAAATGGCACCACCTAAAATTTTTTACATCATTTTTACATTTTGGTATATTTATATTTATGTGAAATTGAACTGTCTTTTTAAAATAAATTTATATAACAATAGCATTTAGACTTATGCACTGCTTCAAAGTGCAGAACAGCCCTCTCTAAGCGGTTCACAGAGTCAGCATATTGCCCCAACAATCTGGATCTTCATTTTACCCACCTTGGAAGGATGGAAGGCTGAGTCGAACTGGTGGAGTGAGCAGTGAGTTAGTCTGCAGTACTGCATTCTAACCACTGCGCCACCACATCTAGTGGTGGGATTCTGCTGGTTCTAGGCAGTTCGGCCGAACCGTGTTAAATTGCTGGCTCGCCCCGCCCCCCACTCGAGCGGCGCCAGCCTACCCTAGCCCATCCAGTCACTGGGGGAGATGCGTGACTTTTCTCCACCCTGGAACACTGGCTGCCCAGGCTGCAGCTGAAGCTCCGCATCGTAATGGGCTCCAGGAGGAGGGGCGCCGTCTGCCCCATTGCGAAGCTCAGTAAGAGCAACCAGAGCCAGCTGCAGGTGCAGCCGGATGGGCGCACGTGCAGTGGCGCGCAGGCTTAAGGTGCCGCCTCCAAGCCGAGGGGCAACCGATGGTGTGGTAGGTGCGCTGCCGCCGCCGCCCAAACGGGAAAGGAGAAAGAGATGGAGAGAAAGAGATGAAGGAGAGAAAGGGGGGAGAGAGAGAGGGGAGAGAAAGAGAGGGGGAGAAAGAGAGATGAAGGAGAGAAAGGGAGGAGAGAAAGAAATGAAGGAGAGAGAGGGAGAAAGAGAGATGGAGAGAAAGATGAAGGAAAGAAAGGAGGGGAGAGAAAGAGATGGAGAGAAAGAGATGAAGGAGAGAAAGAGGGGAGGAAAAAGAAAGAGATGGGAGAGATGAATTTAAAAGAAAATACTGGGAGCCACAAAACCTGGGTGGGAGTAAGTGATATGGAGTTGACAATGCCCACCTAGGTTTAAGGTTGTGTTTAAGTGTTTACATGTGTTTAAGGTTGAGTGTTTGAAGTTGCAGACCCCTGACCTACCCCATCCAATCGCTTCACCCTGCAGCCAGCCCTGTAGGCCTGTGCCTGCCTCCCACCTGGGCAGCAGCGGCCTACCTACCCCGGTTGTATCACCTTGCCCTGCAGCTGGCCCGAACGCCCACCTCGGACTGCCTCCGACTGCTCCAGTAGGTCATTTTTATTTAATTTAATTAAGAATGCTGCAATGGGCATAAATGATGACCGATCAAAAGTGCGAGGACCTGTCAGAAATCACTTTTTTCAGCCCTCTGGGTAGTCCCTATGTGCATATGGACTACTCAGAGGGCTGAAAAAGTTATTTTTGACAGGTCCTCACACTTTTGACCAATCCCTGCACTTACGACTGTCCTCACATTTTACGTTTTGCACCCTATCTTTCCACTGTGGTGAAGAGAACTAGTTGTGAAATGACTGACATGGTTGTTAAGAATGCTGCAACAGGCATAAATGTGAGGATGGTCATAAGTGTGAGGACCAGTCAAAAGTCAGAAATGACTTTTTTCAGCCCTGAGTAGTCCCTATGCATAGCCATGCCCAGTCACATGACTACCAAGCCACACCCCCACCTAAGCCACGCCTACAGAACCAGTTAAAAAAATTGAATCCCACCACTGACCACAGCTCTTATATATACCATATTTTCTGGAGTATAAGATGCACTCCCCCCCCCCTCAAAAGAGGGTGGAAATGTTAGTGGGTCTTATACACCGAATACAGCCATTTTTGGCCTCCCGAAGCCCTGCCCTGCTCATCTGATTTTTGCAAAAAACGGGCCCGTTTTTTCCCTTCCCGGCCCCCAGGATCAGTCTGCAGGCCTCCCAAACCCTCTGTGTGCCCCGTTTTTTGCAAAAAGGTTTTTGCATGGCCGTTTTTGCAAAAACTTTTCCTTACTTATCTCTTCGAAATCTTGGTGCGTCTTATAGTCCGAAAAACATGGTACTTTTATTTTTATTAGAATATGTTTTTGTAGAATTTTTTTGTTCTTGAATTTTTCTTTGTAAAGCAAAGTTATAAACACAAATGGATGATTTTTTGTTATGAATCTCTTTCAGATTTGCCCTTTTCAGGGCTGTCATTTATTTTTTTTTAACACATATCTATAGGTAACCCTGGTCCTAATGTTTTGAGGAGGAGGAGGAAGTCTTCATGCCACGCACAGAGCTCTGCCAGGGACTCAAAGGGGACAGAGAGGCAAACCCCCACCTTCTACCAGCAAGGTCTCCTTGCCACCCTGGGATGTGCAGAACAGCATCTCCTAATTGGCAGGAGGTTACTTGAGCTGCTCTGTAATGCACTGAGGATGCTAAGTAATTTGGTAATGAATGTGGTAATAAATTCACACACAATTGGCCAGGGCCATTTTGGCAAAGGATTGTGAAGCTCCAACGGGGGCTTTGAGCCCAATCAGCTGACCTCACAGGGTTGGGATGGGGTGAGTGGGTGGCAGAGGTGCTCCCATGGAAGTCAGAGAGTAGATTAACCTACAAAGTAACCATGCTTCCCTTGCTCTTCCCTTCACCGTGTGGCAAATCACTCACCCTCCAAAAGCCAACGGGATAAATGAGCCGGCCCAGAGCCTCCTCGTTGGTCTCCAGGATCCGGTCCACCGTCAGGCCGTGCTCCCGCAGGCGCATCATGGCCGCGGAGGTCACCTGGTCTTTCGTTTGGCTGGAGAGCATGAGCGACAGCAGAATCTGGTAACGCTTCACCTGCCAAGCAGAAGGGAGAGGCAGGGGGGACCCTGTGTTTCTGGCTGGCCCGGGACCCCCTAGGCCCATGATGGCGAACTGGTGGCACGCAGAGACCTCTCTGTGGGCACGTGCGCCATTGCCAGCTGTTCTTCTGGTTTATTATTTATTTATTATTTATTATTTTGATGTATATGCCGCTTTTCTCCGGAGACTCAGGGCGGCTTACAATGCTTTTATGCAATAGCCTTCATACTTTTTGTATATACCTGCTTAGTAGGGCTTTTGCCCCCCTCCAGCGGTGTTTTATTTTATACAAAGTCAGCTTATTGCCCCCACAGTCCGGGTCCTCATTTTACCTACCTCGGAAGGATGGAAGGCTGAGTCAACCTTGAGCCTGGTGAGATTTGAACTCGCAGTAATTGCAGGCAGCTGGCAGCTAAGTGCTATTTTAACAGTAGTTTAGTCCACTGCACCGCCAGGCTCCTAGTTTGTGGCGCTGCCAGCTGGTCTTTGCATGTGCCGGAGCGCTGGAAACCTGAAGACCGGGGGGGGGGGGGGGGGGGGGGCGCTGATCTGGCCTTTGGGCTTCTGGCACTCCTGCGTGTGTTCCTGCTTGGGCACTCGGTGCCGAAAAGATACGCCATCATTGCCCTGGGCCCCGCTCGGCCTCCTGGCAGCCCTGCTCACCTCCGGAGGGGCCTCCCCATCAAAGCATGCCCCAGCTCCCATCTGGTCGACGGGGGCATTCCTCTCCCTCCGCATCTCCCGGATGTTGGCCAGCTGCTGCTCCCAGTTGGCCGGTTCCCATTTCTGCTTCTTGGGCTCAGGGGTCTCTGCTGCCCCATTTTCCTCGGGGGGTCCGTAGGCAATGCTGACTTTCCTCCCCCTCCGGAGATTCCTTGCGCAGAGGGTCTCCGTTGGTCCTGTGACACATAATGCAACACACACACACACACGCGCGCGCTTAAATAAGCAACGGGAGACTCAGAAAAGCTCTTGGTTCCTTTCATCCAGGGGGCTCCAAGATAGGCTCCAAGATCGGAGGGGGACTGCCCCCCCCTGCCCCCCCCCACACACACCCCCGCCTCACCTCGGCCTCCGCACAGCCGCCGCCGGGCCGGGAAGCCGCGCCCAGCGCACATGGCCCCCGCCCGCCAGGGACTACAGCCCCCACAATGCCCCGCGGCCAGAGCCGCCTCCTTCCGCCGTCGCCTGGGCTCCACACCGGAAGTTCAGCGGCCCTTCCGCCGGCGGGGGGCGGGGCCCCAGGCGGAGGTGTTTACGCGATTTGGGGTCGGGGCGCCGCGACCCTCGCGAGGGAGGCCGGTAAGTCTGTTGTGGGCGACGGCCGCGGAAACGCGAGGGGCGGGCAAAGGCGGGGCCGAGGCCAGGAGCGGCCCGGGCGGGGGGTCGGTCCAGCCGCTGAGCTGCCCAGGAGGAGGCGCAGCCGGCGGGTCCTCGGGGCTCGCTTGGCAAACGGGGCTTCAACCGTGCAACTCCCGGCGGAGGCCGAGGGCGGAAGCTTCGCGCTCATCTTCGGCAGCCCTGGACGAGGCCAAGGCGGCAGAGTCGGCGCAGAGCGGAGGGAAAGCGGGTCGGTGGCGGCTGCTGCCCCGAGGAGCCTCTGGAGAGGGAGGCCGTGGCCGGAGGGGCTGGGCGGGCTCTGCTGGGGGCTTCCCGACACAGCTGCCCTGCCCGCAAGGGGCCCGCAGCCGCCTCTTGGCAGCCGGGCCTGGCCTTGGGGGAGACCGGCTGGCGGCTGACCTGCCCTCAAGGAGCGGGGAGCCCCTCGGGGGTGCCGGCTTAGGGCGGCGGCTAAAAGGCTTCCCCGCAGCTGCTTGTGAACGCGAAAACCGTTAAGAACCGTATTCCATTCCATTCCCCTTTTGCCACACACGGAGCCTTCGCGAGCAGCCGGCAAAGCATAAAAGCCGGCTGGGCTGGGGGACTTAACCCACCTCCCTGGGTGGTTGTGGGGAAAATGGGGGGTCCGAGCACCAAGTATATTCACCAGAAGTGATATCGGTGGGGGGGATAAAAATCTAACAATCTGAAACGGGGCTGAGCAGAATGGCCAGACTGCAAAGCCCATCAGCCAAGGGAGCCAGCTGATAGGGACCAGAAGAGAAGCTTCGGCTATGGAGCATCCTCCCTTGGAGATTAGAATGGCTGTTAGCCTTTCCTAAGGCCCTAAAAAAATTAGCCTGGCTATGTTCCTGTGCCTGGGTTGCTGAATGTGCTAAGGGCCCTGTTTCCTGGAATGAATGAATGAGAAACTCTTAAGCCTAATTAAAACAGTAGCTCATTGAAGCATAGCTTCATTAATGAAAAGGTGACAGTAAAAATTACGAGGCACGTTACATCCAAAATGCTCTCTTTCCTTTTCTTGTTGTTACAGCAATGCCATATTCTCGTGAGCCATTTTGTATTTTTTACACTGGAAGTATTCTAGAAATAATTTCTAAAAGTACTACCAAGCTATTTACAAGCAGCAATAAAAATGAGATCAACAAACCTGATTTTTCATCAGGGTCGCCTGATCTGCCAGTTGCTCATGCCCTCGTCACCTCCCGTCTGGACTATTGTAATGCTCTCTACATGGGGCTCCCCTTGAGGAGCACTCGGAGGTTCCAACTGGTGCAGAGTGCGGCCGCGCGGGTGGTGATGGGAGCGATGTGGCACTCCCATGTAACACCTCTCCTGTGCGAGCTGCACAGGCTCCCGGTGGTCTTCCGAGTGCGCTTCAAGGTCTTGGTTATCACCTTCAGAGCGCTCCATGGCTTAGGACCTGGCTATTTACGGGACCGCCTGCTACCACCAATAGCCTCCCACCGACCAGTACGCTCCCATAGAGAGGGGCTCCTCCGGGTGCCGTCGGCCAAACAATGTCGACTGGCGGCCCCCAGGGGGAGAGCCTTCTCTGTGGGGGCACCTACTATCTGGAACGAGCTCCCCCCGGAGATACGGAGGATCCCAGATCTGCGTACCTTCTGTCGCACGCTCAAGACGTTCTTGTTTCATCAGGCCGGCCTGACCTAAGTTTTTCCCCTTTTTAAATGGAAATTTTAAATTTGGTTTTAAAGTATTGGGGTTTTAAATTTGTTCAGCCAAATCATTTAATTCATTTTATTCTATTTTAAATTTTGTATTTATATTGTTTTATTTTATGGCTGTTCACCGCCCTGAGTCCTTCGGGAGTAGGGCGGTATACAAATTCAATAAAAACAAAAAAACAAAAAGCTAACCAATCTTTCATGCTATCAATACAATAATTATTTCAGCTCAAAAAGCTTTTATATGTACTAGTGTACATATTATTATTGCTCCACATACTAGTATTACTCCACTAACTAGTTGTTGAATCATGAAGTTGGAAGTGCTCTATCCAGACTGAAAAATAAGATTTATTGTAATGATTAATTACCATTAGCATTTGGGAAGAACAGCATGACTATTTCTAAAACTTTGAGAATCTGGAAACAAGGTAGATTCATAACATCAATTTGACATAATAAATAACCAGCATCCTAATACATACAGACCTGTAGTAATTATCTTTTTAAAACTGCAAAATATCTTTAATTTGTACGGTCATGCCTTTCAGTATGATCAAAAGAAACAACAGTATTGTTGGTCTGAATTTAATTATTTTCAGGTTCTGGTTTATGAAACCACCTTGTTTCATTTCAAGAGGAAGGTTTTGCTTGCTTTTTTTTTCTGTTTAAAAACTATTTTGTGTATAGTCCAAAGAACTGAGGGACCAGCTTAGAGAAATTCAGTTCCCCACTATATACGTACCGGCATCACAATCCTGCAAGGCCAGTTTGGTTCAGAGTCTGGCTCCTTGACTTCTTGGCTGAACCAATGACCTCAGAGGATTAAAAGAGAGTTGAGGCTCTTCCATACATTTTCTTAACTAAAGCACCACACTGGTTCTCCTCATATAAGTTGATAATGTTTTAATGCACAGAATTTGGTAGTTGTTTCAATAATAGCTTTTTTTTTAAATAAAGAGGAAGAATTCCTGACAAAGTTGGACCCATGTTCTATTCCACCTGTATCGGGTGAAATGTTCCTAGTTCAGACTGGTTCGGCCGATCCAATAGCAATCGTGGTGCGTGGTTCGGAGAACCAGTAGGGATGGCGGCGCCAGGCTCCGCCCACCCGCCCGGTTTTCGTTACTTCCTGGTTTTAACCAGGAAGTAATGTGTTTTTTACCCTTGCGAGTGCGCTGCACGTGCATTTCCGAACCGATAAGGAAGGTAAGTAGATTTCATCTCTGACGTGTATGCCATGTTTGAGCATGCATAGCGTGGATTGTAGGTGTCTACTTTTTTTTGTCTCTCTTAGCTTCTATCTCGGGAGGGTTACATTGAGAAAATCTCAGCTATTTTCCCTTGATGAAGCAATCTTCTCTCTATACAGTTTCCTTGATGCTGTCTTAGTTAACAATGGCAAAGCCACCAAGTAAAGATCCTGGGCTAAAGGAGAAGTTTAAGAGCCTCCTAGGACTGTCATCCAGGCCCAATTCTAAGTCATCTGAAGGAAAACAGACAGAATTCATCATCACTGCAGAAATACTCAAGGTAACATTCAGAAATATTCCAAACCTGGAACTTATATTAAGAGCCGAGAATTTTAATAGATGCCAGAAAAGAAAATTAATATAGAGGATGGTGCGTGAGCAAGGAAGGCCAGGTTTTCCCCTTATCTAAAAAATGTGAATCTTTGCATAAGAATATTTAACCAGGAAGTGCTAATCCTGGTTCTTCAGTGCTTGATGTGGCCAGACAGGTAGAGCCACCGTCCTGTCTGTGAACCTGCTGCTGCTTGTGCAGTTCTAAGCCTGCACTTGTCTTTCAGGAACTGAGCATAGAATGTGGCTTAAACAATCGGATAAAAGCAATCGGACAAATCTGTGAGGTGGCAAAAACTAAAAAGTTTGAAGAGGTGAGTATGCAGGGCTCTTTGGTGAGTGTGCTCTTTGGATAAAGAAATGCCTGATATATAAGCATCCACTCCATTGTTGCTGAACTGCACATCCTGCATGGCTCAGCATTTACTGTATAGAGGGCTTGGGATGAATGGAGGGTGGGAACCTGGGTTGCTAAGCCAGAGAATTTCTCTTTGCCTTCCCCAGTAGAAAAGGAGATAGAGCAAATTTGAGGTTTAAATAAATCACAGGAAAGCAAAACTGACTCATGATTTTTTTTTCTTTTGAAAGTAGATATTTTTATTCATTTCTGCTCAAGGTGACCTGCCTTGGGGTAGTTATATGGCATTGGAAGAGAATGTCAGAAAGAAGCTGTTAATTTGAGAATAGACATGATCTGAAATTCTACAGTGTTTGGTTCCTATCTTAAAATATTCTGGTGAGGGAGCATCCATTTACTTTGAAGTAGAACAGAAAATGTTAAAAAAAAGACATGAATGTTTCTGTTAGGATTAGAACAGGACCTAGAAAAATAATTAAATCAGAAACTAAACCTGTGATGTTAAGATACAAATGTCACAGTTTCCTAATAGGCAGATGTTTGCTGTTGGATCTACATTTATGACTGATGCAATGATTGATGCAATTTTAGCTGAATAAACCAAGTATCTCTGAATGTTTCTGTGCTCCAATAGCATGCAGTGGAAGCTATTTGGAAAGCGGTAGCTGATATGCTGCAGCCAGATCGACCACCCGAGGCACGGCATGCTGTCCTCCATCTGCTGCAGGCAATTATTCTGGGACAGGTAAGTTGCATTACCAAGCACCTGTACTAGAAGGAAGCATCCTTTTAAAGAATGTATGCCCCTTACTTAAGGCAATTCTTTTATCCTTAAGGGTGAAAGGCTGGGGATTCTCCGAGCTCATTTTTTTAGAGTGATTAAAGATTATCCGTCTAATGAAGACCTACATGAGCGGCTTGAGGTATTCAAGGCACTGACTGATAACGGAAAACACATAACGTACTTGGAAGAGGAACTAGGTAAGTCCCCTTTTTCCACAGTAGATTTTTGCACTGAGAAGGGGGTGACCAAAACTCATCATCTCTTTTGAGCTTCTGGTCTGATCCAGCGAGGTTTTTCCTCCTGGTCTTACAAGGAAGGGCCTCTCTGGGGAATTTTTGAAGCTAGAGCTATTGACCGTCATTTGTATAGAATGTTTTCTGCAGTTCAGCATCTGGTATATTCTCCCTTTTCTTGTTGCTGCTTCTTTCAGCTGAATTTGTTCTTCAGTGGATGAAAGTTGGTTTGACTTCAGAGTTTCTGTTGGTGTTGATCAACTTAGTGAAATTCAACAGCTGTTACTTGGATGACTACATTGCTGGCATGGTCTAGTAAGGCAAATTTTAGATCTTCCCTTGCTTATAAGGAAGCATGATTAGTGTGGAATTCTGGATTCTGTGGTCCCAATTGTATCTAGACAAGCTGGTTTGGAGGAGGTTGCTCTGAAATGATAATCGTGGTAGAGCCATGTTCTTTTGCTGGCTGGGTTGTGGAGAAAGTATATCAGTATCAGTTCAAGCACTGAGTTAATTGAGGTGGCAGCCCAAGGGAGCCATTAGCCATAAACTAATGGAGAATTTGGTCAGAACAAGTTCTCTTCACATACCTGAGCCTGGTTTTTTTTTGGGGGGGGGTGTTTCTGGCAGGCTCAAGTTGTACATTTAAGATTTCTGCCCAGGAGGTTCAGTGAACAAAGCCAGCCAACCAACACCCTTAACCAGATTTTCCTTTCCTTTAGCATGATTTGTGCCTTGTGCATTCAGACCTCTTCTGCAGTTGACATTAAGGTGAGTAGTGACATAAACGTGGGCAAGATAAAAAGGGCCCTTAAAAATAGGAACAGGTCTGCGTTGGGACAATGAGACTTGGATTCTGTTTCTTTCTCCCTCAACATCTTCCAACCCATCCCTCCTCCTCCTGCTCAGTTGGCCATCAACCTCCCTGCCTGCAAGTTGCTGTTGCAGCCACAGAATTGGGTCTGCCCACCAGCATCTCATGGCGGGGCAGTTGGAAGCCTGCTTGTACCCGGGTCTTCACGCACTGGGTCATTTTGTGGCTGGCAGCTTGTGTCCTTGGCTAGAGGTCTGGGAAGGGGCACCAGAATGACACGGGCCCATGTCTGAACTGCATGCACTGTAGCCTTTGCTCAGATGGCGGTAATACTGATAGTTTGCTTGCTGCTCCCTCAGCCCTAGCTTGCTTTTATCAATTGCCTGCCTGGTTTGCTTCAGTCATTTGTATTTTTGCTGAGACAGAATAGAAATGAAATACAGAAATCATTTCTCCTCACCCCAATCTTTTCCCTCAAGGTTTCCCTGCAGGTGTTGGATGCTGTGGTGTGTTATAATTGCCTGCCTTCTGAAATCCTCCCGATGTTCATCATCACCTTGTGCTGGACCATCAACGTGAAGGAGCTCTGTGAGCCCTGCTGGAAGGTGAGGCCTTTCTCCTGGGCTCAGAGCAGGGAGCAGCTGAGTCCTCGGCAGCAGGAGAAAAATGCAGCAGCAGCAGCAGCATGGATTTTTGGGGGTGGGTGGGTGGGTGGGTGGGAGTTTAAGGAACCTACAGCTGGGTTCACCTATCAACCAGGCCAGAATCTGTTTGGGTTGTGGGCTTATTTAATGTTAAGCAAGCCCTGGTATACTAGTCTAGTTCATGTCATATACTAAGCCATAACATGCTTTGTTTATGCTTAGTGCTATTTTTATAAGTAGGTTGAGTTGAATAAGGCAAATTCAATCCCAAACAGCAAATTCAGTCATGTGGATGTGTGAACCAAGTAATATTCTGATCTGGTAATGTTCTTATCTCCAGGCAAACATGCCCAGATCCTTCTATTCTTCAGAGAAAGTTGCTTTGAGATCTAGGATGGGAGCAGATATTTTCTAGGGCCACATGGAAGAAGAAGGGGGAGGGGTTTCAAACAGCCTCCTTTTTGGCTTGATGCCCTATTAGAGCTTCCATACAAAATATTTGGGATAAGGCAGAGTAGACCTGAAAAGTTGGATCTCTTGTCTTCCCTTTTTGGAGCTGTCAGGTTGGCAGGTAGGAGGCCTGAAGAGTGGCTTTCGCTCAGAATTCTTCGAGCACCCCTCCTCCCAAGGTTTCCCCCCCAAGTTTTTGGCTTTGCCACTTACAGATCAGTCCTTTACTGGTTGCTTTACATCAGAAAAACATATGAAATTCAACCCACCTATCTGTGCTTTAAAGAGCAGGAATTTTACATTGAAAATGTTTGGGTGACCTTTTAGAAGACAGTATGCCAAATTATCTACCATACAGTACAGAATTGATATAAATGTTATACAGTTTGATTAAATTTCTATTGGAGAATTTGTCATCAGGCTTGGTGCTGCCCTCATTTCTTTGTTGCAAAATGTATAGTGCTTTCTGTGTAGAATTCTTGGGATTCTGTACACTTAACAGAAAGCCCTTATTTGTCCTTCAGCTCATGCGGAATCTGTTGGGAACTCACCTGGGTCATAGTGCCATTTATAACATGTGTCGGATCATGGAGGATAGGTATGTGGCTGCATGTCTTTCTCAGGGATGGGAGCAAGCCTTAGTTGTGGCACATTGAAGGACTACCTTGGAAGCAGAGAGATGGTTGGGTGCCACCAAAAATGAAATGTTGTTTCATCTTGACGTAGGAAATGTACAAAATCTGGGACCTGTTGTTCTTGTGCAGACTTTTGTGAAGAAGATTAGGCATACTTGCCACTGTTCTCTGTTTTCAGGACTTACATGGCAGATGCTGTCCTCCTGAGGGGAGCTGTCTTCTTTGTGGGGATGGCCTTGTGGGGAGCACACAGACTGCAGTCTCTCAAAAATTCACCAACATCCGTGCTGCCATCTTTCCTGAAGGTAAACGTGAAACCCTGAAAAGGGTTTGAAACAGGATGGCGTAGAGTTGCCTCCCCAAACTTGGGTCCTCCAGATGTATTAGATTATATTCCGAATAGTTCCAAATGCAGCACAACCATAAACCAGAGTCTTCATGGTAGTTGGCCCAACTCTTCCCAAAGTTCCCCGCTTGCAAAGGCTGCCATGGGTTCTCGATAGCAAGGCAAGTGACATTCTGGTCCTAGTTTAGATGCAAAGTTCACTGAATATTCACTGCTGGTTGAGGATTAGTTGCCTTGCCTACCTGCAGATCAGCAACTAGGATACAATTTGGGTAAGGGGAATCTTAGAGATCCCTGAACTCCTTGGAGGAAGGGTGGAGTAATGCTGGAGAAGGGGAACTGGGAACTTGCTTCAGAGATAAATACAAGGTCCTCTTCTTAGTGTCTTCAGAGTTGCTTACATCCCAGATATGGAGCCTCATAAGAGCTTTGAGTGAGCAGGAGTCCGAGGAAGCTATAAGCACCTGGATTCCTCTCTTGGTTGCAACTTTTCACAAACATCCAGTTGTACTCAGAGCAGCTGCTGGCTTGGAGTCCTACTTGCACAACACTAGCATTTGTTTGCTACTTAGATTTGTTATTCATTTTACTATAAAATATGTTTTAGAACAAGGGTGTCAAACTCGATTTCATTGAGGGCCGCACGGGTTGGTCCTTCATTGTTTCCAGCACGGCCCCCCGGGCCAGATCTAAGCACTCCATGGACTGGATTCAGCCCCTGGGCCTTGAGTTTGACACCCTTGTTTTAGAACATAGGTTTAAAATGAAAAATATTTCTTAATTTTATTATAAAATATGTATACCACTTTCTTCCCAGACTTTAGATGGTTTATGGCCAACAAAAATACAAAAAATGATGCCGCTTTTGGATTTAAATAATACTGATGAAAGCAGCTACATAATAATAAAATGTAAAAATGGCACATGTATAAAAATCCCTAAGTAGAGTCAACCACTTGTGCTCTGTCTTCCCCCTGAGCTCAGCAGAAGGGTGCCACCACCATCGTCTTCCTAAAATTCAAGAGGGAAGGGGCCATTCTGGGGAGGGTTCAGGCGCTGCTTCTACTCACCAGCTCTTTCCTTGACTGGGGCTTTTCCTTCTAGGCCATGTCAGCCCCCAATGCCATCGTGTCTTACGAAATCGTTCTCTCCATAACAAGGCTGATCAAGAAGTATGGCAAGGACCTCCAGGCAGTCACTTGGGACGTCCTTTTGGATATCATGCAGCGGCTGGTCGAGCAGCTGCAGGTTGGTGCCCTGCCTGTTTTAGATGCCCTCCTGGTGGAGCAGATTTTGCTGTGCAGCTGACCAGATTGTGAACTTCTGGTCTGTGTGGATTGGAGGTTGTTCTTACAACCGCCTGTATTTTTGTGCATTCTGTTGCTTTTCTCCTCCTTTTCTTTGAGGGGCTCTTTCTCTTCAAGATTGATCAAAACTAAGCCCAGAAAATTAGATGCCACCTCTGTCCTTTTGCTGGCATGGGTAATACCATACAGTTTTATGGTGTGCAATATGGGTGTGCATGAAAAGGAAAAGCTGTGGTGTTTGGAATTTGGGGCAAACCAAGCATTCCAGAAGTCCTTCCCAACCATTTCAGTCCAGCCACAGTTTGGCAGAAGGGGCACTGGGAGCTTTCAGTTCTGAGTTTCAGAACACACAAAATCCCAGAAGCAGACAGACAAGGCTGATGTCCCATCAGCCCTCCTTTCCTCAGCAATTCTCAACATCCCTGCCTGCCTGCCCCCTTGATCTTTCCAGTGCCCCCTCTCCTTTTCTCTTGTTCCCCCATCCCAGCCACTACTGATGAGCATGGCATCTTACCACCTCCTATTTCTTTCTCCACCAATTTCTCTTGCCCAAAATAGCCCCACGTCACTTTCTACTTGAAATACCTGTATCTCATTTCATGCATGAACCTAAACAGCCAAAATGCATGGGATTGGCTTCATGCACCAAACCGGCTATTTAGGGGACCAAATGGGTCGTGTTATCTGTAATGCACAAATAAGTGACATATTTAAACTAGGGCGCATTGCTTGGAATGCGGTTATCCTTTCCTTGAGGAAATCATGACGTGAGTAACCCTGAACTATCTATTAGCTGTCTAGATTTGGAATAGTTAATCCACAGAATAAGACTAGAAACTCAGATTAATAATATTTATTATCAGGAAGGTAAAAAGTTACAACACAAGGATTCCGGAGACCCTCCTTACTCTCAAATGCAACTGCTCTTGTCTGTTCCTGCTTTCCGACTGGAAGTTTGCTCCTTTCTTGAAGGTCCAGCAGTCTACACCTGTTCCTGCATCTGTAACTCTCACAGAAATAGAGATTAAATAATTGCTAGGGGGAAATTAGTTGAGTCACAAGTCTAATAGTTTGGTTTATGAACAGCAGCTAGGAAGAAGGTGCATTTTCCTCCCATTCTTAGGCACCAGGGTTAATGAAAGCAGCTCTGCTAGACAGTGTTGAAATAAGATGTTTTTTTTCCTTCTGCCTTCTAGACTTTGGAAAGCCAGGAGCTGAAATCCATTGTCCACGATTTGTTGACTACAGTTGAGGAGCTGTGTGACCAGAACGACTTCCACGGCTCCAAAGAGAGATACTTCGAACTTGTGGAGCGATGTGCTGACCGAAGGCCTGTAAGGCTTTGGGTGGGAAATGTTCCCCTCAAGTGATCCCTTTGAGTCATTTTATTCGGCCCGAAAGTGCTCCTTCACACCGTTGCTTATTTAATGCACTCCTAAATGGTCTTCCAGGCCCTCTGAGCGGTAAAAGCCAGCTGAGGAGTCTTGGATGGCATTAGCATGCATTGTTTGCTACAGTCATGTAGAAAAGAACAGTCAGGTAGTACCCAGCTTACAACCATTCGTTTTGTGACTGTTCAAAGTTAACAATGGTACTTACGACCATTTTTCACACTTAACGACCATTGTAGTATCCCTATGGTCATGTGACCAAAATTCGTACACGTGGCAATTGGTTCATATTGATGGTTGCAGTGTCCCGGAGTCATATAATCACTTTTTGTGACCTCCTAACATGCAGAGTCAATGGGGAAGCTGTGTTACTAACTTAACCTTGTTTCTCACCCAATATAGAATCCCAGTTAATAAGGCTTTTAATAGTTCATTGGTTCTTGCACATTTTGGTTTTCATTCTTAATGTTATAATGTAATGTAAAATGGAACAAAAATCACTTCACAGATGTCTTTTTTTTTATTGAAAAAGTTTTTCAAAACAGATTTTTCCCCCTTTCCCCCCCTCCTCCCTAACCCCCCTCACCCCCCCTTCCCCTTTGACTTCTTCATAATAAAACCCAAATTCATAACAGATTATATCATGCTTGACTATCCACTTACTCCATCTCCATATACTGACCCTTTCTTTCTAATAAAATTATCATACCCCCCTTATACTATGCTATAATATGCATTTCAAAGTGACATTCTATTATAACAATGTCTAATAACTCCTGATTTAACATAATAATATTATTATATCTCCCAATTTAACAATTTCTGCTCGTGATCTACCCTTTTACTACCCCCCATACGATATAACATTTCATAGCATACTTCCACTCTAAGACTATTCAATAAATCCTAATTTAACACTTATTCAGTTCAGCTACCCATTTCCTTCCCCCCCTTCATTACATATATTCACATCTAAACATAATATCCCTTTTCTTTAAACTAAACAATCCATAACCTAACCTATCTCCACCCACTTTCCTACAAAATTACGTTAATTATTCTTAATATCTTTATTCTTCTGCCCACTCCCCTAGAAAAATATTCCCTTATGTAAATAAAATCCTAAAAGAAAAAGACTTTAAGCTTGTAATCCATATAGCATCTTCTGTAATATCTTTCAACTGGATGATAAACTCCATCGCCCATGTTAGGGTAACATCGCATCCTTATTCCAACAGTATTTTCAGTATCTTCAATTACCATCTGCCCCCATCAGTAACAAATATCTTCATATTGGAAGAGAGAAAAAAAAAAAAACCCCGACAACCACCCGAGTGACTTTATAATTATATTCCATATAATATTTATGGAGGTGTCTTTTATCCAGATTATTAGTTCCAACCATCATAATAGGGTAACAACCAGATCTTCTTCGTGCCCCAATCCAGTAGATCTCTTGCCATATAACTCAGCATACACGTAATATATTTATCCGGAAATCCAAAAAACAAACAAGATATTTCCAACCATTCGATTTAAGGCCTTTTTCACATCCCAAAATAATTCAGCACTGCAGAGATCTGCCCTATCCTCAGGATAAAATAAACCAATACTTTGCCAATTATCTTTTTGTATATTCAGTCCTCTCATAAGTAACTGGCATTACACTGTTGTTTAGTTTAAAAGTTTTTATGTTTGTGAGACCTACTTCTTCTTTTCTTGACTTTTTGTGGGTTGGATCTCCATCCTAAATTCCTTTCTGTAGGTTGTGTGTCAACTATTTGGTTTTGCTGATGTATAACTTGATCCTGTTGGGTTTGCTTTTGTGGCTGAGATCTTTCTGGTTCTGTAAATTGTATATCAACTGATTGACTTCCATGCTGGTTTGTGGCTTGACAAATCATTGCATTAGGGTCCGGAACCGCCTCTCTTATATTAAATAATCCAGCTGAGACCTCTGAAAGAGAATCCAAAAGCGGCTCATCTGTGGAGACCTCTTTAACTTGTTGTTTCTTCATTGTCTCCATCTCCTTCTGCTTTTCTTGAATTTCTGTCTCTTGTTGATTTTGCTTTTTAAGTACCTTATGATAAAATTCTTCCGCTTTTTCAACAGTATTTAACTGATATCTTACTCCTTGATATCTCAGTATTATACCCACTGGGACATCCCACCTGAATAAAATATTTTGTCTTCTTAACTCAGTCACCAAGAGACCAAATGTCTTGCTTAGCAATATAAATTTTGGCCTCAATTATGGACATAAATTGAGGACTACAGTACACCCTCTTTGAGTTCTATGTCTATGGAGTTTTTTTGAGTTCTATAGTTTTATGTATCAGAACATAGTACAAATCATCTGGTCCTCAGCAGTTCTTTAAAATAGGTAAATACAACCTCAGATGAAGAACAACACATGGCATTTTATACGATGTCATTATTTATTTTACAAAAAGAAAGTGGAGAAGCTTTGTGTGAAAACTTGAGTACACCCTGACTGCTTCCATAGGTATGAGGAGGCTAAGTAGCAGCCAGGAGTTGCTAATCTGGTGCCTTTGATCAACTGACCATCAGCAATTGTGACAACCTCTAGAAAAGCCAAAGCTTTAGGAGTTTGCTGGTCCCCAACATTGAGGTGTGTGTTCATACAATGCCAAATAAGAAGGACATCAGAAATGATTTCCTGAGAAGCAATTGGTGCTGCCCATCAATCTGGGAAGGATTATAAAGGCTATTTCCAGATAATCTAAAGCCCATCATTCTACAGAGAGGAAGCTTATTCATGAGGGGAAAACATTCAAGGCAGTCTTCCAGGAGTGGATGTCCCAGCAAACCCCAAGGTCAGATCGCACTCAAGAGAAAAAATGTGTGAAATTGTTGTTCATCTGACATTGTATTTCAAGAACTTTCAAGAACTGCTAAGGACCAGATTATTTTTACTCTGTCTGATACATGAAACCATAGAACTCGAAGAGGGTGTATTTTTCTTTTTCATGCACGTCTCCTGGCAGAGACCCGAAAATCAGCTGGCTGGCGGGAGGCGTGCGAGCATGTGCGCTGGAGCTGACCTGGGCGTTGGCTCACGTGCCCGCAGAAATGGCTCCGCATACCACCTATGGCACACATGCCATAGGTTCGCCATCACAGCCCTATACTGTTTCAGACAAATGGTTGCCCAAAACTTCCAGTGTTGGAGCATTCACAACTTCTGGAGGCAAGTTGTTCCACTGCTTAATTGTTCTCACTGTTAGGAAGTTTCTCCTTAATTCCAGGTTGCTTCTCTCCTTGATTAGTTTCCATCCATTGTTTCTCGTCCTGCCCTCTGGTGCTTTGAAGAATAGCTTGACTCCCTCTTTTTCATGGCGACCCCTGAGATACTGGAACACTGTTATCATGTCACCCCTAGTCCTTTTCATTAAACTAGAACCAATTCCAGCAACCATTCTTCATATGTTTTAGCCTTCAGTCCCCTAATCATCTTTGTTGCTCTTCTCTGCACTTTTTCTGGAATCCCAACATCTTTTTTACATCGGGCGACCAAAACTGGATGCAGTATTCCAAGTGTGGCCTTACCAAGGCATTATAAAGTGGTATTAACACTTCATGTGATCTTGATTCTATCCCTCTGTTAATGCAGCCTAGAACAGTGTTGGCTTTTTTGGCAGCTGCTGTACACTACTGGCTCATATTTAAGTGATTGTTCACTAGGGCTCCAAGATCTCTCTCATAGTTACTATTGAGCCAGGTACCACCTATACTATACTTGTGCATTAGGGTTTTTTTGCCTAAGTGTAGAACCTTACTTTTTTCACCATTGAATTACATTTTATTAGATAGCGCTCAATGTTCAAGTCTGTCAAGATCCTTCTGTATCTTAAACCTAACTTCTGGAGTGTTGGCTATTCCTGCCAGCTGGGTGTTTCCTGCAGATTTGATGAGTATCCCATCTATCCAGAGGTGATATTCAGCAGGTTCTGACCAGTTCTGGAGAACCGGTAGCGGAAATTTTGAGTAGTTTGGAGAACCAGTAAATACTACCTCTGACTGGCCCCGCCCCCATCTATTCTCTGCCTCCTGAGTCCCAGCTGATCGGGAGGAAATGAGGATTTTGCAGTAACCTTCCCCTGGAATGGGAAGGGAATGGAGATTTTACAGTATCCTTCCCCTGCCATGCCCATCAAGCCATGCCCACAGAACCAGTAATAAAAAAAATTGAATCCCACCACTGCATCTATCCCCTCATCCAAATCATTGATGAAGATGTTGAAGAGTACTGGGTCTAAAACAGCCTTTAGGTACTCCACTGAATACTTCCCTCCATGTAGATGCAGTTCCATTGAGGACTACATGTTGAGTCCAGTTGGTTAGCCAGTTATGAATCCATTTGGTGCTGATGCTGTCTAACCCACATTTTTCTATGTTATCAAGTTTCCGTAATGGCAGCAATATCATATCTGCCCTTACTTACTTGAATTTCTAATTCACCCTTTGTATTCCTCATACTCTGTGCGTTGGTGTATAGACAATTGAATCCTTTTTGACTGACCCTGTTTACTTTCTACATAGCCTGTTTTGTGCCTGAGTTCCCCTACTTCCTTACCACCTGTTTGATTGGTGCACATGGTATGGCACACACTATCAAAAGCTTGATTTTCCTTGACATCAAGGTCGATATTCTTACCCACACAAACATCTGTTACAAGCACTAATAACCCTATTAGTTTTAGATTGCTGGGGACAGAAATGTTCTGTATCAATTAACTCTCTGTCCCTGCTGTGTCATGACTAAATCAATCCTGATCAATAAAACCCATTATTTTAAATGTTATATATTCTCCCAAAACCGGTTTGATGCCTGTGAGGAAGTTGTATGGCAACTATGCTTCAGTTAAAAAAAAACAAATTTTAATGTTATGTATGAATTAAAAAAGAAAGCTAAATTACAAACTGCAGGGCAGATAACATGTCCCTCTTTCTAACTACCACTGGAAGAGACCACCATTTAAGTCACACCTCTTCTAAACCATTAACATTGGTTCTGCATGATCCTGATTTTTTTTGCATATATGTGTCTATAAAGTAGTAAGAAACAAAACTTGGTGCTTTTTAAGCCAGAATGTTTGGATCTTACTGGAGAAAGATAAGAGGCTATTTTTATTTAATTTATCAAATTTAGAAACTGCCCATATTCCTCACAGAGGGACTCTGGCCTGTGTACATGTAAAATATTAAAAGCATGAAAACTGAATATAAAATTATATAAGAAGCAAAAGATAGTTAAAATGAAAATGATTCAGAACTCCAGTATCCCTTTCCCCCCCCCTCACTGCTGTCTCTCTGTTGCCTTTTGGAAGGAATCTTCGGTTCTGAACCTCATAACCTACCGAGCTCAGTCCATCCACCCTGCAAAGGACGGCTGGATTCAAAACCTCCAGGCACTAATGGACAGGTTCTTCAGGTAGGACCAACAACTGCCACGTGGCTCCACGTCACCTCTTTTCTCTCCAGGCTTTGCCAGATGAGGATGTTGAGGTGAGGGTCCCAAGAGCTGCTGGAGACCATGTCAGGAAGGGACCCTGATTGAGCTCCCCAGAATGGTTTGCGGCTTCTGAGTGCAGCCATTGTGCTTTATGCTTTGAGCTATTGATGACTCCAACCCACGTGATCATACTTTTCTGATGTTTTAATACTACTTTATTGCAATAATGTCCCATCTCTCCTCTGGGAGCTCAAGGCCACTCACATGGATGTCCCCTCTCAAACTAGCCACAACAAAAACTCTGAGAGGTAGGACGAATGGGTAGCTGTGAGCTCCATTCACCGGGGGTGGGAGTGGGGGGTTGAATATCAAATGTATGGTTGAAGTAGCAAACTTACTTTCACTTTGCTCTAAATGATTTGATACCAACCAATATATTATAACTGAAGAAATATTAGGAGAAATTTCTCCCTGGTTCAGATGATTCCAAAGTGGAATTATAGAGACTTAGCAATGGTGGCCTCTTCTTTTGTTAAAGGGCCTAGAAAGAGAGGCTGGCTGGTCAAGGATTGGGACACTTGAGCAGCAGATACATCTGTGGACCTTGCATTGGACCTAATGTTCTGCACATTGCTTACATTTCTGTGGCTGCATCCCCACATGGGAATAGGGAAGTTGAGGTCGTGGTTGTCTGGGTCCCAGAGAGAAAACTTAAGTGCAAAGCACAGTTTACACCAAATCATTCAAACCAACGATTTACAGGTACTGCTTGCCTTATCACGCTACAATGAACAATGGTTCAAAGTTAAAACGGCCTTGGAAAGAGTGACACGACCTGGACTCACGCTTGACCTGTTCCACCGGTCACAATTTGGGCACTTGGCAATTGGTTGTAAATGTGCCAGGTGTCAAAGTGGGATCTCGTGATTGCAACCTGTGACTTTTTTTTTTTTCTGTTTTCGGGCAAAAGTGGTAAAAAATGCCCATTGAGGAAACTGGATTTGCTTAATGACCACATTGTTTGCTTAATGATTACAGTGATTTGCTTAATGACTGCTGTAAAAATTGCTGTAAAATCGGGTCCATCTCATAAGTGCAATAACTTACGATGGAAAAACTACATGTACTATATATTGATGCATACTTTTATTAGTGGCAGTGTTTCTATAATTATTATATTGTTTTAAGTTAACTGTTATAATTAGGATAACAAATAATTGGAACATGTCCTGTTAGCCCAGAAGCGCATCACCACTGAATAAACCAAAGATTGGTTTAGCCTAAAGGATCAGATGAGTTCCGGAGTTAGCTTATAGTTTAACAAGCTGAGCAACGCTGGCTGCCATAAGATTTTGAGCTGCATGGGTAGATTTGGTTTCTTTTTGAAAAGCAACTTTATTTCTCCACCTTTTCTGCTTAGAAATGAGAGTCGGAGTGCTGTTCGCATAAAGGTTTTGCACGTCCTGTCTTTCGTGCTGAGTGTCAACAGGCAGCTTTATGAGGTGAGTCCCCCTCTTATTCTGATTGTACAGAGAGGTCGTCAGGCTTTGTGGCCCAGAGGAGAGAGGCACAAACAGTTGGTGTGCAAATTGTTCCATGTACAGAAGCAATGGTGTTCACGCTCAAACCGAACACGTGTTTGGACAAGATAGAGATGCAGGTGAGGACATTTTCTGATCTGGTTGCTCTGGGCAGGTCTGTTTTGCAGGGGGAGAGCCATGGCCGTGAGCTTTCCTTGCAATAGCACATCCCAGGAATGGCAGTTGAGAAGGGAGAGGCAGTGAAGGTCGAACAGGGACTTTGGGAGAACCCCTATGCTGCCCCATGGTGGAAGGCCATCTCCTTTTCCACACAGGCATCCGGAAGGAAGGTCATGGCCTGGAAACTGGGAACTGCTGAAGCCCTTGAGCAACAGGGCCCCCCCAGTCAGGCAACAAAGGCAAGAACAGCAGCACTGCCTTCTCTTAATTCTGAACAAGGAGAGAGAGAGAGAGGGAAAAAAGTCTTTGCCCTGCTCGCCTCAGGAAATTGCTCCAGATCCCTCTGGGGTTTCTTTTGGCTGAAACTCACAACAGCAACAAAAAAAGTTTTGTCCCTGGCAAATTCCAGCTAAACTTCCAGAACACAATGCATTTATGTTAATTAGTTAGAAACAAACAAACAAACAAACAAACATATTTGTCCTCCAGATAGAGCGCCCCCCCCCCCAATGGAAGGCGGGAAATAGTTACTAATAAAAATGGGCAAAATGGCAGCTCCCTTCCCATCCCTTGGAGACAGCTGCCTACTTCCCCCAGGTCACAGGGTCCTCTCCAGCCTGTCCTTCATGCATTTTGACTATTTCAGGCAAGGGACTTACGCCTTGCAGAGACTTTTGCCTACTGAGATAGCCCAAACCAAGGAAACCTGTCCTATTTTTGAGGTCAGGAATTTTAAGGAATGGATACCAAAATCCTCTGCAAGGGTTAGCCCTCTTTTCCCTGAAACCACCAGAAAATTGGGCTCAAGGAACACATGTCATCCCGTAGAACTTTGGAATGCTGCCCTCAGCAGGCACAGAAAGTTTAGTCTCACTTTGAAGGCAGTGGAAGCTGCACAGCCTGTTTCTTTGTGTATGTGTTTCATAGATTCAGTGCTTTTCTGCAGTGAAATGGAAATGTTGGGTTGCTTCTTTGGCTTCCATCAGATGATCCTTGAATCCTTTGGAAACCCTGAATATATGCACTGCCTTCTTCTCCCACCTGTCACTGCTTGCACTTCTCAAATTCCTATTTAAGGTGGTGAATTTATAATGATTACTTATTTATCTATTGATTTTTAGTATATTACGTGGGATTCAGTAAAAGCAGCAGAACACAATTTTTAAAATCACAAATGGAAACAACAGTCAATGAAAACTAGTTCAGCATTTAAAATCATAGAAAGCTGTATTTTTACTGTGAAGTGCTCAGAGATCTTGACAATCAGCTGAATTCAAAATCTCAGGAATAATATTAACAGTTGTAAAAGTGCCACATTTGCTGACTAACACTGCTGAAAGATAAAACAATAGTTTATAAACAAAAAAATTAAGGCAGAAGTGATAAAAATCCAGGCGCTTGTCAACTGACTCATATTTTTGTAGTATTTTGGGGTCATGCGATCACATTTCTTGATCTTCTGGAGGAGCCAGATTCATTTAACAACTGTGCTACTAACTTAACATCTGCATTGATGTACTTAACAACTGTGGCAGGAAAGGTCATAAAATGGGACAAAATTTACTTAATAACAGACTAGCTTAGCAACAGAAATTTTGAGTTCAATTGTCATAAATCAAGGACTACCTGTACAATACAGGGCTGATATAAATGTTGCAAGTCTGAAAATCTTCCCGCTAGCGCAGATCCTTCTTTTAGCTTCTTTTCCTGACCCCCTAAGTGACTGGGGAGTTCTGCACCTCATATAATCTGAGTGTTTCCTTGGCAACTTCTCTTCCCCTCGTTCCCCAACCTCTTTTACACATCCCAGTGCACACTCATGGTTGTGTGTGTTGAAACGATTGTTGGTTCTGGAGGCTGAATGACGTATGGCTGCTTGAGGACCTAGAAATTCAAGACTCCCGAACCTGATTGTTTTGCCTGACAGCATAGAAACCTGTCGATCCATCCGCTTTAGTTACAGTTGGAAATTGTCTCTGATTGCAGGAGGAATTGATCAATCTGGTCATCTCCCAACTGTCTCATGTCCCAGAAGATAAAGACCACCAAGTTCGCAAACTGGCCACCCAGTTGCTGGTGGACTTGGCCGAGGGTTGCAATACCCATCACTTCAGCAGCTTGCTGGATATCATAGAGAAGGTATGGACTCCGTGTTTCACCTCCAGTTTCTGTGACCGTGGAGATGAAGCCCCTTCCCAGGAAACAAGAGAGCAAATCCTGCTTCGGGTCAGAGAGACTGCTGTTCATTCAAGACTCACTGCTTTTCTGGTGGGGCTGTCCAGTGCGCATTGTAAAATTAAGAGGCTTTGGTAACAATGACAGCATTGTGTCGCAACTCTGTTTTGAGGCCGTGGAATTGGACCACCACCTAGAAGCTCCCATTTAGGCTCCTTCCCCTTCCACTATGTCTTGTTAGCTGAAACAGAGTTCGGACGTACACAAAGCACTGAACTATGATGTTTCCAAGCACTGTTTATTGAATAAGCCATGCAGAGAGTCCTCATTTTACAACCACAACTGTGACTTACAACTCTGCCACTAAGTAATGTGTTTGTTAAGCAAAACATATCACACGATTGCCCCTCACTGGCCATGTCTGTTGCCAGTGTTAAGTGAATCCCACTCGGTCATCAGGTGAGGACCCACCCTCATATAAGCCATTCTCAGTTTGGTCCCTCCTGGCCCCAAGCCTTTGTTCTTGCAGATAAGGGGGGTGTCTCCTCTTCACCTCCCTCTCCCTCATCTCCATCCTCTTGGCCGTCCTACCCAGCAGCACTTCTCGGTGGTGGCATTAGCGGCTCTCGGAGCTCCTGGGGTGTAGCCTGGCAATCTCCACCCCTTGAAGTCCCCATTGTGGGCTGCCGTCTTCACCAAAGCTGTTTGCTGTCTTCCTGTAAAGGTGGCTTCCCACTCTTTGCTGCCTCCTGCTGACCTGGAAGAAAGAGACCTGCTCTCTTACTCGGCCTCCTTAGAAGACGTGAAGACGGCAGTCGTTGGCTTACTTGTCATTTTCCAGGTAAAGTTCCAGCCTGCCCTTTCTTTTTCCCTTACAAGGAGAATATTTTAAGGATTCCATATGGTCCTCAGCCATTCTTTCTGTGCTTTTGTAGTAGAAGAGAACAGTTTCAGTGTGACAAAACCTCCCCTCCTCCTCCTTTTAGACCAAGTTGTACAGCTTGCCTGCCAGTCACGCCATGCGGGTCTACGAGATGCTCGCCCATCACCTTCAGCTCCACTACAAGCACAAGTACAGCCTCCCCATTGCTAGCAGCATCCGCCTGCAGGTGAAAACTCTTTCAGACCCCTTCCCAGACCCAGGGATTTGCAGGAAAAGATGGAGGGAGAAAGCAAAGGGGGAGCAAATGGTTTGCGTGGCCATTGCTGCTGAACTTGCAGACAGCTGTCTTGGTTTTACAAGTTCTGAGAAGAAGTTTGTCACAACAAAGGGGTGAGGTGCCTCTTTCTGAATCCCTAGACCAGGCTAAGTGTGACCCTCTTGCCTGTCTTAGGGGTCTTATTGTGAAGGTTTGAACCTGATGATGATACAAGAGGAAAGAGGTTTAACAGCAATGCAGCAGGACATTGACTTTTGCAGGGATCCTGTGCCCGTGGGGGTGGGGACAATTTCTTTCTGCTGCCCATCTAATACTTTCTAAATGTTTTTCAGAAATCTTAGCTTGACTGAGGAGCTCTTTTCATGTAGTTAGGCTTGGAAGGACTGGAAACGATGCCCTTTTCTTTTCCTTCTTGCTCTTACGTTGGATTGTTCTTTCCATTTTTAGGTATTTGACTTCTTGCTCTCACTGCGTGCTGATGCTCTTCTCCACCGCCTGGGCCTCCCCACCAAAGACGGCCTTGTGAGATTCAGCCCCTACTGCCTCTGCGATGCGGTGTATGTTTCTTTTGGTTGCAGCCTTTCCCTTTCCAGAGGTTGGGGGCAGCGGCTGCCTCTTCTCCCAAATGCTTCTTCTTTGTCCTAGCCTAAAGCTTGCTTGGAATGGTCTGGAAGGAGCTCGGTCTTCTGAATGGAATGGGGAGCTCTGGGCACCAGGCCATGCTGATGCTCTTCTCTTGTGTTGCAGGGAGCCCGAGAAAAAGCTTGCCGGCACTCTGTCCCCTCCCTCGGGAAGTCCAAGTGGCCCCACTCAGAACGCCCCCATCCGCACAGGCCACCTGTCTTACTCGCTCCTCTTTGGAGTTCTCCTGCAGTGCTTGAAGCAAGTGAGTGAGGAGTCAAAGTGCACAAAAGCCAGTTGATCTGAGTTCTCGGTGTCCAGCCAGGATTGGACTGAAGCCAGAGGCTGGAGGTTCAAGGCAGCTTCTGCCAGTCGCAGTGGGTTTCCCTGTTTTCTAGACACAGGTTGTCATAAATGGCCAGACTGCAGTCATCTTGCAGCAAACTTTGGGAGAGTGCTGAAGAGACCCGAGTTCTGAACTGGGAAGTTCCCAGTATCTTGCAACTCCATTCCCCCAAAGCAGTGCCCTTCACATGTCTTTACTTCAATTTTCAGATCTCTTTGCTGGCCCAAACATATGCTCTGTTGTTTGGAGATTCTGGCAACTATGTTCTACATCTTAAGGATGTCCAGTTAGGCAGGCAAGCTTACAGGATTATTGTTAGTAGGTTTAAGATTTTGAATCAATGCTGGGATTATTGCCAGTGGTTTGCAACATTCCTGTTTGTTTAAGGAATGCCGTAATACTCATATTTATTTATTTTGAGGGTTATGTTCTGTCTGCCAATATTGGTTCTGAAATGCTATCAAGAACAAATAATATAGCAAGTGCAGAGTAATTAAATAATGGCTAGGATGCTGAGAATGAACAACTCGATTCACATAGAAAAAGGATTCTTCCTTGTCTGCCACTTTCTGGGCTCTTCCTCCATTTCTCCAATTTCTCTCTTCTTCTTCTTCTTCTTCTTCCCTTTTAGGAGACAGACTGGAAGGTGCTGAAGCAGGTCCTGAACAAGCTGCCCAAATCCCTGCAGTATAAAGTCCTGTACTTAACCTCCCCTTGCAGTATCGATCAGCTGTCTTCTGCCCTGTGCTCCATGGTAAGGATGTGCTGGGCCTCTGGGAATTTGGGCTTGGCTGTTTGGGGCCCAGCTTCTCTCTGTCCTTCCCCGACACATTTTCATGATATGACTACAGTGTTTGACAGGGAGCCAGCATGGAATTGGGGGAGGGGGGAGGTATTAGCCTGCAGCTTTCAAATTGGTCTTGGCTGTTTGTATCCAGGGCTGTAGAGCATGTTTTAGGCTGAGGGCCAGAATCTGTGTGGGTTGATCCAGCACAAGCAAAAACTACATTTTAAATCAAATGCAGTTCACTTTGATAATTCTCCATGCATTTGTTTTCCCTTCGTCCTCTATGAAGAATGCAGTTCATTTTTCATCCAGCAGGGGTTTTGAGGAGTGTCGTCTCCTTCCCCCAAGGCTTCAGAGGCCCAGCGGCTTGCCTGCCCCCCCCCCATGGTTCCAATCCACAATTTCCCTCGTGTAACATTGTTTTTGGAAAGCACAAGTCAGTGACTCTTTCGCCCTAGCTCACCGATAAAAAGATGACGGAGCGGCTGAGGGATGTCTCGGAAGGGCTGTCCCGGAACGACTTGCACCAGGCGGTGGTTCCGGTCTTGACTGCTTTGATCTCCTATCACAGCTACCTGGACAAGACAAAGCAGGTATTGCCGGAGGGGCGGGGGCAGTGGGGCGAGGGAAACTTTCTGCTTTCGGGGCTTCTGAGACCCCTGCATTTATAATGATTGCTACCACTTTTTGCCATTTCATTCCCAGAGGCTCTCGGGGCTTTATAAGCATTAACAAGAGAAGATTAAAGGCAAAATTCAGCGTATGCAGTGATAGCCAATCAGTCCAGTGTTCCACCATTCGGGATAGATGACCTTAATCATCTTCAGATGCTTTTCTGAAGCACCATAACAACGCCGCAAGGGGTGGTTGGTGTCCAGATCTCTGGGAATGGGCTGGGAAAGGCTTAAGCAGGGGATCTCCAAATAGCATTCCCCTGGTGGAAGGATCCTGTGCAAGCACGTTTCACTGGATTAGCAGATTCACCTTGGAGAAGGCAGACCCGGAGAAATCCAGCCCTTGAGTCATGTCAGGTTTTAAAAGTGTTGATCTGCACCCGGAACTCCCTGGCAGTCGTTACAACTCTCAGCGATGGCATTTTGTGAGCAGGCGTCTGTGGGTGCATAGCCAGGGCTGCTGCAGTTTCCCCAAGGCCTTCTGCGTGCAGGGCAGGGATAGGCCTGCTAGAGATCCTAGTGATAAGGGCATGAATTACAGGCAGCCTTCAATTTACAGCCATACGTTTAGTAACCATTCAGAGTTGCAACGGCACTGGAAAAGTGACATGACCGTTTCTCACAACTGAGGATGGGGATGATTTCTTGAGAAGAGGACGTACCACCTCTTTCAAGAGAAGGAGCACCACCACTCACCAATATATTTACTACCACCTGACTCAGTCTTTTGTCTCACACACACACACACATACACACACGCACACGGGCTTTGACTGACCAGATAAGGCAACGACCTAATTCACAAGCGGTGGAGCTAATCCCACGGGGGACTCGGTCTGCTTCATCAAGAGCCACAGGTTGAAGCTACTTCCTGCTCCCCAAGACAAGAGCTTGTCACTTCAAATGGATTTGCCCAAGCGGCATCCAAGTTAATATGAGTGATTTTGTCCTCCAAAGGTTTAGCATAGAGAGATGCCTGAGAGAATATTTAATCTGAGGAACCTTGAATTTGGCTTTTTAAAAATCCTCTTTTGGATGCTAAAACCCATCACAGTCAACTCCGTCATTCTAACAATCTATACTCAATACATACAGAATGTCTTAGAGCCCACATTGTATCTTCTCCTGTATAACCATGTTCTCTCCATCCAGCGAGAGATGGTTTACTGCCTGGAGCATGGGCTGATCTTCCGCTGCGCCAGCCAGTGTGTGGTGGCATTGTCGATCTGCAGCGTTGAGATGCCGGATATTATCATCAAAGCTTTGCCAGTCCTGATAGTTAAGTTGACGCATATTTCAGCCACAGCCAACATGGCCATCCCTCTCTTGGAATTCCTTTCAAGTAAGTTGTGGGTGGCCCCAGAGTCTGCATCGGCCTGTCTCTTCGGGAGGGGTAGCAAAAAGCATCTCTGCTTTTTTGGAAACTCTTAGAAACTCCATAAGATCTTTGACAGTGGGATACTTGAATAGTTGCCCTGTCTCCGAAATAGTTGCCCTTTCTTGTGCAAATTTTTGGTGCTTTGACAGTGAGAAGGCAGGGGGAATTAGAGGAAAACAGGTGCGGGAAAGCTCAAACCATTTTAGTTTCTGGAGATCGTTGAGTTGCTCTTTGCATCTGGGGTTATATTTTCAGTCCCAGCAAGTGATAGAACTCTAGCTCAGACCCCACCCCACCCCACCCCCATATTCAGATATAGCTGGGACTTGAGTGAGAGACCACTGAAACAGGCATTAGCATGCCACTTCCCTTCCCTGGCCAAGAAGGCTACCTGGGACAGATGACCTGTCCCTGCACGAGACCAATCCAAGCTTGGTGGGCAGGCTATCCTACGGGGCCTAGCCTTGTGTTGGTAGACTGCTGTTTTATGATTTAGGGTGATACAGAATCCCAGCCCATTGCAGTTCATTCAAAAACCTTCATCTGTGTGAATTTTGCAAAATCAGGCAATGTGAATTTCCTTTATGTGCATGGAGCAGGGTGAGGCCTCTCACCTGACCTTATTTTCTTCTCCCTTCCAGCCCTGGCCCGCCTGCCTCATCTCTACAGGAATTTTGCAGCGGAGCAGTACGCCAGTGTATTTGCCATCTCTCTGCCCTATACAAACCCCTCCAAGTAAGCTGGCTGCTTCATATTAATTCGTAACCAAGGGATCCTTGGTTTTCTGTAAACAGTTGTTTTGAGAATGGCTTTCCACTCCAGAAGAGAATGGCTTAGATGGCCCAGTCCCATTGTCCCAAGCGTGCAGCTGCTTTGTTCTCCTTCCCCTTCTCTTAGGAGACTGAAAGATGAGAGAGGCAGAAGGGGATAGCAATAGCAATAGCACTTAGACTTATATACCACTTCAAAGTGCTTTACAGCCCTCTCTAAACAGTTTACAGAGTCAGCCTCTTGCCCACAACAATCTGGGTCCTCATTTTACCCACCTCAGAAGGATGGAAGGCTGAGTCAGCCTTGAGCCTGGTGAGATTCGAACTGCCAAATTGCAGTCAGCTGGCAGTCAGCAGAAGTAGTCTGCAGTATGCATTCTAACCACTGTGCCACCATGGCTCCTATGGTGAAGAGGCTGGTTGATGAATGTATCAGCTATGGTGAATTTACTTCTCAGGCAAACCTCCTGCCTATCGGCATGACCTTCACAGTATAGACTTCTCTGTAGCACTTCCATTGGTAGAACAGATCACACAGGTTGACCTGGCTGCTTTGCCCCATGCTGTTGTTGTTAATTTGATGGACTGCATATTTATTGATTTATAAATTGATTGACCCAGGCCATCAGGGCTACTAAACATCCTTTCTTAACTGTTTGTAGGTTTAACCAGTATATTGTATGCCTGGCGCATCATGTCATAGCCATGTGGTTTATCAAATGCCGTCTCCCCTTTCGGAAAGACTTTGTTCCCTATATCACTAAGGTGAGTGTCTTCCATAATTAAGAAAGACCAAGGAAAAGTCCGGCTGCTGCAGCCGTTTCTTAACCCTGGCAGCTTTCAGAAATGTGGCTTCCAGCTCCCAAAGTGATTCTCGCAGCCCGCAACACACTTCAGTGATCTTTCTTCTCATTGTGACTTGCCTCACAATTAGTGAGGCTGGGAAGATTTTGCTTGAGTTGACTTTGCGGCTTGATCCAGCTATTCCCCAGCCAGGGATAGAGGACAGAGGGACTGGCCTTGAAGGTCAGGAGGAAAAGCGGCTGTGGGCCAAGGGAGCCTCTCCCTCATTCACCTGAAGGGGAAGGGAGGGTGGGGGAAGCACAGTCCAATTTGCAAGATTTGGTTCTTCTGGCTGTTACAATAAAAATAGCCCTTGCCACATGGCCTCATCTGGTCTACATTGTAGGGCTAACACCAAGTGCCCTTTGAGTGGGAGTGGGGGTGTTCAGCTGGGGGTGTTGTGCTGAGACCCATCTGGGGTAGAGAACCTCTTGGATCCTCTCTGGCACACTCCCCCCCTCCTCCTCTTTTGGACAGGGCTTGCGGTCGAACATCCTCCTCTCCTTCGATGACACCCCAGAGAAAGACAGTTTCCGAGCTCGGAGTACCAGTCTGAATGAGAGACCCAAGAAGTAAGTTGGTCCTAAGAGCAGGAAAGGCTCTTCTCTCGCTTTGGCAGCAGTTAAAGGCGGTTTCTACAAGAAGGGCTTCTCTCAGCCTTTGCCCACTCGCTCTGGCTGGATGGTGGCTGCAACGCACCTGGAGAAGGGATGTATGGAACGAATGCAGAGCCTTTGCCTCCCTTCTTGGTGAAGAACTCGGATTCACCCTCTTGGGTTGCCTGTTCACGTCTTGAGGTGGCTGAGGTACTCTAGAGGCATCTTAGTTCTTCTCCCAGTTCTAACAGCCATCAGACGGGTTGCCAAACAGAGACCGCAGTATAGTCTTTGTGAGTCAGGTTAAATCACAATAATTGAAGTGTCTCGAATCAATCTTCTTCCAAAAACTCTTGGAATCTGTTCCTCTCCAAAGGAGAGAACTTCTTGATTAGAAATTAATGGTTCTCATGACTCGCTTTTAAACAGAACACTCGCCAGAAATCCCCAAACTATGAATAAATTGTAGTCAGACTTGGTATGCCTTCATAGAAGCAGCTCAGGTAGGAGAGACAATAATGTGTTTGTCTGCCTGGTAAGAAATGCATTCTCCCGGCTCCTGATGTCTTTCTCAGGTGATGTTCTTACTGGAGTCCAGACTGGAGGGATTCCCACTCAAAAAAACTTGCTTGTTTGAAATGAAATAATTTTGTTTGGCAGTAGGAAAAATGCAGTAATTCTTACCCTCAGTCTTGGGGTTGTCCTGCTTCAGTGCTGGAGTGGTTTCTCCATTGAGTGGATGCTTCCTGATGAGCCTTGTGACTTGATGGGTCACTTGGGGCAGTGTTGTGAAGGGCACTTGGAGGTCTCTGGTCCTGTCTCTGCCCACTCAGCTGCGTAAGGGGCTCCCTTGTACAACGCACCTTAACATTCCAGCTGCCACTTTCAATCTGCCTTTGTGTTAAGTTGCGCTAATTTCATCTGGTTGTGTGTGGTTGGTTTTGTGTTCTGTTTTATTTTGGGTTGGGGTAACACCGAGCAGTCTGGAGCAAAACGGGCTTGTTGTGTTTAAAATGTTCATGCTGTTAAGTTTTTCTTGTTTTTTAATTCCCTTCCCTCCTTTTTTTGGCCTTTTGTCTTCTGTTTTGTCTTCTTTTCCTTTCTTTTCTCCACCGTCTTCTGGGGCTTTTGTGGCCTTTCACATCCCATCCTTCCAATGATTTCCTTGCTGTGCAATCCCGCCTCTCTGGTTCTGATGCCGCTTTGCCCTTAGTAGCTTTAAAGTAGGCAAAAATGCCAGGCCAAACTTGAACCAGTCTCCTCCCGTGAGAGCCCTGAAGGATCCCTCGGCCGTTGATGCCTTCCGCTCCCGCAGCATCAGTGTGTCTGACCATGCAGCCCACAGGTAGAGATGCTGGGACAGGGGAGGAGGAGGAGGAGGGTGAAGAGCAAGGGGGTCTGTGCTGAGGGGGCTGGGACGGTGCATGTTGGGACTCCTGCTTGGCTTCCTGATGCCCACCCTCCCACTAGCTTTGCAAGCATGTTGGTGCATGTTTCAGGATAACGGTCTAAGTTTGGTTTGGCTTGGTTTGGTTTGGTTTGAAGGGACCATGCTGGTGCTTTGCCCAGATCCCCCCCTCCCCCACCATTTCTTAGGGTATGACAGGTTGCAGTTGCTTCTGGCTTAAACCTTTCAAATGGTGGTTATTCCATGGCCGGAATGAAAGCATATCCTGTGTGCTGGCTCTGTGCTTCGTAATATCATGGTTCAAAACCTGTGCAGATACTACGGGATGGAGTGGAAATGGGGACGTGGAACCTGAGATCTTTTGAGAATGAACTGTCAAGGTTTGCCATCTATAATCTTCTATAGCTCTGTATTTAGTTTAAGCAGTTTAAAACAAGGAAGGCATCCAGAATGCATCTCTTTCATATCCAAGGCAAATGTAACATTCGCTGCAAGAAAAATCCACTTATTCCCTGCTACCTGAAGGCTGAGCCTCACTCTGACCTTCACCCTTATGAAGCATCATGTTCATTTGGGTTACCCCGCCTTGTCAGAGCTAATCCTGATTCCCTTCAGTCAATGTTTGACACTAGTTTGGAAGATAACCATAATTGAGGCTGCTTTATTGTATCACTAACCAGTTGTGAGGAAGAGAAAGAAAGGGGGGATTTGCGAGCCTCTGGTCTCGTCTTAGGCATCAAAACTTTATCTGTGCTGGCTCCTCAGTTATGTTTGGCGGGGGGAGGGGTTCCTTCAACAGCTGTATTGGGAACCTGGGTAGGGAAGGGCTAGCTGCAGCAAAGAGGAATCCTAGCTGCCAATCCTAGTTAGCAACAGAGTAATTGCAGAGGAGCCCATCACAGAGATGTCCTTGTGTGGAAACTCACATACTTTCTTCCAGTTAACTGGGAAAAAAAGACTTGAGAACTGGAGGAGAAGGCGTGAGTGGAGGGGTTTTGCTGCAGACAACAACCGTCAGATGTAGCTTAAAGAGCAACCAAAGAACAGCCATAAGAGCCAACACAAAATCAGGCAAAGGGACTCAGATATGAAAGCTGATGTGCCTTGAACAAAGTCCTGCACCTTCAAAACTTGTTTGTGAAATAATTCTGCTTTGGGGTGGGGGGGGTGGACGGGACACACAGAATTATGGTCTGCTGAGGTGAGGGTTTCTGCAGGGTAAAATAAGACGGCAGCCAAAATTATGCGATTGCAGCTCTGCCTGCTTTTGATGCCCTGTGGCAGCCACCATTTTTTTCATTTGGGGCAGACCCTGTGCTGGGTGCACATTTCATTTCGAGCCGGTCTGACACTCAGGCTTTCACCGGCAGGTTGTGGCTCCATTCCCAGAATGAGTGGAAGGGGCCCTGCCTTGGCCAAGAAGTGGCCAGGATTGGGACATTTGTTTCGATTTAAACATAACGGGATTAAGATGGTTGCAGTGTCCCAGGTCATGTGATCCCCTTTTGTGACTTTCTGGCAAGGAAAGTGAATGGGGAAGCCAGATTCACTTAACCACCCTGTTGCTCACTTAAAATCCCCAGTGATTCACTTAATAACTCTGGCAAGAAAGGTGGTAAAATGAGGCAAAACCCACTTAACAGCTGTCTCACTTAGCAATCAGATTTGGGGCTCAATTGTGTTCTTAAGTCTAGCTACACACCGCTGACCATTAAGCTAATGTGTTTTAATTAATATTAAATACTTAAATACTTAATACTGATATTAAACAAGGTTTCCCCCAAATATCAGACTCTGTGGAGTTGAGCATCTCAGCCAGGGAAGCCACCTGGGGGCCTTGCAGGGCTCTTGTTATGGGGTTAGAACTGGGGAGAGAAAGCAATTTGCAGCCTCCTGGGTTGTCTGGAATGGGGAGAGAAATAAATTTTACTGATTTCCGGCTCCCACCTTTGAATCAGTGGGAGTCTTTCTGTTTGCATTTTTTGAGGTATTTCAGTTTGATTCCTTTAGTTTTTCTTTTACAAGGTAAATTCATTTTTTGTACATAATTATCTAGTTTAATCCTGATTCAGCCCTCTGAACCCCTTGCTGTTCAATCATAGACAAACGAGAGTCCTGAAAATGACCCCCAGTCAATTCTGGCCGGTTACTATCTGATGCCATCTGGCCAAGCCCTTCTCTGCTTTTGGGAATAGATGAAATAGCCACCCATTTGCTCTTCTCCCTGCATCTGCTTCCTGGCCCTGGACTTCAGGGCTCCCCAAGCCAGCGTGAGGCCTGTCAGTTAAAACCTCCCAGAATCGGATATATTCGCCCACAACTCAGCCTGCTGCATGCTTAACAGAATTTGGGGGCCTCTTCCCTTGGGAGATTTGTTCTTCAAAATTATAATCTTCTCCCTGCCCCCCTTTTCTAGCCGGATACAAACCTCCATCACCAGTTCCAGCCTGGGCTCTGCCGATGAGAACTCCATGGCTCAGGCAGACGACAACCTGAAGACCCTCCACTTGGAGCTCACAGAGACCTGCCTCGACATGATGGCCCGATATGTCTTTTCCAACTTCACAGCTGTGCCCAAAAGGTTGGAGTAGCTGTTCTCCTCTGGTGTTTACACGGGGTTCTTCCCAGGAGGGAGACCCAACACCTGAAGCATTAAGCTCCAGGGTTGGTGCAACCTCTAGTCTCTGCCCGGAGGCAACACTTCTGTCTGATTGTCAGCACCTCAAATCAATGGTGCTTGAAGAGATAGTTTGCTCAGGGAGGATGGAAAATCAGTTGGGAATCATGGCTCTTTCATTCTTTTACTGTATATTTTCCTTCTGGAGGTGGGAGTGGGATTTAGAAGCTTTCTTTGGGAAAGTTTCAATGAATGTTGAAATCTCCCTATTTGGAGAGACTTCAGTAGCATCTTTATCTTTGTTTTCTGGGGGTTTTTAGGTCTCCAGTGGGTGAGTTCCTCTTGGCTGGAGGGAGAACCAAGACATGGCTAGTGGGTAACAAGCTTGTTACAATCACTACAAGCGTTGGAACAGGAACCAGGTCCCTCCTGGGCCTTGACCATGGAGAGCTCCATAGTGGTGCAGAATCCAGGTAAGCTTCCTACAGCTTGCTCGCTTTTCAGGTCCTTTTTAAAGTAAGAGGGACAGAAAATTAACGACAATGTTATAACTCCAAGGGAAGGTGGCGTTTTTGTCCAGATCAATATGATGCGTGGACTTCAGCTCCCAGAATTCTCCAGCCAGCACATATAAACTTGCCAAGATTGAGAAAGACTGATTTGCAAAAGTAGCCTAAATCTCAAGGCAGGGATGGAGCTTGGAAGAATGATCTGGTTCTGCAGGATTAAAAGTCATCAGTCTTGGCAGTTAGTTCTCCAGGATGTTCTGCCATCATTATGGGCTTCTTCACAGTAGCACAACAGAAAATGGTGCTGTAAACAAATTTGCCAATTTTAATTATAATATCTATCTGCTTAAAACATTGTGTTACATCACAAGCAAACAAATGTGGTTGTCATTGATGCCACTGCCCAACAAATATTCTATCAGGTGTGGACATTGGGAGCATATTCTTGGCATAGCCCCTAAGTCCATCTTCCCCTGCATTTCATGTTTGAGTGGCAGTTGCTAGTTGATCGCTAGACTGACTTTCCAAGGCATGAACTGGGAAGGACTAGGGAGTGTGCCCACCTGATCTGATCTGGTAAGATGGGCAGATGCTTAGGGAGAAGCAGTCTGGCAATAAAGGTGTTACATGGGCAAATGCAGGGGCTCCCATCACGGCCTGCACCCCCAGATTCCAGGACACTTGTAGTTTGTGGGTGGTCTTCAAGGGCAGCCCCATGTAGAATGCCTTGCAGCAATCCAAACAAGAAGTGACCGAGGCCTCCCAGTCCAGGAAGAAGGAAAATTGGTGCACCAGGTGAACCTGTGCAAAGCAGGCACCCTAGCCATGACTACCACCAGCTCCTAGGAGGACCCCAAGTTGCACACCAGGTCGAGCCTGGGGGCCAAAATTGGTTTTTTTTTTTTTTGCCAGGATTGAGTTGAAGCCTGTTTGTAAATCCTGAGCTCCAACTCCTTCCTACAAATGCTGCCAGGTTTAAGTTCAGGCCAAAAGAGTCTCCTATTTCCTAATGAATTGACAGTTAGATCATTTCTGATTCCCAGTTCAGATCACAGCTTGCAAGTGAGACAGTCAAAGGAAGCCCCGGCAAAACTTGAATCTCAGGCTGGCCCGCAGGTGGTTCGAACCCGCAACCGAGTCAGGTCCATGTCAGGTAAGGAGCCTCCCAGAGTCTCTAAAATGCACAAATAAATTTAGGGACAGGAAAATATACTTGGAATTGCGGTTGTTAATCATGTCAAAGAATCAGCTTGTTGTTTGTAGGCTCTGCTGAGCTGGGAGTCTTTGTCCATCGAAGGACGTCCTGCAGTGAAAATGTTGGGGTTGAATCCCGATCTCCTGATTATCCTATTAGCAGTAATACGGTCTGTGTTGTCAGGCTTTGGTTTCTGATTCTTGTGGCTGGGCATTTGGTGATTCCGGGAAGGGTCACTTCTGGCAGGAGAGCTCGATTTGTCCGAGCAAGAGGGCCAAAAGAAGTTTCCCAGTGCCTGAATGCTGCCGGCCTCCACAGGGCATGGAATGACTTGGCCTCTTGCTTGGAAACTAAAAGCGAAAGTTTGATGGCGGCCACTAAAACTTTAGATTACAACTCCCATTAAAGCCCAGTCAAGATAGCTAATGATTTTGACTGATGGGAATTGTAATCCAGAATGTTCGAAAGGAACCAAGTTGCCAATCCCTGCCTAAATAGGAGGAATGCGTTTATCAGCTGGATCTCACAACATGTTAAATCTCGTTATCAAAAGCTACATTGTGATATCTCTCTTGCCTGTTGTTCCCAAGAAAATTAGCATGCTAAATCAGTAACTGTGTTCATAGGGTATGCTAAGCCGCAGATTCCCCAGCCCTTTTTCACCTGGTTAAACTGAATTGCATGAATCCAACTTCAGAGCCTGTTGCCAAGTCTGCCTTAACCAGGGCACCGTGAGACCTCTGCGCTTTCATTGAAAGGCTTCTGCCAGGTGGCCTGGATGGGGCCCCGGAGGGGATGCAAGGAGCAGGAGCCCGGCCTTTCTTGAACCTGGTTGTGCACCCCGCTTTCCTCTTCCCTTCTGCCCTGAGACTTGCGTCTGGAGGGAGAAGAACGGAGTGGAGTGGACTGGTTGCTGAGCGTTGTCCAGCCCGGAAGCCAGGCCCCTCTGAGCTTCTTGGAATGCCCAGGAGGAGGGAAAGAGGATGCCTGTGCCTGGCATGGTGGGTGGGTGGGTGAGTGCGTGGCTTGCTATGAAAGAGGGGTAGACCGAATGAAATACGTCCACCTGCTAAACTGGCAGAGAAAGGCAGGTGTACAATTGTGCATGTATTTTCAACTCCACATCTTGGGGAAGGGGCGGGCTGTTTCTCCTTTAGTTGCCTAGGCTGGACTTGTCCCTTCTGTGTTGCTCCTCCTGTGTTTTGATTTAGCCTGAAATCAAATGCAGCTCCGTGACTCTCCCCTCTTGTGCAGGAGGCCATGCTTTGCGGGTTGGTGCTCTGGACAGCTCTGCCTCTCACTTCTCAGCCAGCACGGGGCCTCAGCCGCCTCCAAGCTCTCCTGTTCCTGCTCCCCAAACCGAGAAGGCTAACCTGGCTGCTTATGTCCCCCTCCTGACTCAAGGCTGGGCAGAAATATCAGTGCGGAGGCCAACAGGTAGGTGCACTAAGGTAACTAGCACCAGGAATCCCAGAGGTGCTTTTTTTCAAGAGGCAACTGGACTTCTCTTGTTTTTGCTTGAAGATGTTTCACTTCTCTCCAAGAAGCTTCTTCAGTTCTGACTGGATGGTGGGGAATGGAAGTATTTATATTCCTTGCATTCAAAAGAATGCAAATGACCAGCTGTATGCAATGAATATAAATCAGGGGTGAAATTCATCCGGTTCTATCCGGCTTGGGCAAACCGGTAGCAGCGGCTGTGGGAGGCTCTGCCTGCCCGCACAGACATCATGACGTTGCTTTTATGGATGCAAAGAAGGCTTTGCACATGTGCAGATGACAGCACATGCACATTTGCAAACTGGTAGGGAAGGTAAGTGAATTTCACCCCTGGTATAAACCCTTCCATTCCCCACCATCCAGTCAGAGCTGAAGAGGCTTCTTGGATGAAAGCGAAACGTCTTCAAAGAAAAACCAGAAAGTCCAGTTGCCTCTTGAAAAAGCCCCTTTGAGACAGCCATGACCTGGAGGACGGAGAATCTCCAGAGACATTTAGCACCGGGAGCGTGCCTTCATATGCCTGCCGAGGGAATGGGGACAGCTGGCAGAGAGGGGGAGTCTGCTCTCCATCAGGGGGCTCTACTGATATTTGTGTTCCAGAGGGTTGTGAAGAACAGAAGGTGATCCTGAGGGCACTTTCAAAGGGATCCAGTCTGGAGCTGGGCTGGGAAAGAAGCCCTGGTTCCTAGAAGGGCAACCTTCAGTCAGACTTGATTAGGGCTGGAGAATTCAGATTCTTTGGGGAGTTGGATTTTAGCCAGTCTAGCCACTGGCCAAGTTGGGATATCCGGATATTCCTGGGACAGATAGGTCAGAATTGTTCAATTGTACCAAAAGAAGCTTCTGGGGAAAAACCTTAGAAGGGAGTTTTGTCCTTCTCTTCCCAGACGAGGCTGCCCAGCGTGATGGGGCTCTCCCTGGCTACGTTCTTCTCTTTCCTCAGGTAACACCAGCTGGCTGATGAGCCTGGAAAATCCGCTGAGCCCCTTCTCTTCAGATATCAACAACATGCCCCTGCAGGAACTGTCCAATGCCCTGATGGCAGCCGAGCGTTTCAAGGAGCATCGTGAGACAGCCCTGTACAAGTCCCTCTCGGTCCCCTCCTCGAGCTTGTCCACGGGAACAGCCAAGCCGTCTCTCCTGCAGCGCTCCAACACAGGTGAGGCAAAGCTCGGGAGGCCTGCCGGGCCACCCCAGTGGAGCCCACGGGAAACAGGACTTGTCCCAAGCTGGCTTCACTTCGGAGGAGTTGCTTTGCACAGAAAGCTTTGGAACAGCCTCAGTCTTCCTATAAAAGAAGAGGCTGGGTTCGCTCAGGATAGTCTTTAAATAAATAATGTTGAAAGTCTCTTTTAAAAAGCCACAAAAACATCTCCTGAATAAGTTCAAGCCTTTCATGTAGAAATGCAGGATAAAAATGTAAATTCAGTAGATGTGGATTCATATATTGATTTGTTCTGTGGGCCATAAAAAGTAGCAGGAGATCTTTCTTGCTACTCTCCCAGCATGGAATTAAAATCTGCATTATCTCTAGCCAGGCAGTTCTTCAGCTGGATGCACATTGGAACAAGATATTCTATAGGAAGCATATTGAACTGCTTCTGCCTTCGCTGACTTCGGCTTCTTGAGTCTCCGGTGCAGCCCACATACTGTGTGGGTTCTTGGAGAGTTGTACAGGCAGTTCATACTTACCCTGTTTCCCCTAAAAGTAAGACATTCCCTGATAATAAGCCCCAAAAGCAGGCTTTTGAGAGCATGGCATTAAGGCCAAGCACTTATTTCAGGGTTCAAAAAAATGTAAGACAGGGTCTTATTTTCAGGGAAACACAGTAATGGCCACAATTGGACCTGGAATCTCAATCATTGAGCGAAACGGTTGTTAAGCAAAACATCACGTGACTGCTTTGCTCAACAACTGCAGTTCTGGCACTTGTTTATTTTATTTATTTATTTTATTATTCATATTTCTATGCCGCCCACTCTCCGAGGACTCTGGGCGGCTTACACCAAAGACAGTATACTAAATAGCATATTGCCCCCAACAATCTGAGTCCTCATTTTACCCCCCTCGGAAGGATGGAAGGCTGAGTCAACCTTGAGCCGGTGAGATTTGATCCGCTGATCTGCCGAAGTAGCTGCAGTACTGCACCCTAACCACTGCGCCACCTCGGCTCATGTTGCAATCATTAAGTGATGCATGGATTAAATGGATTGTGTCTCTGGTAAAGAGCACAAGTGCCTGGGGGAGGTGGGGAGGGGGCTCTGCTCAGGTGCTGAAAATCCTTGCTGAAATCCAAGCAAGATTTTCAGTCCCTGAGTGAGAGGCACTGGCACGCGGCCAGCACCAGGCTTCCCAGGGCCTCCCCCAGACGGAATGGGACTTTTCGGCTCGTACCCTTGGCCGTGCCTGTTTCTCCTCCATGGTTTCTCCTCCACATTATTATCCCCAAGCTTTCTCCTCGGCTGGCCTTCCCCCATCCTTTTGCCCCGGCACATGGGCCACGGCCCCTCCATCCCAGTCCCTTCACCACAGCCCATTCGTCGAAGTACAAAGTACAGTTTGCATCGGGCATTTGGGTGCCCGGGACAGTTCGCAGCCAGCCAATCGGTGCAGGGGCTCGGGGGCTTTGGGAGAGATGCTGCTTGGGGGGAGGTGCTGCGCTTGTTAGGAGAAGGAAGGGGAGGGGGTGGAAGAGCAGGGGTGGGGGGGCGTATATGGAGGTTGGGCGCTTGCTTGCTGAGGGCAACCTCAGCTTTTGTCACTGATTGGCCTGGTACTCCTGTATCTGTTTCTCAGCTGGAAGGGGATGGCAGGGCTCAGCCATTGTCCTGCTGCCATTGTCCTGCTGCCATTGTGCTTCATCTGCCAGCTTCCTCTGGGTCCTCAGTCAAGCCGAAGCAGGTCCTCTGGATCCAGCTACGTCTGTCTCTGAGGCAACGCAGGCTCAGCCCAGGCACCGCAGCTGCCATTAACCTCAGCCTCCCCTCTGAGCCCAGTCACAGAACAGGACCTGCCCTCTCCTTTGTAGGACAGCCTGTACTTGACTGGCTGCAGGTCTAGTGAGGTACCTTCATTTCCTCCAGGAAGAGAGTAGTACCGGCTGTTGGTGTGTAATTTCAGCCCCAGGGCAGATCAGCACTGCGTCTCCTTCATGCCTTTGGCTCTTCAGCAATATCCTGGGGTTAAAGAGCCTTCTCCATTATTGGCCCATCTCTGTAGCTGAGAGAACAGGCAGCTGTGCTGTTTTATTATCTCCAGCAGACCCTGGATGGCTATCACTTGATATCCCTGCTTCTGTATCTTTACTGGTGGATGGACAGTCAAATGTCTCTTTTCCCATTGTATCATCTCCAGTCAGAGGGCACGGAGGTTAGAACGCTGCACTGACAATCAGCAGGTTCGCGCTTGAGACCTGTTGCTGCTGGGTGGGGTGAGCTCCCATCACATGCTCCAGAGCTCCTGCTGACCCAGTAGTTCGAATGTGGGTGGCCCTTGGGCACCACTTCAATGGGCAACTTCATGGGGACACAAAAGAGACCCCTAACTGGGCATCCCTCGGCAACAGTGTTGTCACTGGCAAATCCTTTGCTGCTTCCAACATGGGAAAAAAATCTCCAGTCTTTCAATGAATGTGTTTTCCATGTGGTGCATTGTCTCGACCTTGAAATCCGACAGCCAGAGTAGCCTCTACAAATGTAGCTTTTCATTAGGTGTAGGACTCAGTGGTTCTGGTGCTCCCATCTGAAGAAGATGACAAGATTCTTGGTCTGGCTTGTGGACAGCGACAATCATCTCAAAGCATCTTGAGAATTATATCAAGTGCAGGAAAACAATATCTCCGTTTTCAATGGGATCGCAACATTCAAAATGTATTCCATTCTACAGCAAATAATTCAGCTTCCGAATTTCCCACCAACCTGTCTGAGTGGTTAGATGCAGCCTCATCTGAATGAGGGGCCATAAATAAACATTTTTTTACTCAGCTCATGGCTGCCTGCTCCATATAAGGAAGAGCCTTTTAGCACCTTTCTGACTAAAAATGTGTGCTTTTTAATAAAAAACTGATTAGTCCATTTGCAGACCTGATTTTTTTTGCCACCATAGGTTAGCACAGCTCTCCTCATCCAATGCCTATAACAAGAGCCATCCATTGCTGGAATTTCCCAGGATAGGTCTGTTTTATTTTATTTTTTTTATTCTATTTAAAGGGCTAATTTAGTTTAGCTAGAAACCGGGAGGTGGTGAGTTCTAGGCCTGCCTTAGCCATAAAAGCCAACTGCATGACTTGGGGCCAGTCCGTCTCTCATGCCCAGAAGCTGCACTTGAGCAGTGGGAGCCTCCTATGGCCATGAGGTGCCTCTACTGCCTCCCCACCTTCCTTCTCTTCAGATAGACTTCAGGAGAAGCACTGCGGAACAAGGTTTTAATGCAGGTGTACTTCATTTTGGAGCAATGTCGATTCCCTGGGAATGCTGCATGTTTTGCTATGGATACTTTTCCAGACGCGAAGATGCAGGTTTTCCATCAGATAAGATCCAACAATGTGTATGTGAAATGACATACCAGTACATTAATTGTAGCAAGTGCAGTATATAAAAACACATTGCATTTGAGAAAATATTGTTTTCTCAAATATATATAAAATGTAGATATGAAAATATATTTTGTGCTTGCTTTTTAAAAAATGATATGTAACTAAGAAACTCCATAAATGTGTGTGTGTGTGTGTGTACACATCTGTATTAATATAGTAGAAAAAGGCCACAGAAAATATATCATAAACAAAACAAGTTCAGAAAAGTGACTAAGTTAAAAGTGAATCAGGTATAAATTTGTATTTCCAGGGTGGTATAATAAATCTTATAGTCTATGAGGTAAATTGAATTGATTTTAATTTCAACAAATCCTTTAATATCTGCTTTGCCAAAACTGAGCTGATGCTAAATGGTAGTATTATGAAATGTTTTAAAAGTCACCTAACATCTATGGATGTTTGCATATTCACAAATTGGCTGCCTCACATAATGGTAACTATAACTCAATATTTAATTTAAGCATTAAGTGCCTACTTAGGAACTAATTCTCAAACAAGGATAACAATCCTTACAGGAGTCAGAGATTTCAGAGAGGAGTAAATTTAGAATTCTGAATGATCAAAGGTAAATAATTGTCTGATAAGCTTGAAATGGTGGAAAATTAAATCTGTCTTTCCCAACAGGAAATTACAATTTATAGTGAAAACCTTGAAAGACGCCTGTGTTAGAGAAAGCTACAGTATTTAGTAGTGTATAATTTCATTCCCCCTCCCTTTTTCTTTCCTAAAACATCCACTGCAGAGTAGGCAGAAAATATTGGAAACTGCGGTGGTCCAATTCCTCCTTCTCTGCTTCTGAGCCTTTTACATATTTATTTGTGGTTGTGGTTATTTTTTCCCTCCGTGTTGTCTGTCTCTCTCTCTCTGTCTTTCCGTCTCTCCTTTCTTCCCTTTTGATGTAGCTCCTTCCTTGGTTTTCCCTCCACAGTGGCCTCTTTCTCTGCCATGGGCCTGACCAGCTCTCAAGGAGGGTTGTACAGGAGCATTTCCTGGGCAGGTATATTTGCATCTTTTCAAGGAGGGTGTTTGCTGTTTGGTTTGGTTTCTAAAGGCAGCTTGGTGTGGAAGGAAGCATGCCTGTGATTCATACCTAGGGCTTTTCTCGGCCCTTCCAGTCAGCCAGCCATCTTTCTCACCAATCATTGGAAGTAGGAAGGGGAAGAAAGGTGGGCCAGGCAGAGGTGGCCTCTGGTCCCTGGGAGCTCAAAACTTGTGAAGAGTTTAGAAGGACAAAACCTGCCTTTTTACCACTTCCATTTCCCTTCTATTTTCTGCCGTGTTCCGTTCTACTTCCTTGTGGCCATGTTATGTAAGCGACTCTGCTCCAGTCTCAAGCTATAAAGCTCACCCGGTAACCGCTGGACGCCAGGGAATGCCAGTATGAACGCAAGAGTTGGAAGAGCATCTGCCAGGGGCCCTTGTTCAGTGCAACTTTAAAATAATACCAGAAAATCAGGGCAAGACCAGTCTTATCCTTCCCATTACCTTGTCATCTGCCCCAGCTATACTTCATTATCAAGCATATGAAAATTTGATAGAAGTATATGATAAATATACCATTTGCTAAAAAAACTGATTCTAATCAGGGGCGTTTGTGAAGTTGGCCAGAAGTCTTCTGCTTGAACAGTTTAATAGATCAGCACATTAGCAAGTAAGGATAGGTGGCTTTAACACTAAATCACTAAACATTTTAAAATATGTTCTAAAAACTACCTTAACAAAAATGGGGACCTGCCCCAAAAATCTTTGGACCTGCCCAGCACTCCATAATCCAGCCAGGCCACAGAGCCACCCCCCCAACCCCCAGTCCTACAGGGCTGATTCAAGGGTTCAATAGCATTGACACCTAGTGACACCTTAATAAGGCTTGTGTCTTGGTTTCTGTTCACATCTCTGCATATTGCAAGAAAGCCTCCTAAACAGAGCAAAACGCTCAAGAACTGAGTTGGAACTCATGAGCTTGTTTGACTCCCATTTGGCCATGAATGAAGCAGCTGGACCTGGCCGTAGGCAAACTGCCCTCTCCTCTGGCCTCACCAATACTGGGAAAACTGTTTCGCCTCTGTAATGGGACTGTTATACATACAGTATCATAACAAGATTCCATATATGATATACTTTGGGCAAAGTTGTTAACAATATTGGACTAACTTTGCATTTTTCACTCTGTCTACTGCAGTTGCTCCTTTGATCTCTGTGGGAGGAACAGGCTGGGGAATTCTGGGAGTTGAAGTCCAGAGTTAAAGTTGTCAAGGTTGAAAAACACTAGACTAGATTGTTCTAATTTTTGTTTGAAAAAACAGCTGCCCGGTGAAGTGGAAGGGAGGTACTTTGCAAAACACCAGGGTTGCAGGAAGAGAGGATCCTCCTTCCAGGAAATATTTCTCCACCTGTCATTCCTGGCTCTTTGTGTCTCTTGACAGAATCTGCAGTTGTACCAGAAGAAGGAAGCCCCCCAGATGAAGATCGAAAAGGAGTGGAATTCCACCCTGAATCTCAAGAGATTGAAGACTTTGAACCCACGTGTTTGGGGCAAGGGCTGGAGGAAGAGAGATTAGGCCGAGGAGCCTATTGTCGGGTAAGATAGCCCCTTCCTGCCCTGTTTGCCCATCAGGCAAAGCTGCTCAGGATGCTTCCTGATAGGAAGAGGTCCATCAAGATCTGGGGTGTCCTTGAGAGACAGAGCTTCAGGGACTCCCAAGGATTGGCACGTTTTCGTCAGATAACTGAATTGATTGCAGTAGGGAATAGTAGTCACGGGGCAGGTAGAATTGCTCCTTGAAAGGAGATGCCATCTGAATATAGAATAATAGGCTTGGGAGGGTTCTTGGAGGTTTTCTAGTCCAACCGCCTGCTTGAGTGGGAGATCCTAGTCCATCCTGGACCAATGGCTGTTCAATCTTTTCTTGAAAACCTCCAGTGATGGAGCACCCATAACCCTAGGAGACAAACTCTTCCATTGATTAATTGTTCTCATTGTCGGGGAAATTTCAGGGGGAAAAAATCACTGTAAAAGCTCTGCAGGAAGGAAGAAAAATCCAAATAGAAGAAAAGAAGAAAATTATTTTGGATTTTTTAAACACAATTTTCATTAAAGAAGTTTTCACAAGATAAAAACAATGCACTTTTTAGAAAAGAAATAAAGAAAAATAGTCAATAGACAAGAAAGAAAAGAGGGAAAGACAAACAATAAGAAAAAGAAAAGACGATTAAGAGCCTCGGTAGCACAGTGGTTAGAATGCAGTATTGCAGGCTACTTCTGCTGACTGCCGACTGCCTGCAATTTGGCAGATCGAATCTCACCAGGCTCAAGGTTGACTCAGCCTTCCATCCTTCCAAGGTTGGTCAAATGAGGACCCAAATTGTTGAGGGCAATAGGTTGACTCTGTAAACCACTTAGAGAAGGCTGGAAAGCACCGTGAAGTGGTATAGAAGTCTAAGTGCTATTGCTATTGCTATTAAGAAGGGGGCTTCTACTCTTCTTGATAATGGTTATAAATGCATTTCTATTCTACATCCTCTCGCTAAGATTACACTATAATTTCCTTCTTTCCACAGCCTGCCTTTTTAAATTGTCAATCCCATAAATCACAAGTTCATTTTTTCCCAGTTCTGCAAAAAGTACATAAGGGATTTCCAATTACTAATAAATGTTATTTTGTATCTTGTTTCTCCTCCTCGCCCTTGGCAGTCATCATCGACTTCCAGCCAAGAGGAGAAGGCTCCCAAAGCAGAAGATCTGGCCGCCATTGGCATTCCGATCGAAAGGGCCAGGAACCTGGAAGACAGCCGGGCCTTCGAAGCCCTCTCTTTCCAGCCTTCCCAGACCCTCAGCAAGTCCAGCTCCTCCCCAGAGCTCCAGACACTTCAGGAAGTCCTCAAGGATCCAGGTGGCGAAGAGTCGGCCCAGAAACTCAGCAGCGAAGGCAAATCCAAGTCTCAGTCTGGGCACCTGGAAGGAGAGGCCGCCGGGGGCTGGCTGGCGAAGGGGGAAGACGACCAGGACCCTGGAGGGATGAGGCTGGCTGCGGCGGCCCCTGCCTCTTCTCCCCACTCCCCAACCGGCCACCGGCCGCGGGGATACACCATCTCTGACTCGGCCCCCTCCAGGAGGGGCAAAAGGGTCGAGAGGGACCTCTTTAAGGGAAGAGCAGCAGCTGCCTCCAACGCAGGGAAAGTTCCAGGCATCAACCCAAGGTGAGGGATGTTGGTGGTAGAAATGGCTGAGTCAACCTTGAGCCTTGGCGAGATTCGAACCTGCAGTAATTGCAGGCAGCTGTTCTTAATAACAGGGTGCTTTAGACCACTGTACTACCAAGGCTCTTTTTCATGGTCTTTGCAATGTTTTGCGCAGACAACCAGAAAGAATGTTTCCTTTTTCACATCTAAGTGTTCATCGTAGATTATTGTGTCTTCCATAAGGCCTTAATTCTGATGCAGCTAAACAGGTTTTCTTTTCTCCCTCCCTCCCCACCCCCTTCAGCTTTGTGTTCCTGCAGTTGTATCATTCTCCGTTCTTTGGTGATGAATCCAACAAGCCCCTTTTATTGCCAAATGAGGTAAGCTTGAGCATTTTGTAATTGATTCATTGATTGATTTTGTACCGTTAAATCATTGCTGACTCTTAGTGACCACAGAGATAGATTTCTCCATGATGATCTGTCCATCATCGGTGATTTTATATCTTCTCTCCCTGCGGTTTTCTTGGTAAAAACACAAGAATGGTTTATGGTTACCTTTTCCTGCTCTCACCATTGGGAGAGCCAGTTTGGTCTAGAGGTTGAGACATCAGGCTAGAAAATGGGAGGCGGTGAGTTCAAGTCCTGTCTTTGGCCCAAAAGCTGGCTGGATCAATCACCAGGAGATGGTGAGTTCAAGTCTTGATTTAGGCATTAAAACTGGCTGGAGGAGAGAGTGAGTCCCTCTCTCTGAGCCCATCCCTCCTCACCGATTGTGTGGGGAAATTAGGAGGAAGGATATGTTCAGCATCTTGAGTTATTTGTAAAAGTCAATGTAGGATGCAAATAAATTAGTTAAATTGTCACTAATGACACTACAGGTAATCATTTTATCACAATTTATCACCACAATTGAGCCCAAAATTTATGTTGCTAAGTAAGAAATCCATCAAGTGAGTGTTTCCCCATTTTACAACTTTCCTTGCCACATTTGTTAAGTGAATCATTGCAACTGTTAAATTAGTAACATGGTTGTTAAGTGAATCTGGCTTCCCCATTGACTTTGCATGTCAGAAGGTCGCAAAAGGGGATCATGTGACCCCAGGACACTGCAACCCTCATAAGTGTGAGTCAGTTGTCAAGCAGCCAAATGTAAATCACATGATCATGGGGATGCTGCAACAGTCATAAGTGTGAAAAATGATCATGTCACTTTTTTCAGTACCATTGTAACTTCAAACGGTCACTAAGTGAACTGTTGTAAATTGAGGATTACCTGTAATTGATCCTCTGCTTCCAGCATGTTTCTGTCTCACTGCTGCCCAATGCAGCTGGTGCAGCTGGCAGCTGGGATGACCTTCCCTCCTTGGGTATAGGAGTCCATGCTCTTGGCATTCTTTGCTCATCCCTCCCAGGAACACACAGACATACACACACCCTGCTACTGCCACAATGAAGCAGCACAGCAGGCCTTGGAAGGGGGAGGGGAGAGAGCATGTTGTATTAAACATGTGAAACACTGGAACCAATAAATGTCACTAGAGAGAGCAGATGTAGAGAGAAGGTTGCTAAAATGTAATTTCCAGGTGGAAAATGCTCTATTTGGGAAGGTGACGTTCCCAGTTACATTCTCTGGGCCCAGAAATGCTTCCCTGGGGCTAATATTCCTTTTCCGAGAGAGGCTCAAATGCTCTGGTTGGTTCCAAGTGTTTCTTGATTCCCTAGTTTTCATTGGTTAGGTTGAGTCCAAGGCTTGGGACTTCCCAGCTGCTTTACTTGTTTGGGAAGGGGAGGGGGGCATTTGAAGGACACGTGCTTCTGTTCAGGTGGGACATTAATGGAACCGGGCCTCTTTGGCCCCCATCCTGTCTGCAGTGACTTCTGTGGGACTGTGGCAGCTCAGGTTTTGTAGAGAATGAAACAAAATACCACCAAACAACAGCTACAACTACAATTGTTTGTGCGTGCTCCTGAACACAATTTACTTATTATTTGTGGCATTGTCACTTCACTCAGCTGCTGTAGCAGGTTAAGAAGACCCAGTTCAAAACGAGGAAGAAGGAAAAAAGGCTGAACCGGTTTCTTTTTCTCACAAGGGCAGGGAAGTTTTTGCAGCTGCTGCTCTTCTAGCCAATGGAAGGGTCAGGCCGGTTTTCGACCGGAAGCGTTGTGGCAAGAGAGTTAGGGAATTAGCGGGCTCTGATGAGCTCTGCGAAAACCCGGACTAACAAACCGCCGCCGAGGGGTCTTCGGACCAGAACCGTCCTGTAGGGACAGGGAAGAAGGAGAGGCACCTCAGAAGACAAAGAGGAACAGGCAAGTTCCTTGAAGGTCAGAGGAATCTCTCTCCGATTTGGCGGCGGAGGCGGCAGAGGCGGCAGCCATTATGGCTGTCAAGAAGCTGGGGCAACCGGACTAAGTATCAAGCACGAACGGTGAAAGCAATGGAGTTTTTGAAGCTGGGTGAGTGACAGCCAACCCACAGGCGAGATAACAACAACAACAATTATTTTGAAACCCCCAGCGTAAAATTAGCGGCTAACGGGCACAGGGGAAGAAAAGAGAAAGCAAGCGGAATTTAAAGGGACAAACCCAAAAAGAAAATTGATTTTTGAATAAAATTGACTGGAAAATTTTAAGAATTAGAAGAAACAATCTTAAAATTGGCTAAAGGATTGGAAAGAAAATAAATAGATCCTTTCTTGTTGAAAACTAAGGAAAATTGTACAATATAATTTCACAGAATATGCCGTAAGATTAAGAGGTTTGCAGGAAAATAATGGAGATGATTTAAGGAAAATATCTTCTGAATTTCTAGCTGGGATTCTAAAGGTTCAACCTGACGAAGTGTTTTGTAGGATCGACAGAGTTTATCGAATCAACTCCTGGATTGCTAAGCAAAGGCAATTGCCTAGAGATGTGGTGATTTATTTTACAGATAAGGAAATTAGGAATAATATCGTTCAAAACTCCTTCAATTCTAATTTGCAATTTGGATTTACAAGGAACTCCCACCTAAGATATTGATGGAAAGGAAGAAATTTGGTTTTCTGGTGAATGAGTTAAAAAAGAGAAATATCTCCTACAGGTGGGACGCCCCAGTTGGTATTATATTTAGATACCAAGGAGAAAGATATCAGCTAAATACTGTTGAAAGAGCGGAAGAATTTTATCAAAATAGGTTGAAAATGAACTTAACATCTCCAGGTATAATACAGGATAAGCAGAAGGAGCCGGAAATAAAGGTAAAATATCGAATTACAGAGACTGTACCAGATGAATTGCCTTTGGATTTATTGGATACCCCAGCTGGACTATCTACAAATTTGAGAGAAGAGGCATCTAATCTTAATGTGATGACTTATCAAGGCAAGGATAAACATGGAAACCAATTAGGGGATATACAAGGGATAAAAAAGAAATATGAGATACAAAAGCAAAACCAACAAGACCAATCTACAAAGCAGAATAAAAACCGACCAGATGATACACACTTTATAGAAAGGGAACCAGGATGGAAACCAAACCCACAAAAAGAAAAGAAAAAAAGAAATAGGTGGCATAAAAACAGAAATTTCTAATCAGGCAACAGTGAAGCCAGTGATTTTAAAATATGAACGATTATGTGTAAACACAGAAGAGGCGACGTATTGGTTAATATCATCCTGAGGTTTGTGGCAGATCTCTGCATGGCCGTAATCTGGGGACGTGAAACGAGCCTTAAACTGATGGATTTGAATTATCCATTTTGGAATTTCTTTTTGTGTTGATAAACATATTATATTATCTTGAATCACAAGGCAAGAGAATTATGCTGGGGCATGCAGAAGATCGGGTTGTTACCCACTATGATGATGGGAATTAATAATCCTGATGAAACCCACAATTATTACTATATGGAATATAATTATAATGTCACTCGGGTGGTTGTTTTTACTTTTATACATATAAGAAGATATTTACTACTGATGGGGGCAGATATGATTGAAGATCCTGAATAAACTGTTGCACCAGTAAGCTATGTTACCCGATTATGGATGTTGGTTCTACCAATCCAGTGGAAAGACCTCAAAGAAGATACTATATGGATTATAAATTTAAAGTCATTGTCTTTTCTTTTTTTTTATTTAGATATAATGGAAAATATAGACATATATTTTTAAGAAGTGTGGGCAGTGAATCAAAGATGTTAAGAAATGTTGTGTATGGCAATTTTGCATGATAGTGGGTGAATAAGCTATTTAGTAGATTGATTAGTCTAAGAAAAGGGATTTTTAAGTGTTATATTTAGGGGAGTGGAGGAAATGGATAGAGTGGAATAAATGTTAAACTAGATTTTATGGGGAAGGCCGCTTTGGAATGTTATAGTAATATATATAGAAGATTAAATGTTAAAGTAGGACTTATCGTATAGTTTTAAAGTGGAGAAGTTATTTTATAATGTCATAGTATAATGTCTTTTTTTCCCCCTTTCTTTTCTCTTTTTTGATATGTATGGATAAAGGGGGATGTTATAATATTAATAATATTTTTAGTAAGTAAAGGTCAATATCTAGAGGAGGGAGTAAGTAATCTGTTATGAATTAGGTTTTTTTTTTGTTATGAAGAAGTCACAGGGGGGGATGGGTGGGGAGGGGGGGTTAGGGAGGGGGAGGGAGAGGGGGGGAAAAAAGGGGGAAAAATTTGTATTTGAAAACTTTTTCAATAAAAAAAAAAAGAAAAGGAAAATAAAACAAAAGACAATTGGATATTAAGCTCTGCAATAGAAGCACTTTATACCTAAAAAAAAGAGTGGGTGGGTGGGTGGGAAGCATTGTTTTAATTTGGACTGGACTATAAAATTGATTTGGTATTTTCTAAGTTAAAAAGAAGCAAAAATGAAGCTAGATTGTTAACAAAGATTGATACAAAATGGACACTCTGTTAAACAAGAGAATTGTGGATTCTGAAGTGTATATGTGTTTGTCTAAAAAAATTTAAAAAGCTTTCTATAAAAAAAAAAGGAAGGGTCAGGCCAATTGCCTCCCTGTCGTGTGTCTCCCCCGCCCCCGGTCTGCTTCTCTGGCATTCCTGGGATTGTATCTGTGGAAGGGGATTCTGGGCTTTTGGACTACTAGACCCCATGTGGCTTCCTGAGAATTGCAAGAAAGGTGAAAAAAAGGGACTCTCGTGCTCAGACGAGCAGTTGGGTTGCGCTGGGAGTTGTGTTGCCTGTGCACGGTTCTCCATGAAAAATGCCTGGGAAGTCTTCAGCAGTGAATAGGACATTTGTATCTGACCTTGTTTTAGTATTCTGAAAGGCCCAGGAGTGTGGATCTGATCCTGTGTGTTTCTCGCCCTCTTGTCTTTTAATCCTTAGACCTTTGAGAACTCCATTCAACTTCTAGATCAGATCCCTCCATATGACACTCACAAGATTGCCGTCTTGTATGTTGGAGAAGGACAGGTGTGTGCCATGTCTGGTAACAGTATGTTCCTAAGTTAGATTTCTGTCAGCAGAACCTCTTTGGAGGAGCTGGTCACTCTTTCCTTGGAAGTGCCAGTTGCTCAACTAGATTGAAGCAGGACCTCTCTTCCACTACAGCTCCTCTCTCAGGAGTCGCGTAATCGGTCTTGGCTGCGGTTGAGTACACAGTCAAATCATGAAGGTCCTTGTGGGTTTCAGAAATAAATGCTAAACGATGGAGCCCTTGGTGTGGCCTTGGCTCTGCTCTGAGGGTCTGCTTTCCTCCTTGTCCTGCAGAGCAGCAACGAGCTCGCCATTCTGTCCAATGAGCATGGCTCCTACAGGTACACAGAGTTCCTGACTGGCCTGGGCAAACTCATTGAGCTCAAGGACTGCCAGCCAGACAAGGTTTATCTGGGCGGTCTGGACGTGTGTGGAGAGGACGGGCAGTTCACCTACTGCTGGCACGACGACATCATGCAAGGTATGGGAGGCAGCTTCTCACCTGCATTTACTCCGCCTCCACCTCAGAGCTCTTTAGGAGCTATTTTGAAGCCTGAAGGGTCTGTGAATCTAAGGACAGTTTGAGTCTTCAGATTCCGGGATTCAAACCTTGCCAGGTGTACCTGTACTGATGTGGGAGTCAAGGCAGCAAAGTAGCATAAGAACTCCCTCTGGAAGGGAGCCAGCCACCATAATGCCACTTCACACCTATGCTCCAGGCTGTGAGGTGCCAGACAGATGTTAGCATCTACCTTGAGCTGGCATGAACAAACAGATGTCCCAGCTGAGGAACCCTTCGGAGCATGAGGCTTGTTGGGTGACTGGATCTTGAGATGGTGGTGGACTTAGCAACTCTGCAACTTAGCTTCCCCTTCTGATCAACTCAGCGAGGAAAGTCTTTGCTGAGCAAAATCTTTCCCAGTTCTCAGCCCTGTCCTTTTCTCCAAGCAGGGAGCTTGGGCTCCTGGGAGCATTTTGTGGACTGAGATGGCTATTCTCCATCCAGTGAGCTACCTAAAACCCCTTGTTTTAAGTTGGGCTGCCGAAGTAGTGATCTCCAGAGGATCCCTCTTTTGCTGCTTGAGGTCTGAACCAGGGGTGAAATGCCACCGGTTCGCTCTGGTTCAGGCAAACCAGTGATTAAAACTACTGGTTCGGGCAAACTGGTAGTAAAAAAATGCTTTAAAAAAGAAAAAAAAAAGGTTCTGATGATTGCGCGGCACAGCTGTGATTGTCGGAACCTTTTTTAAACTTTTTAAAAGCATTTTTTTACTACTGGTTCAGGTGAGTAGGTAGTAAAAAATGCTTTAAAAAGAAAAGGAAGAAAAAGTTGGGCACATCCACCCAGGCACATGACCCCACCCACCAAGCCACTTCCACAGAACCGGTAGCAAAAAAAATTGTATTTCATCACTGGTCTGAACTACTCTCTGCAGCCATTTTCCTCACTCCTTGTTTTATAGCTATTTTCCACATTGCCACTTTGATGCCCACCAAAGATTTGGATAAAAATTGCTGTGACAAGAAACGACATTTGGGGAATGATTTTGTTTCCATAATTTACAATGATTCCGGGGAAGACTTCAAACTGGGCACCATCAAGGTAAGGAGGAAGACACGAATTGGACAAAGGCAGCTGGTGGCTTTCCGATTGGCCAGCCTCTGGGAGGGGCTTTCTGCCAGTCGATGGATGGGAGGGGGAGCTGCAACTTGCCTCTGCTGTTTGAGGCTGAGATCTTGAGCCAATCACGGCTCTTCGGAACGAAGAATGAAGTCGGTGAAAGTGCCTGTGGGGGATTTTTTTCTTTGGACTCTCCCACTCTGGGTTCTGAATCGCTTTCCTAAGTAGGTTGCCCCTCCACAGTTGCTCCAGAGAAGTGATCACTGCTCCAAGGACAAGAGACCAAAGTTTTGTGGTCCTCCTTAAGGCCGGTTCCTCCATGCTAATTCTGCTTTTCCTTTCTAGGGCCAATTCAACTTTGTTCATGTCATCATCAAACCGCTGGATTATAACTGCAACCTGCTTACTCTACAGTGCCGTAAAGGTATGCCCAGCCTTGCTCTCTTCACCCAAGTTTGCAAAAGGTGGTGTGTGTTGCAAATGCCTCATACAGGGATCCAAGAATGGGTGCTGGTTGAATGAAATGTAGTAAATGCTGGAGGGTTGAGTGGGTTGCTGGTTTCTGCTCTCACCCTGTAATTTCCTCTCTCCCAGATATGGAGGGGCTCATTGACACAAGTGTGGTGAAGATTGTCTCAGACAAAAACCTTTCATTTGTTGCCCGACAGATGGCGTTGCATGCCAATGTAAGTCTCCTTTGGGTGGGAGGATACCTTCCCTTCTGCCAGCTCTACAAGGTAGACCAGACTCAGAAAGCAAGGCCATGTAGGTCAGGACGACTTTTGCTGTAACGTTCTAGGAACTGAATCTTGCAGGTCTGAATGAGCTTCCCCCTCCCTCTCTTTAGCCTTTTGTGAACTAAGGAGGGGCTGCTTTTCTGGCCCAAACTCAAGTCTCTCTTATGCGGCCATTGCTTTGGCAGCAGTTCTTCCTCCTATCCCTCAAGGTCTCCCCCTCTGCCCTCTAGAGCTTCAAAACAGCATTGAATAAGCGGAGGGATCCTCTGGCTGGGAAGGCAAGGAAGACTTTATGGTTGCTCTGAGCACAAGATCTGCTGCCAGGAGCTGGACTCTCTTCCTTGAAGCTACGCTCCTGTGGCAGCTGAACCCAGCAGAATCAGGCTCTCCCTGCAGAGCAGCTCTGGCTTGGATCACTGGGCCAGTGCCTGCCTCTGCCTCCAGGATGCCTCTTTTCATCCCAATGGGTATTGCACTGGGGTGTTTGTCAGATTGGCACGTGCTGGGTTGGCTTATTCCAGTCAGGAGAGCCCCTCCACTCAGGTGTGCTTCACAGGGCCTCCTCCTCATCTCTCTCTACTCAGATGGCGTCTCTGGTCCATCACAGCCGCTCCAACCCCACTGACACCTATCCCTCGAAGTGGATTGCTCGGCTGCGCCACATCAAGCGGCTCCGGCACAGGGTGAGTAAGGGACCCTCTTTCCTCCTTTTGAGCAGCCACTCGCTTCTTCCAAACAGCCGGTGATATCTGAAGCAGGTAGGGGAGCCATCAAGACTTGTTTCTTCACAAAAGGCAAACATGTCCTGCGAGAAGCACGTTTTCTAGACCTCTTGGAACCCAGTCTTGAATTATTCACTTTTAGCCCAAACCTGGGTAGCTCAGACAGTGACTCTGGATGGCATACAGAAATCAAACCCAAAGTTATATGCAATAGCTCGGGATGCCCAAGACCAACAGTGCACCTGAGCCATAAAGACCAGCCTAGCAGCAGGTGTGGGGCAGCAGCTGGGTCTTTGGGAGAAGCTACCTGGGCAGGGGCTGCCATGGATGGTGCCTTTGCAATCAACATCTCTTTCTTCCAGATCCGAGAAGAAACCCAGTTCCAAGAGGCCGGTTTCCCCACCGTGCATCCTCCAGTCCCTACGAAAGCCTCCACCCGGGTCCCCCAGGACCCGGCCCCCACCTACGAAACTGGACAGAGGAAGCGCTTGATCTCCTCCGTGGACGACTTCACAGAGTTCGTGTAGGGCAAAGGTTGCCCTGCCACAACCTCTCTGGCGCAAAGCAGCTCCAGCCTCCAGCTGCAGTCATTTCGGCCTCTTCTCAGCCCATGAATTGAGATTGCAGCTTTGTGCTGCCTTGAAGGCTGCTGGCCTGACACACAACTTTTGTGGGTTTTTCTAACCACCAGTTCTGTAATCAAGCTTTTTAAAGTGAATGAAGGCACAGCTCAGATTTATGGTTTGTTTGAAATGGCAGAAGGAAAATCAGCAACCTGACATTAATGTCCCCCAAGGCCTCTAATCTCCCGGTAGAGTTCCATGAAATGTGCCTGTGGTGTTACTTCCACCTGTTGGGGAGAGTTTGGTCTTGCAGGAGCTGGGGAGCCCTTGGTCTTCAGAGGAAAGCCAATATGAAAATGAAATGAAATGAAAATAAATGAAATAGGGTAAATGTGGGTGGTTCATTATTGAAGCCGAGCTTCGGGAGGCATTTGGGGCTGATCACGTTTGCTTAAATCTGTCCCAAGTGTTGAGAGTAAAACGTGCATTGAATTTAGTGTTTTCTGCGGGAGCCAGCAGCTCCCTTTTAACAGGCTATGAGGCCAGCAGGAAATGTAAGCGTTTTCCTGAAGCAAGAATGTCTGTCTCTCTCTCGAGTTCAGCGGTCAGAGGCCCTTCTCTGGTTCAGACTGCCTTGGGTATTCATATAAAAGTAGGAAAAGGTCTGATGCTTTTTCCCAAAGGGGGGAGATTTGGGGGCAATAAAACCTCATTCTGCTGTATTGCTTTCCTTGTCTCTTGCCTTTCCTTCAATGGGGGGAGGGGAGGTAAATCAATTGGTGGCACCTGGGCTGTCATTACTTCTCCAGGCCCCCTTTCAGGTGGGGTCCTAGCTGCCAACCTCAGCCTCCCTTTGTGCGTGAATCAGGCAGGCCCATTAAAACGCTCATCCTGAGAATTGGAAGGAGAGATAAAGAAAAAAGAACAGTTGCTCATAAAAAACCCAACAGATGAAAAACTACAAGGAATTATAAAACTTTTGAAAGACCAATTTCAAATGCTTACAGTGGAACAAGCAGCAACTAATTTACAATTTGCGAAACATAATACATTTTGCAACGCTAATAAGCCGGGCAGGTGGTTAGCTTACATACTGAGGAAACAACAGAGTACTCGGACTATTGGCAGTATTGAGTATGGAGGGAAGGAAGTTTTTCAACAAAGACTAATTAAAGAAGCCTTCTTAGATTATTATACCAAATTATATGCCAAAGATGATATACAGAATGAACTTAAATATCTAGAAGAAAGGAGAGTTATGAAAATTTCTAGTGATCAAAAGGAAAGAACGAGTTTACCAATAACAGCTGAGGAGATTATTGTTGCTATTAAACAACTGAAAACAGCTAAAGCTCCAGGAACGGATGGTTTAACTGCGGTGTATTATAAAACTTTACAAGCAGAAATGATTGAACATCTTAAAGACTTATTTTGTAGCATACAACAAGGGGGTAAAATACCCCCTTCATGGAAAGCAGCTTTTGTTTCTTTGATACCGAAAGAGGAAGTAGGTTCTACAAAACCGGAAAATTTTAGACCAATATCTCTCCTGAGTACGGATTATAAAATTTTTGCAAAAGTACTAGCCAACAGACTAATGCCAGTTATTCAAGAGGTGATTCATCATGATCAAGCAGGATTTATAGAAGGCAGATACATGAAGGATAATGTGAGGCAAATTATAGATTTATTGGAATATCTTGAGAAGAATAAACAGATCTCTGCAGTGCTGGTGTTTTTGGATGCGGAGAAGGCCTTTGATCGAGTGAACTGGAACTTTCTATTAAAGACTTTAAGAAAGATGGATTTTGGGGATCAGTTCGTGCAGGCGGTTTCAGCAATTTATCAAGAGCAAACAGCACAAATTATCATTAATGGAAGTTTAACTACAAACTTCAGTATAGAAAAAGGCACAAGACAAGGTTGTCCATTATCCCCGTTGTTTATTTTAACTCTAGAAGTCTTGTTGAATACAATACGGGACTCGAGCACTTTGAATGGAATAGTTATAAGGCAAGAGGATTACAGAACAAGGGCATTTGCAGATGATCTGGTTGTAACTCTAACACGGCCGATGGAATCAATAATTCAGATGAAAAACATTATAGAAGAATATGGTATGGTATCAGGATTTAGACTGAATCAGAAAAAAACCAAGATGATAGTTAAAAATATGACAGTTGATCAAAAGAAGGAACTCGAAAGGAAGGCAGGCTTTGAAATAGTACCAAAGGTGAGATATCTAGGAGTTCAAGTTGCAGATTCAAATATAAAACTGTTCCAAAACAATTATGAGGTGTTGTGGCGAAAGGTGCAAAAGGATATGGAAACCTGGAAAAAACTGCAGCTGTCTCTACTTGGAAGAATAGCAGCAGTTGAAATGAATGTTCTACCTAGATTTTTATTTTTGTTTCAAATGATTCCGGTGCTTAAAAGTGATAAACAGCTGATGGAATGGCAAAAAGGAGTGAATAAGTTTGTTTGGAATGAGAAAAAGCCAAGAGTTAAATTGAAAATTATGCAAGATGTTCGTGAAAGGGGTGGTCTTAAACTTCCAAACCTACGATTGTACTATGAAGCAGCAGCGTTGACACAAGCAAGTGATTGGTTTGGAAGGACAAAGACTGGAATATTGAATATAGAGAGTTATGATCTTGAACTTGGTTGGCATGCATATTTATTCTATGAAAATAAAGTGGATAAAGTATTCAACAGCCATATGCTTAGAAACTCCTTGATGAGAGTATGGAAGAAGCACCGGTTCAAATGGGATTATAAAATACCGTTGTGGTTGGATCTTGGTCATATCATACGGAATATAAATATAAAGTCACTCGGGGGAGTTTTATACAAAGAAGTACTTTTTAATGATGGGGGCAGATGGCAATTAAAGACATTAAACACACTGTTGGAAGAAGGGATTAATTTAACTTGGTTACAGTATAATCAACTTCAACTGAGATGGAGAGAAAATCAAAAAACTGGTTTAATGTTGCATGAAGAAGAATTGGTTAGACAGATAAAAGAGAGAGGCCCAATGTATATCAAGAGGGTTTATAATGTTTTGTTAGAAAGAGACTCAGAAAATGAATTGGTTAAAGATTGTATGATAAAATGGGCACAAAATTTTGCAGAACCAGTTATGATGGAAACGTGGGAAAAAATATGGGTCCAGAATGTTAAATTTACGCAGTCACAGAATTTGAGGGAAAATTTTTTAAAAATGTTTTATAGGTGGCATTTAGATCCTAAGAAATTGTCGTGCATGTATCCTAATGTTCAACCAAAATGTTAGAGATGTGATTGTTTGGATGCTACATAATATCATATATGGTGGACTTGCAAGAAAGTGAAGGCTTTCTGGATAAAAATTTGGTGGGTTATGCAAAATGTTACGAAGAAAAAACTCAAATTTTCTCCTCAATTGTTTTTATTGGGCATAGTTAAGGGTTTTTCAATGGGTGAAACAAAATTGATATTGTATATGGTGACAGCAGCTAGGTTACTGATTGGTCAATACTGGAAAAGGGATGTTTTGCCTACTATTGAAGAATGGACTTTGAAGGTGGCCAGTTTTGCAGAAATGGCGAAGATATCAGCATACTTAAAAGACCAGACTCAAGAGACTTATGTATGGGAGTGGAAGAAATGGATAGATTATGTGCAGAATAAATATCAAACTAGGAAGTACCAGATAGCTTTTAGTTGAATGTTGTGTAGAAATGTATAGTATATAGGGGGTAGAATAGTTCAATGTCATGTAGAAATGTATAGTACACGGGGGGGGGAGGGGAATAGAAGGGCTGTAAACTATGATATAATATGATTTGGATTTGGATTTGACCTTGGGGAAGTCATGGGAGGAGGGGAGGGTTAGGGAGGGGAAGGGGGGGGAAATGGGAAAATTTGTATTTGTAAAACTTTTTCAATAATAAAAAAAAAACGCTCATCCTGTAGGTAGCGAGGAGTCGCCCTTCAGGATCCTCCGCCCTCCATGGGACAAAGGGAGCCTGGGGTGGTTCTGGTGCCCATCATTTTCTTATTGGAATGATAAAATCCTGGAGTTGGAATCCCCAAATCATCAGACAAACGGCTCTTTTGCCCAAATAACTTGTGAAGTTGTAAAGTGGGTCATCATGTGACCGACCTCAATTTATGACGTTTTCTTTGTGGCAGACCTTAAACAAACCCGTTGTTCATTATGGGGCACTTTTGCCCCAAACCAGAAGTAAACGCCTGTTTTCATCAAAAATATGAATCGCAGCCATGTGACTGGGGGATGCTGTAGATGGCCATAAATGCAGGTTGGTTACGGAGCACCCATAATGCAGCCATGTGAATTGGGGTGGGGGGGAGGAATGGGGGACTGGCTGTCAGAACTTGGAACCGGGTCGAAAGGGCCTTTAGGGAGGCCCATTACAGCTTTGAATGTTTGCCAGAGTTGAGGGTTCCCTGGATCACGCACAAAGCTTTTTTCAACACAATTGAGATAAAGGTTTGGTTCCCAGCACTTATACAAGAGTCCTCAAGGTACGATGGATGGAGCCTGCCCGTTACAGTTGCAGAATGTTCCCCATCCCTGCTCTCCCTGATGTCCTTCAATGAACGAACATCATTTGCAAAATCTTGGTAGAAGCTATTTCCGGGCAGGTTCCACTTAATGGTCTCCATCCCACTTAGTAAGAGAGACTCCTGGCTCATTGCCTTTCCAAGAGTATGTACTTCACTGAAAGCAAAAGTGATTACAGAAGGAGTGAAGTGGAATCTGCCTGCTTGGCACAAAAGATGCAATTAACTTTCTCCCCTGGCCAACCCCGTTGTCAGTCAGTGTCCAATTAAAAGTCCTCTGCTGGTTTAGGTAATGGATCCCTGTTGGCACCTTCTCCATCTCGGCTTTTTTTGGCTTTCTGTTCGACTGACGCGTTTCACTTTCTGGGCTGGCACGGCTTGCCTCCCAAACTGCCCTCCTTTCCTCCCGCATCCCAGTCTCTTCCCTCCCTCCACTGCTCCTCACTGCTAATGCCCATTTTACAGTAGGCTTTGCGCTCCTATGAAAATCTGAGGCGGTGATGCTAGCGCTGGGGAGCGGCTGCAAATGCCAATGAAGCTTTGCTCACTTGCTCACCGCTTGACTCCAGCTGTGTGGCCTAGTTAGGGTTAGGCACAGACCTGTCCTGGGAGTTGGGAACCTCTGGCATAGACCATTTCATCCTAGAAGCTGACAGCATTGATCCCCACTCCTTCCTCTCCCCCATCTCAGCACAAGGAGCTTTATTATAATCTTCCAGAACTGGCGACACCAACGTTTCTCTCTCAAAAAGAAGTTCACAGGCGGGATCCGGTCAAGAAACATTTTGGTATAGGAAACCATGTCAGTAATTCAGATTAAAACTGATTTTTTTTACCCAAAATGAATAGCAAATCTGTTTCTTGTGGTCCAGAAGGAAATGTATCCCCCAAAGTCAGTAACAGACACAGAAGGTGCAGCATTGTTTGAACACTGGATCTTTATTCAAAGGTCCAAGACAAGATATTCTTCCAAGTCCCACTGAGAAAAGAAGGGCCACAGCAGCACCAGCAGGACTGTTGAACGTGTAAGGCTGTCACTCCTGCTCTTGCTGTTCCATGTTTGCGATGCCTGAATGGGGCTCCAGTTGCCATTATCCACAAAGGAGCGGAGTCTGGTAGCTCAAGCCACCGTTTGCTGTCCTCACATACAAGACTCTCTGTTATGGAAGGAAGGAACACGGTTGAAGGAAGCTGCCCACGTAAAATGCAATGACTGAGCTCCCCATTTTCCTGCCAGCATAATCACAAAAAGAATTCCAAATGGATAGAACTTCTGAACAAATGTTGATTTGAACAAAATAATATGGTTATGGATTATTAAAAATCGTATGTGGATGAAAATACTTTACCGAAGCTGGGAAAAGCGGACAATTCAATTTTCTCACAAGGCGTTGTCCTGAGTTTCAGCATCTCCATGCCTGTTAGCATTTGAAATAGTGCTAAGATCTGACTTTTTCATCCCGAGTGCTTGCGGAATATGATTACCATCTCTGTTTCCAACTAAAACACAGGGGGGAAAAAACTACTTTATACAAGGTTAATCATAGAAGAAGTCATAGAATATTGATAGAGTTGAAAGGGACCTTGGGAGTCTTCTAGTCCAACCCTTCTCAAGTGCTGATGGCTAACCTTTTTGCTGTTGTGTGCCAAAAGTGGAGAGAGCGCAGGGGGGCTGTGTGTATGCATGCCCGTACCCATAATTCAATGCGCCGAGCCCCCCCACACACATGCGCGCGCGCCCCATGCTCTCCCTGCTTTTGGCACGCAATGGCAGGGTGGGCCAGAGGCTTTCTAGGAGCCTGGGGAGGGCGAAAATGGCCTCCCACCCCCACCCCAAGGCCGGAAATAGCCCATTTCCTGACTTCTGGTGTGTGAAGACTACATATCTGAGCAGTTTACAAATGTCAGCATGTTGCCCCCAACAATCTGGGTCCTCATTTTAGCCGATCTTGGAAGGATGGAAGACTTGAGTCAATCTTGAACCCGTCAGGATCAAACTCCTGGCAGTCGGTAGAATCGGCCTGCAATACTGCATTCCAACCACTACCCCATCACAGCTCATAGATAGTAAATAAATGACAGGTTAATAATGTGAAAATAGAATTAATTTAAAACTTTTGGGGGACCTGTTTCAAGGTGTGAGGAACTAATATCGTTGCAATATATTTATCAGTATTCATCTAGGAGGGATAAAATGTGTATAAATGTTAGTGTCTTTTTAATACACCTTTTTAAATGTCTTTGTGTTTAAATGTCTGTTTAAAAAAATGGAATTTGTATTTTAACTTTTTTAAAAATAAAAATAAATTGCAAACAAAATCAAAATAATTGTGGTAACTGTCAGCTGAGACTTCTTAAAAAGGAAAATAAAGATAGCTTGGTCTCAAAGTTATACCAAGGAAGAAGAAAACTAGGAGGCCCCTAAATGAGCCAATGTGGCTGAACCAGCAGCCCCCTATTCAAGGAGACCCCAGCCCCAGAGAATGCAAAGCCTCATCTCAGAAACAGAGGAAAGGAAAGGACAAGTGGGAAATAAGAGAGGCAAAATCCAGCAAGAATGTCTTCAACTATATCAAAGGCAAAGGAGATGGCTTATTAACATGTGGAAATTACAATTATTACTTTATTATTATTAGCTTTTTATCCTCCCTTTTTTATAAATATATCTCAAGACTAACCTAATACCTCAAGAGCATACCTAATACTAAAGCCCTAGGTAAGACCACACCTAGAATACTGCATCCAGTTTCGGTCACCTCACTATAAAAAAGATGTTGAGACTCTAGAAAAAGTGCAGAGGAGAGCAACCAGGATGATTACGGGATTGGAGACTAAAACATATTAAGAACAGTTACATGAACTGAGCATGGCTAGTCTAGTGAAGAGAAGAGAAGGACCAGGGGAGACAGGATAGCAGTCTTCCAATACTTGAGGGGCTGCCACAGAGAGGAGGGGGTCAAGCTGTTTTCCAAAGCATCTGAAGGTCAGACAAGGAATGATGGATGGAAACTGACCAAGGAGAGATTCAACCTAGAATGTCCTGTACAACAATGGAAGAGTCTGCTTATGGTTTGTGGGTTTTCCATCTCTAGAAAGTTTTAAGAGGAGGCAGAATAGTCCCATTCATGGATATATTAATTGGCTTTCCTGCATATTGCAGAAAGCTGAACTAACTGATTGATCCTTGTGGTCCCTTCCAACTCTACAACTAACTTCAATTACAGCATCAAATTTAAATTTCAGATTTCTGGTACTTAAACCAACATGAAATAATTTTAAGACTTCAAAAATTCTAACAGATATTTTGTTCCACTGAATTTCCCTGATTTTGGAAAATGAAATTTATCACTGTTGTATTAGTACAGGTAAGCCTCACTTTATGACCATGACTGGGATTGGCAACTGTCACTAAGTGATGTGGATAACTTACAACCTCACTTACCCCACAGTCATTAAGAGAGTCCCTGTGGCTCGTTAAGTGAGAGCACGTGGCTGTGACTTGCTATTTTACCCCTGGCTTCTCCATTAACTTTGCTTGTTGGAAACCAGCTGTGAAACATGCAAGAAGCAGCTGTGTGAGATTGCGGAGTCCTGCAAGGATCCTGAATCTCAATCCCAGGCCTGTAGGGAGGCTAGGAAGTTTGGAAGGACCAGTCATAAAGTGACTTTTTCAGTGCTGTTGTAACTTTGGACAACAGCTAAATATGGCAGTCATTAAGCAAGGCAGTTCTTCAGAAGGAAAAATATTGCAAACTTACATAGGACGGTTTCATATGCAATTCCATGCTGGGTTAGTAAATCTGACAATTTCTGCAGATCATTGGAAAGTCGCTTATATTCCTAGAAAAAAAAAGGAGAGTAACTTCACATTGATTTTACCACAAAAACAGAATATATTTATACAAAGTCCAAGAGAGACGAAACAGCAAAGTGGAGAAGCTGTGAATTCAGAGAAATCGTCTGCAGTTTTTTCGAAGATTATCTTTAATTTAGCCATCATTAGCGAGACAGTTCTGAGATTTCACTGATGCCCTCTGTGAATTAATTAGACAGCCTAAAATAACCGCATCTAAAACAGCAAGGAAACCCAGTCAACCACAAGGGACTGTCCAAAGAGATCCTGTACCTTGCTGCACTTTTCTACAGAGTCAAATTCCAAATGTTGAAGTTGAGTGTCCTCTTTTTTCTCTCTTGTTGATTTTAAAAGGGAGCCTTCTTCAAACAGCTCTCTCAATCTTTTCTTGTATCCCTGAAAACAAAAGTAATAGTTACTTTAATTTTTCATTTTGGAAGGCTCAGATTAAGACACCGAAGACATTTTTGGTTGATCTCAGAAACTAAGCAGGGCTGGTCAGATGGAGACAATCTAGAAAGTCCAGGTTTATAGGCTAAACCACACACACCTTTTTTTTTTAAAAAAAAGAAAAGAACATTCTGGAAAAAGGCAACGGCTTAAGGTTAAAAATTAGCCAAGGGTTGAAGCATTCAACTGGGACTTCTTTTTCTTTTTTTTGTTTGCAATTTATGTTGCCATGCATTTGTTTATTCCATTTCCCTATCAAACACAAAAATTACCTTTGAAAACATTGTCAGATCAATGCTCCTCATTGCATCATAAAATCTAACATCTGCTGCAAATAATTGGGTACTAAAATGGAAAATGGATACTATTTGAAAAGCAAAATATGTACACTTTCAAGTCCTCATCAATACATTGTTTCACTCCAGAGGACTCTCAGTGGCTTACAATATCCAAACACAATTTTAAAATATTAAAAACATCACAGACCCTAACAGAGGAGAAAAACAACCACAGCAGTGAAAAACACAGCAGGGGCTCCACTAAACACACCAATCTCAGGACTGGGGACCTAGCTGGATCTGGAGCCCTGAGTGGGCAGGTGCCATGGATACCTCTTCATTTCATTTCATTTCATTTTATTAAATTTGTATACCGCCCTACTCCCGAAGGACTCAGGGCAGTGAACAGGCACAAAATAAAACACATAAATACAAAAGTTAAAACATGATTAAAACCCAATTAAATAATTTGTGCCCGAGACAATTTAAAACTCCCAATAATTTAAAACGAATTAAAATTTCAGTTTAAAAATTTAAAAAAAGGGGAGAAAATTAGGCCAGGCCGGCCTGCTGGAATAGGAGTGTCTTCAAAGCACGGCGGAAAGTGCGCAGATCCGGGATCCTCCGTATCTCCGGGGGGAACTCGTTCCAGATAGTCCCCCACAGAGAAGGCTCTCCCCCTAGGGGCCGCCAGTCGACATTGTTTGGCTGATGGCACCTGGAGGAGCCCCTCTCTATGAGAGCGTACCGGCCGGTGGGAGGCTGTTTGTGGTAGTAGGCGGTCCTGTAAGTAGCCAGGTCCTAAGCCATGGAGCGCTCTAAAGATGGTAACCAAAACCTTGAAGCGCACCCGGAAGACCACCGGGAGCCAGTGCAGCTCGCGCAGGAGAGGTGTCACACGGGAGCGCCATGTTGCTCCCATAACCACCCGCGCGGCCGCACTCTGCGCCAGTTGGAGCCTCCAGGTGCTCTTCAAGGGGAGCCCCATGTAGAGAGCATTACAATAGTCCAGGCGGGAGGTAACAAGGGCATGAGTGACTGTGTGTAGGGAGTCCCGATCCAGAAAGGGACGCAACTGGCGAATCAGGCGAACCTGATGAAAGATCCTCCCGGTCACGGCCGTCAAGTGCTCTTCTAAAGACAGCCGTGAGTCCAGGAGGATGCCCAAGTTGTGAGCCCTCTCCGTGGGGGCCAGCGATTCGCCCCCAATAGTCAGCGATGGCGTCAACTGACTATACCGGGACGTCGGAAACCACAGCCACTCGGTCTTGGATGGGTTGAGCCTGAGTCTGTTCCTCCCCATCCAGATCCGCATGGCCTCCAGACACCGAGACATCACTTCAAGGGCATCGTTGGGGTGGTCCGGGGTAGAGATGTACAGCTGGGTGTCATCAGTGTACTGGTGGTACTTCACCCCGAAACCACGGATGATCTCACCCAGCGGCTTTACATAAATGTTGAACAAAAGGGGCGAGAGGACCGACCCTTGTGGCACCCCACATATGAGGGGCCTCGGGGTCAACCTCTGCCCCCCTGCCAACACAGACTGCAACCGGCCGGAGAGAAAGGAGGAGAACCACCGTAGTACAGTGCCTCCCACCCCTAACTCTTCCAACCGGTGCAGCATGATACCATGGTCGATGGTATCAAAAGCTGCTGAGAGGTCTAACAGGACCAGGACAGAGGAGCACCCCCTGTCCCGAGCCCTCCAGAGATCATCAACCAACGCGACCAATGCCGTTTCCGTGCTGTACCCGGGTCTGAAACCCGACTGGAATGGATCCAGATACGTCGTCTCATCCAGGTGCTGGGGAAGCTGTTGTGCAACCACACTCTCGACAACCTTCACCACAAAACAAAGGTTGGAGACCGGACAATAATTAACCAACATTGCCAGGTCCAGGGAAGGCTTCTTGAGGAGAGGCCTCACCACCGCCTCTTTCAAGGCGGCGGGGAAGTCACCCTCACCCAATGAAGCATTTATAATTCCCTGGAGCCAGCCTCGCGTCACCTCCTGGGAAGCCAGCACTAACCAGGAGGGACACAGGTCCAATAAACAAGTGGTCGCGTTCAGTCTGCCCAGAATCCTGTCCACGTCCTCAGGGGTCACAGGATCAAACTCATCCCAGATAACATTCTCAAGACCTGCCCCAGTCCCTCCCCTCAAGACTACCCAGTCGGAGTCCAGATCTTCCCGGATCTGAGTGATTTTGTCATACAGATACTAAACAAAATCCTCGGCTCTACCCTCCAAGGGGTCCTCCCACGCTTCCTGATGGAGCAGGGAGCGGGTCACCCTAAACAGGGTGGCCGGGCGGTTATCTGATGACGCAATAAGAGCAGCAAAATAACTACATTTCGCTGCTTTTATCGCCACTAGGTAATTCCTAATATGGGATCTTACCAGTGTCCGGTCCGATTCAGAAAGACTGGCCCTCCAACTACTCTCTAGGCGTCTTTTCCGGCGCTTCAACTCCCTCAGCTCCTCAGTGAACCAAGGAGCCAAATGAGATCGGCGCCGGGTCAGAGGCCGCAAAGGCACGACCCGATCCAGAGCTCCAGTGGCCGCCCTATCCCAGGTGGCCACTAGGTCTCCAGTCGAGGCGTGTGCCAGAGCCTCGGGAAATGGCCCAAGCTCCATCTGGAACCTATCAGGTTCCATCAGGCACCTGGGGCGGAACCATCTTACTGGCTCCGCCTCTCTGCGGCGGGGTGCAGCGGTTTGAAGGTCGAGACGAAGGAGAGGGTGATCTGACCATGACAAGGGCTCGGTAACTATATCCCCTATCTCAAGATCACTCAACCACTGTCCAGAGACAAAAACCAGATCCAGCGTGTTTCCCCCCGTGTGGGTAGGGCCATGAATTAACTGGGTCAGGTCCATGGCTGTCATGGAAGCCATGAACTCCCGAGCCACCTCAGACGCCTCACCCACGGATGGCAGGTTGAAATCCCCCATGACCATAAGCCTGGGGGTATCAACCGCCACCGCGGCGATGACATTGAGTAGCTCGGGCAGGGCTGTTGCCACGTGGCAGGGAGCCAGGTACGTATCAGCAAACCCATCTGAACCCCATGACCCCACTTCACAAGGAGGGACTCACAGCCAGCCGTCTGAGGAACAGTGGCCTCCCTCGGTCTCAGACCTTCTTTAATAATAACCGCTACTCCCCCACCCCTGCCCTGTAACCTCGGCCGATGGAATGCGAGGAAACCTGGTGGGCACATCTCAACGAGGGGGACCCTCCCCCTCCTGGCCCAACCAGGTCTCCGTAATACCCGCCAGGTCCGCTCCCCCCCTCACAAATAAGATCACAAATGAGGGGGGCTTTATTTACTACGGACCTGGCATTGCACAGCATCAGCCGAAGGGTCGGGTCCTGAGGGTCTGTGCAACCTGGGGAATGGGTGGCGCCTTGGGGGCCGGAGCATGTGGGAGAAGGCTCTTCCAAAGGCTGTTCCAAAGGCTGCGACTATCAGCCTGGTAAAGTAATCCAGACAAGAATCCAGGTGAACTAATTCTACTATTGTACGGCTACCTTAACAGAGTTTTGCAAGTCAGAAAGAACACCCCCCTGCCCCCGCGTTGCTTTTACAGCCCAAGAAACTAGGGAGGGTCCCTTCTGAAACATTTCTCCTGCCCACATTCCCACTGTGGGCTAAGCTGCCTCTTATCTGAATATTCCCCTGGCACAGTCTCTTGATTTTATCTTTTTCACATACCATCCCAAGTGCCCCTCCCGCAACAGGCAACAAGTCACTATAAACAAGGCAGCTGGGTGTAATCAGCAGACACAAGGTGGGTGTAGAAATAGCAGCATTTTACTGCCCTTATGGAAGCCCAAATATCTAGACCTGTCTATCTAGATCCGTTCCAGTCGGGTTTCAGGCCTGGGTACAGCACGGAAACGGCATTGGTCGCGTTGGTGGATGATCTCTGGAGGGCTCGAGATAGGGGTTGTTCCTCTATCCTGGTCCTATTAGATCTCTCAGCGGCTTTTGATACCATCGACCATGGTATCATGCTGTACCGATTGGAGGGGTTGGGAGTAGGGGGCACCATGCTGCGGTGGTTCTCCTCCTTTCTCTCTGACCGGTCGCAGTCTGTGTTGGCAGGGGGACAGAGGTTGACCCCGAGGTGCCTTGTGTATGGGGTGCCGCAAGGGTCGGTCCTCTCGCCCCTTCTGTTCAACATTTATGTAAAGCCGCTGGGAGAGATCATCCGTGATTTCGGGGTGAAATTCCACAGTACACTGATGACACTCAGCTGTACATCTCCACCCCGGACCACCCCAACGATGCCCTTGACGTGATGTCTCGGTGCCTGGAGGCCGTGCGGATCTGGATGGGGAGAAACAGGCTCAGACTCAACCCTTCCAAGACTGAGTGGCTGTGTCTTCCGACGTCCCGGTATAGCCAGCTGATGCCATCACTGACTATTGGGAGCGAGTCGTTGGCCTCCACGGAGAGGGCTCGCAACTTGGGTTTCCTCCTGGATGCATGGCTGTCCTTAGAAGAGCATGTGAGTCCCTTTCTGGATCGAGACTCCCTACACACAGTCACTCATGCCCTTGTTACCTCCCACCTGGACTATTGTAATGCTCTCTACATGGGGCTCCCCTTGGAGAGCACCCGGAGGCTCCAACTGGCGCAGAGTGCGGCCGCGCGGGTGGTTATGGGAGCAACATGGCGCTCCCGTGTGACACCTCTCCTGCGCGAGCTGCACTGGCTCCCGGTGGTCTTCCGGGTGCGCTTCAAGGTTTTGGTTACCATCTTCAGAGCGCTCCGTGGCTTAGGACCTGGGTACTTACAAGACCGCCTGCTGCTACCAATAGCCTCCCATCGGCCAGTACGCTCCCACAGAGAGGGGCTCCTCCAGGTGCCGTTGGTCAAACAATGTCGAAGGCTCTGTAGGGGCACCTGCCCTCTGGAACGAACTGTCCCCCGGGATACGGAGGATTCCCGACTTGCGCACCTTTTGCTGTGCTCTCAAAACGTTTTTATTCCAACAAGCCGGGCTGGCCTAATTTTTAAACTTTTTTAATTTTTAAAATTTTAAAACAGGTGTTTTATTTGAATAACTGGGCCGAATTATTTAATATGCTTTTAAATCATTTTTAAATTTTATATTTGTGTGCTTTTACTTTTGGCTGTACACCGCCCTGAGTCCGTCGGGAGAAGGGCGGTATATTAATTGGAATAATAAATAAATAAATAAAAATATGAGTTATTATTTGCAGTGGTGGGATTCAAATAATTTAATAACCAGTTCTCTGCCCTAATGACTGGTTGGGTGGGTGTGGCTGGGTGGGTGGGCGTGGCCAGGATGGGCATGGCCAGGGGGTATGACACTCAACCTCCTGCAGCATTCTGCCAGCCAAAACGGGGTGTGGGAGTTAATTATAAAATGTGGGCTTTGCTTTGTGATATCTAGATCCAGCAAGCATGGGGTATGAACTGCACAGAAAATAGTTTTGTTTGGTTATGAAGAAATATCCCCAAAATCAGATGTACACTAAATGTAGACTGACTTTTAGCTACACATCTCTCCAGCAAACAGCAAATTTTGATGCTCCAGGTAAAGAGGATTCATTTTAGAATAAGTAACCACAGTTTGCATGTTGGAGGTTCCTAAAGGAATGCTAGGAAACTCTGTGCAGAATAGTCCTTCTCTGCCTGAGGCTGTAGAGACCCGGCACCAATCAAAACACTTTTTGTGAAGCAACTGATCAACACTGCCACTATTAAATGAAAATAAGAGCAAACTCCACTCCTTTCTAGTACTGATGAGGTTACCTAGTTTGGTAATGAAACTGATGCAAGAAAACTATCAAGCTCAGAGAGCACCAAGGAACCCACAGTTCAACCCTGAGCTACAAATATTCTATCGATAAACACTTTTTGGTGAGAGGGACTCAGAGCCTGCCTTATATGAGATGGCTCCCAGTGGATTTCATTCTAAATTTTGATATGATTTCTGTAAATAAGGAATGTAGAATTATAATGGCTGAGTATTTGATCTGTCACACATCCCCAAAAAAATAAATAAATACAAAGCTAAGGGATAAACAAATAAAAAACAGATTTGAAAAAAGAAAAGGCTCAGGAAAGAAAGAATGAAAGAAAGTATAAGAAAGAGATAAAAAGAATGACTTCCCACTTTCTTTGGTACAGATATAAGTAAAAAAATATATCCAAACTCTTACTCTAAGATTAACATTTGTCTACATTATTTCCATAATTCCTTATTTAATCATCAAAGCCCAGATCAACTTGTAATATCAGTTTCTCACAAAAAATCCAGTAATGGTTCATATCACTTTAATCACTATTAACGAAACCACAACTGATTTATTTAATTGCATCAAACTCTACAAATAAAACAGGAATGGAAAAATCCTAAACTCTAGTCTAGACCCATGCTTCTCAACTTTGGCAACTTTAAGGTGCATGGACTTCAATTCCCAGAATCCCCCAGGCAGCATGAAGTTCGCCCATCTTAAAATTTGCCAAGACTGAAAAACACTGATCTACAGATAGGGATTTTTCCATTCCTCTTTTACTGGTTCCTACTTACTTATGAGCAATCTTAATGCAAAATCCCCATTCCCAGCTCACCCTAGAGCAGGGGTTTTGGGCCTGGAAGGCCTTCTGCACCAACAGGAGAGCCAAAATGGGCTGGGGGGGGCACATGATGCCCCCCCCCGGCCCATTTTGGGTCTCCTGCATCACCCTGGAAGCCAAAATGGGGCGCGCGGAGGGACTCCTGGGAGGGGCAGGATGGATGGGTCCAGCCAGAGGTGGGATTAGCCAGTTCTCCAAACTGGGCAAAGTTAACAACCGGTTTGCCTGAATCGGTGCAAACCAACTGAATCCCACCTCTGATGATTTGTATTTATTGGGTTCATCCCGACTTTCTCCAACAGCACTTCAACAATCATACATTTAGTTCCCAGGGATTTCAGTGCACTTAATCTAGTCCTCTGTGGCTTACATTAAACAAGGTGATGCAATATATACTCTGTCTGTGTGTGTACACACACACCCTTTTAAGAAATCAGAAGCTTAAGAGGGCTAAATTTGGATGGATACCACCAAGAAATCCAAAAGCTTAAGGCTGCACTGGTAAATTAACGCAAAAGAGTAGATGGCAGTCAGTGGTAGACCAGACCCACATTATTATCAAGGAAATTGCAGCCATCCATTTAGCGAGCAGAAATCCAACGTGACTCAAGGGCTCACTTTTTTAGTTATTTATCTTGATATATATTTAAATTAGTATAAGATAAAATGCACACACCTGTTTTGTGATTAAGTCATCATAAAGCAGTTGTTCAACTTCATCCCACTTTCTCTGAAGAGCTTCAGGCAAGGTTGGATAGACTGTAGAGAAGAAATGATGGCTCTTTGAGCTCTCTCTAGACTCCATTTCCTCAAAGATTAAGTTCACAGAGACAGAGGATTACCATGCAAGCACTTTTACCATTCCTTAGCTGCCATTAAGTACCGCTATCAGCCACATCCTTGCTGGCCGAGGGAACACGAATGAGTGAAAAGGAACATGTTTGGGGAAGAATCTTATGCTCACTCAAGGAGACAAATGTTATAACAATTCTTCCCACAGGTTAATCGATTCATCGGGCGTTATGGTATCCTTGATTACTTTAAGGTATAAGATGAAAGCTTTACCTTTAACAGAATAACTGAGTTCAGCTTGACCAGTACAGAAATGAAAAGTGTAGGTCGGTTTCTCTGATATGGCGACCGGCCAGTCCTTTTGGTAAGAGACCACTAATATCATAGTCTAATCTTTCCAGTGATTAATACGGACATTTTAGCAGCAGTGAACATTCTTAATTCTTTGATTTATAACTTTACCAATCCTCACCCCTTCCTGGGGAAAAGGGGCAACTCTGGGTGCCAACGAAGTCTATGGAATTGCAAGGGTTACTGGGTTAGTTACCATCAGTTTAGCAAGGCCAGTGGACTTGTGTGTTGTTACTTGTCATATCAAAAATCAAGGCTAATTTGCAGAAACCTTTAGTTCTTGGGATCATGACACAGCAAGAAATGTTTGGGAACAAAAAATAGTTTGATATAATGGATTTATTGAACATATACAATGTCAAGATTGGAGTATAAATTGCATTGTTTCAGTTTTCTGCTTTTAATCCAAAGGAGGAATTATTTTCTCACCTAAAAGAGAATGTGGGTGACAAACAAGCGGAGTTTCAAATGTAAGAGAATAAACGCAAGTGCTTGGTTCAGATACTTGAGCCAATCTATTGTTTTTTCCACATACAAGAAGTACCTGAAAAGCAGAGGTTTGAGAATTTATAAACAGAATTCATAAACTTAACTAATTTCTCTAAATCACAGACCAGTAAAAAGAGACCTAATTAATATAATGTGCTCAATGAACTTGCAATATTTGACAGATAAAGGGAAACATTATATGTATTACAGCTAAGCAGTTGCAAACTATTCAGTGATGAATAATATATTTACATAATAAATAAATAAAGTATATCTAACTAGATTATCAAAAAATAATGTTGATTGAAATAGGAAGTGAAGTATTAAACTAGGAGCAAACAGGCTCAGACTCTCGTCCACTCTCAGCTGAAGAAGCTCATTGGGTAACTCTGGGCCAGTCCTGCACTCTCAGCTCATCCGACCTTCCACAGGATTATTATTGCAGGTGGTGACACTAATATGCTGCTTAAACTGCTTATAAAAAGGCAGGATACAAATCAAATAAATAAATAAATAAATGAATGAATAAATAATACAGAATGTAAAGATATATGTTGGCTTCTTTATTAGATCAAATTCTTTACCTTTGTTTCTCTATTTTTTGTTTCACAAGAATCTCCTTCTCTCATCCACATACCAACAAAAGTGTTGTTTTCAATTTCCCATTCATGCCAGATTCTAGGAAATAAGAATAATATACTTCAGATATTTCAAAGAAGGCCACTGGCAGTTTGATTTCAAGCCCAAGTTTAGAACAATTTGCTTAGGTCACCCTGATACCAGGGGATGAATCAGGGTTAAGCCTTGTTTATTTTTCTGGACCTCTCAGCAGCTTTTGATGCTAAAAACAATGATATCATTTTAGCAGTGTTAATGTTTACTTCCACTCATAGATGCTGCTTTTAAAAAGGAATACTACTAAGAGCTACTCTTTGTATCTGCAAAATTAAAGAGTCTTGTAGTGTTTTATCTTATACCTGTAGCAAGAAACTATAGCATTAATCCAAGAATCAGAAGCGAAGCGCACCAATATGCAGTTGACATTTGATGCTACTCCATTTCATTTATATGAAGTCATACTGTAGAAATATTGAATTTAGGGATGTAAATCGTAATGGGCCAAATTGACCTGCAACTTAGATTTACTTGACTAACCTCCCCTTAGTTCAGGGAGCACAAAACATCTTCTCACTGTTATTAACATTAGCAACACACTTTACTGTGCAAAGTCCTTAAAATGGATAGTTCTCCTGAAGAGAGAAAAGAAGGGAGGCCAAAATGGCTCCTGCGAGCCAGATTTCCTGCCCAACCCGATGGCCCCAAAATGAGTCCATTTTAAAAAGATCATTTTATTGTTTCCAAACCCCTGTGATTGGATTCTTATCCTGAGACAGTATATGAATAATTGAAATAGAGTAAATACACCATCAAATCATAGGTAAATACAATGCTGTATTTACGTGAAAGAATTAGTAGCCTCCCCCAACCCACTTTTCAAATAGTTAATCTTTAAATTAGGAATTTCCAGAAATTACATCATCAATTTTTCAGCTTTCAATCTCCCAAATGATGAAATTTGTTACAGCAGTCCATAACAATCCATTCAAAAAAAAAAAAAAAAAAAGATAACAGGTAATCCATTCAGTCATTCAAAGCTTTAATATCCAAATGTCCAATTGTTTTTAAAGTCTCCAAATCATCTTCTTTTTTTCAGTAAAAGTTGAATAGAAAAAAGAAGTTAATGGGCTCTCAGTCACGCGTTCCTTGCCGCCCCAGTTTTCCAGATGTGGTTGCGAGCACACACCGCACCCACTCCTCTCTCTCCGCCTCACTTCTCCACCCTTTGATCATCCAGTTAGTTTAAGAGAAACTTTCAAGTGATAAAATCAAGTCAGTCTCACCGCGATGACACAGGCTGTTTCTTTACTTTCTCTTCTGGTATAGCCTCCACAGCTTTTTAGCGGCTTCCTGGTCGCTTTCCCACTGTGTCCAATTTGAGGAGCTTCTTCTAGTCTTCCTAGGGGGTTTGCAGCCCCCCTGGATCGACCAGTATGTGCTCCTCTTGTTGGTTGTCTCTTCAGGACAATTTAGGTCACAAAAGACCCTCGGACATCGGGGATATCGGCTACTCTTTAGAAGCCCCTAAAGAGTAGCCACTGCTTTTGGCTGCACCTTCTTTTTTTTTCTTTTTTCTTTTTTTTTTGAAAGATTGAAAAAAAAAATTTTTTCTTGAATACCACAGTTCCAGAGGCAAGTTGTTACAATGACTAACTGTTCTGTCAGGAAGTTTCTCCTTAGTTCCAGGTTGGGTCTCTCTGAGGAGCTTCCATCCATTGTTTCTTGTCCTGCCTTCAGTGCTTTGGAAAATAAATCAACCCCCTCTTCCCTGTGACAACCCTTAAAATATTGGAAGGCAGGTAATATGTCACCCCTATACCTCTTAGGCTAAACATACCCTTAGCCAGTGATTGTATGATTCAGCCTCCAAGTGCCGTATCATATAGAAAGGGTGCATCTTCTCTGCACCCTTTCTATAGCTTCAACATCTTTTTGCCATTCTTCCAAGTCCCTGTGAGGTACAACACATTCCTGTCCAAAGTCCCTCCTGTAGGTAAACCATAGTCTAGAAATCCAAAGTTCTCTTGAAAGCACCATCCCTTGTGACAGGGGGCTTACTTCTAGAATCCTCCATTCCCTCATTGGCTGTTGACCTTTTGTTGGAAGTACAGATGAGAACACTACCTGTGCTCCTATCTCTTTGGCTTTCATGCCTAGCTCCTCATAGTCTCTTGATATTGTTTTCAAGCTCTTTGTTTATCATTTGCCCCAATATGAAAGAGACAATAATAATTGATGGGCTTGATTAATTTTCATCCGGTACTGTTTTAAAATATTGTCTTCAGCCCTGCACCACTTTCCAACTCTTGATTTTTTCCAAACACTTGCCGTTTGCAGCTGCAACCACATTTACAAAAACTGTCTTCCCACAATTCCTACCCCTCACTTCCACTTGAGTGTTTTGGTAGTTGGGTACATTACACAACCCCATAAATTATATCCCTAAAAATGACTGATTTTAGAAACAGAATAACAGAGTTGGAGGTCTTCTAGTCCAACCACTGTTCAAGCAGGAAACCCTTTATCAGTGATGCCGAACCTTTTAGAAACCAAGTGCCCAAACTGCAACCCAAAACCCACTTATTTATTGCAAAGTGCCAACACCAATTCAAACCTTTGTCAGAGTACAGCATGTGTACAATGAGATTGGCTGAGCCTCCCTTCGTGCACCCCCCCCAACACAATACAACTCACAGTGAAAGACAAAAAGAAATCCCTAGCTCAGTGGATCCTACTAACACACACTCAGTCCTATTGCACCATGTGAACTTATTGCATGTTGTGCTGGCCCCACAAGTCCAGCGTGCTATGTTGTTGTAGAGATATTTTTCATTCAGGAGTTTGACAGCCCACGGATAAAAACTGTTCTTCAGCCTGTTTGTGCAGCTGCCTATGCTTCTATATCTCCTTCCAGATGGTAGGAGAATAAAGAAGGGCTGACCAGGTAATTAAGGATTAGAAATTGTGTGGATTTTGAGATACACTCCCGGGATTGATTAAATATTGTTAATATTTGGCTTTATTAGTAATCCTACACATTTGGAATGTTTGGAAAGTTATGGGGGAATAATGAGGAATTTTAAAAATATTAAATATTAGTAATTTAGTAGGGGGTAACAAATACATGGCACAAAGAAATGTTATCTATGTTTAGTGTCCAATCACACTTGGCCAATAAAAAATTCTTCTTGTAAATGAATTAATGAGAAAAATGATAAAGAATTATTGTTGAAGTTGGAAGATTAGGATTACACATACTTATTTATATTATTATTGTTAGCATTGTTTAAAAAAGATTTGACCCAGTGAATACATTGTCCACAAAATATGCATGGTGTGAAAATATATATATATAAAAAAAAAACACAGACAACAGTGAAGAGGAAGGTGGCTGTGGAGCTGGATCCTCTTACCCGAGAATCCCGCTGTAGGCATTCCATCGGAAAGTTTGCTCGTGTTGGGTGACGTTATAAAATGGGCAGAACTCGTATTTATACCTAAAATTTCAAAACAAGTCAGAGATTTATTTCCACTTTTTAGAAGGCGGTGATTTTTAAAATGCACGTCTACGGTAATTAAACAACTTACGTGGATTCCAGGTAAGCAAAGCATTTGCCCGCCAGCCTAAAAAGATGTTCAGGCCCTGGGAAAGGAAGGGGTTGAAATCCGATCAGGCTCGAAATGAGGCCGCCTGGCGGTTGGGAGACCCCGCAGCCCCGCCGGACCCTCCCTCGCCCTGCCCGGCTCACCCGAGATGGGGGAGGGCGCCGCTCTGGGCTGGAGCCGGTTGGAGGGCGGCAGGAAGGGGTTGTTCAGCCTTCTCGGAGACGGAGGGGAGACAGAAAGACAGAGACCTTTCAGAACCGCGGCGCGCGAGGACCAAGCGCCGCCCAAGCCCACCGCCGCCGCCGCCGCCTCACCCGAAGCTGTTGGGCTCCTCCACCACCTTCATCTTCCCGGCAGCCGCGAGTCCTGGAAGGCGAGAGAGAGAGCGAGAGAGACGGGCAGCCACGGCGGAGGCCCCGGCAGCGCCTCGCGGGAAGGACGGCCATCTCCTCACCTCCCGCCAGCAGCAGCGGCAGCAGCCAGGGGAGCCGGAGCGGCCGCAGCCTCTTCCCCGCGGGGCCCCGGGCCGCCATCTTCGCGCCTCCGGAAGGGGCGGGGCGTTCTCTTCCGGAGCCACTCCCTGCGATTGGCCGACGGTGGGCGGAGCCATTGGCTCGACCCGGAAGCGGAAGAATCGGAGATGGGCCGGGGGCGGCGGCGGCGGCCGAGGCGGCCGGGCGGGGTGCGATGCCTGGAGACCTTCCCAGAGGCGCTGGGCGGTGAGGGCGCGGCGGGCGGCGGCGGCGGCGGCGGGGGGGCCGGGCGGGCTTCTAACGCTCCCTGACGCGCCTCCTTTTCTCCGCAGGCTCCTTGGAGGATGGCGGCGAAGGCGAAGGCGAAGAGGCGAGGGCCGCGGCCGGAACCCCGCACCGCCTGTGCCCGCTGGCCATGTGGGACCTGGGCCAGTGCGACCCGCGGCGGTGTACCGGGCGGCGGCTGGCGCGGAAGGGGCTGGTGCGGACGCTCCGCCTGGGGCAGCGCTTCGGGGGCCTGGTGCTCAGCCCCGCCGCCGCCCGCTTCCTCTCGCCCGCCGACAGGTGAGCGCCCGCTCCCCCGCCTCCCGCTCGCCGGTGCCCGCCTGCTCAGTGGCTGCTCTTGGGGGGCTTCGGCTGCTAGAGGAGCCTGGTGGAGCGGATCGGTTCATGGCCTCCCGGACCCGTTGCTTGCTTAAGCTGCCGGCTCCCTTGCCAGCTCCACCCTGGGGAAGCTCCTGCGCTGCCTCCGCCGATCGGCCTTTTGCGACTGGCATCATCTGACTGGTCCAGATTCCCGAACACTTTCTGAATTGCAGCACACGGAATCCAAACATTTGTGTTACTGATTTTAAAATATTTGATGGTTTGCAATGTTGCTTTCGTAGTATGATGGTAGCTTTTTGACCCTTTTTCTTCTTCTGGCAGCCTACAAAATTAATCTGATTTCCTGACAAGTCAGCAAAACAGAAATATCCCATATTAAAAGGCAAGTGTATTTTCAGGGAGGTTGTGACCCAGAATGGAGTTGCCGTGATTGACTGCTCTTGGGCAAAGCTGGACAAAACGCCGTTTAGCAAGATGAAGGGAAGTCATCTCCGGCTGTTACCCTACTTGATAGCTGCAAATCCAGTGAATTATGGACGGCCATACAAACTTACTTGTGTGGAAGCTTTTGCAGCTACCCTCTGCATTGTAGGTGAGCTGCAATAAATATTGTTTGGATTCCTTATTTTACAGATTAGAGGAATATTTATATATACACATATACATACATATTTGTCTGTAGCTGTTTGTCATGTGAGTGAAAAAAAGTTGTTCTGCCAAGCATTTTTTTTTTATTTATTGTGTTGGTTTATTACTAATCTCATCCAAGATTCTGGGTAGTTTATAAATATAAAATAGAAAAAAATATAATAAAAGTCCATGATACATAGACTACCAAAGCACATTTCTTGACCCATGGATAAGATAAAATCTCAAATTCACAAGCTTCATATATAAGATTCTTTTAATAGCCTTGACTGAGAAGTATATTTCACCAGTAAGATATGCAAATTACCTTTGAAATGTTTGATCCTTGCTGAAGTTATTTTCCTTATTTTAGGACACACTGATCTAGCCACAGTTCTTTTGCAAAAATTTAAATGGGGAAGTGTGTTTCTTGATCTGAACAAAGATCTCCTGGAAAAATATGCAGCATGTAGCTGTGAAGAGGAAGTGTTAAGGGTTGAGAATGAATTTCTGAACCATGTCCAAGAAAAAGATGAAACTGGTAGGACATCCCAAGTTTTTTTTTTTGGCTGCTTAGAGAAGAAGAGATAGAATTGAATTGGCGAATTAGTGATGCTTTTACCAAAATTTTAAAGTAAATTTAAATATTTGGGTCAAGATAAAGTGAGAAAGAAACCACTTAATCACACACAGGGGATAGATAGTCCACATTAATTGGACATATGTCGATATGACAATTTGAACCTGGTCATTTGTGCCTCGAATAAGAACTCTATTGATATATTCAATGATTTATTTTTTTATTTTTAATTTTTATTTATTTATTTATTTATTCTGGTTAACATTCCAAGAAATTTTGATGTAGTAAGAAAAAGTGAGGAATCTTTTATCCATAATCCATGAGAAGTAATCATAATGGTGAACAAACAGTGGGGATTTCTCAGTGGTATCAAGCAGCCATAATAAATGTCATTAATGCTGTATAACTATTCCCAAATACAGGAAGGAGCCCTCTCCCAAACCCCTAAAATGCCCTCACAAATTGATGATGATTTATCCCATACCTGTTCTTTCAAGTCTCCCAACGGCACATTCATCACCCTTCTATCTGACTCCATCTTGTTGCTGGGTAACCTCATCTCTTTCCTTCCATCTGGGAACAGCATTGGAGACTTTTTTTAATGTGTCCAAAATAGGATAATTTGAATTTGCTCATCTGTGCCTCGAGTAAAAACTCTGTACTGATATATTCAGTGGTTTGTTTTTTATTTTATTTATTTTGCTATTCACAGTATTCTCAATTTTCTCCAACACAAGTTCAAAGGCTCCAAAGCTCTTCCTATCCTGCTACTTTAAAGCCCGCCTTGGTCTGTCCCACTCACTCCAGCGGGATGATGCCTACTACACATCCCATCTGCCAACCAATTTCAGCTGGCAGGGTGCAAGAGAAGAGCCTTTTTCTGCCCGGCCCCACCCTTGTCTCTCACCTGACATGACATCAGCCCCTGCACTTTCCAAAGAACCTTAAAATCTGGTTCTGCTGTCTGATCTGTTGCTTGGCATATTACAGCAGGTCTCCTGTAGCCTTCCAACTTGATAATGACTGGAGCACTAATCTAACTTCATGCTGTAGGACTAGAGGTTCTTGTAAAAGTATGGAAGATTTTCTAAACAGTCTTGGACAGTTTTCTAAGCAGTCATGTCTACTGCATAGAATTCCATTATACTCCTCACATCTTTGTGAGTTTTTGGAATAAGTTACAGTCCATTGTCACCTTTTCGCACACCAATTTGAGATCGGAGCCTCCTGCTGAGATCTTTTGAAAGACTTTCCTTGCTTTCCATGCTGCTTCCATCTTCCCATCCCTAGAAAAGCTAATGCAGAATAATTCAGATTCGTTCCTGAAAATTACTTGGCGAATCCTTCCTCTGCCAGAGAAGCTGGTGGTTTAACATTTGTTTGGGATTTGTGGATTTAATGAGGAATTTAAATTAATAGTTGTTACCTTACTTTTCTGGTAGGTCAGTGGATGGGGACTTTTATTTTAACAGTCTTTTATGTTTCCCCCCCAGATCCTTTTGATGTTGATTCAGGAAAGGAATTTTTTATACTCAACGGGCCTTGCAGAACCACAGAGTAAGTTTTCTAAAGGATTCCTTTAAGAGTTTCTAGAGATCATTTGTTATAGAGTAACCCTGATCTCCATTTGTTAGAGCAACTGCTGCAGATGAAAGCTCCTCTGAGGAGACCCCTGAGGACAGCGACAGCAGCAGCAGCAGTAGCAGCAGCAATGAGGACCTGAACACAGCCTGTTCTGGAGCCAGTAAATCAGCCGCATGGAGGCAAAAGAGCATTCTCAAAGAGAAGAAGTTTCACTGAATGTAGTAACAAGGTTTTGCTCAGAGTTAGGATACAAATTGGACAATGTTCTTCCAGTCTGAAATACTTCATTCAGCCCATGGGCCTTGTCTATCAACTGAGCTGTGTGATGAACTTCATTAATACACTGCTTGTCAAATATAATTTTACTAATGCAATATCCATATCCTGGTCTTATTTTTTTACTTAGCATCTCAGTTAATTATTATTCCAAGAATTGTTTTGAGATGATGGAGGAAAAACCAGAAGCAACTTCCTCATATTTGAGATCACTACTTTTTGGTTATTTGCTATTTCGGTTCTTAATATGTTGTGGATGGATAGTTGATAATAAATGCTCTAAACCAAAAATTACAGTAGAAACCGGCTTCTCATTGTTTTTGAAGGGTCTGGATCCAGGAAATTGCAGACCAATCATCTTGACATCAGTACCTGGGAAAATCCTGGAAAAGAGCATCGATCAGTGAATTTGTGAGCATTTAGAAATGAACAAGGTGATTACTGGAAGCCAGTATGGGTTTGTTAAAAATAGATCAAGCCAAACAAAACCCACTGCTCTTTTTGATAAAGTGACTAAATTAGTGAATCAGGGAAATCGTGTGGATATAATATACTTGGACTTCAATAAGGCATTCAACAAAGGTCATAGCTTGCTTCTTTTTAAGATTGTGGAATAGACTATATTACCACCAGATTGATTCACAGTTGGCTGACCAATCACATTCAGTGTGGAGCTACATCTTCATGGAGGAGAGCATGTTGTAGGGTTCAGTCCTGGGTCTGGTGCTCTTCAACATCTTCCTAAATTATCTAAATGAGGGGCTAAAATTAAATGGCTTGTATGATGTCTTGCCGCCGGGGCGGGAGGTGGGGGGTTATTTTATTATGTATGTTTTTCTCTTATTGGTTTTATATGTTTTTAAATTCTTGTAAGCTTGCCATGTGCAAATAGGCGGCAATATAAATCTCATAAATAAATAATGGAGAACTCATCAAACTTGTAGATGACACTAAGCTGGGGGAATTGCTTTGGAAGATAGACGCAAGAAGAAAGGATCTTGACAGACTTGAGCACTGGGAGCTATCCAATAAAGATGCAGTTCAGTGATGAAAAAAGTAAGGTCCCGCACTTAAGAAGGAAAAACCAAATGCATAGGTATAGACTAGGAGGCATCTGGCTCAACAGTAGAAATTGTGAGAGGGTCTTTGTATCCTGGTGAATGACTGCTTAAATAGGAGTCAGCAGTGCATTGCCTCTGCTAAAAAATGCCATTCTAGGCTGATTCAGCAAAGGGATAACATCACAATCAAGGACGTGATAGTTCTGCTTTCTACTGATGAGACCTCACTTGGAATCTAGTTCTGGTGACCACAATTTTAAAAACATGCTGAGGCCCTGGAGATAGTGCAGAGAAGAGCAACAGGGCTTCAAAGCTAAATCTTACAATGTACAGCTAAGGAAACTAGGTACGTTTAGTCCAATGAAGTGAAGGCTCAGGGGAGACATGATAGCAGTCTTCCAAAACTTGAAGGCTACTACAGGAAAGAGGCCATCGAATTATTCTCCACAGCACCTGAGGGCAGGAAAAGCAGCAATGGGTGGCCGACCAAAGTGAGATTCAACCTGGAAATGAGGAATTTCCTGACAGTAAGAACAGTTAATCACTGGAGCAACTGGCTTCCTGGAGTAGTAGGTGCTCCATTGGAGTTTTTCAAGAAAAGACCAGACAATCATTTGCCTTGGGCAAGGGATTGGCCTAGACGACCTCGAAGATTCCTTCTGGCTCTAGGATTCTGGGAGTCATGCCACAGTCCCTTATTTATGGAGCACGGGAGGGGCAATGCAGGGCTCATGTCTCTCTCCCCTTCAGAGGGAACTCAATTATAGTTTTGAAGTGAGACTCAAAAGTGCTGACCCAGTGTCTGGAGGCTATATGGGCCTGGATGTGAAGAACAGATTGGGACTCAAGAACGGGGTAATAGTGGCCAAAAGGGCATCTGGTTCACCAGTTGTGCCTATTTCTGGCTCATAAGCTCTTCAGAAAATGACTCGTGCCTTGGCCATCTTGTGATTTGGATTGCTAGCGTCCTCTATATGGGGCCACCCTTGAAGACCACTGGGAAGCCACAGCTAGTCCAGAATACAGCAGTATAGGCAGTCCTGGCCGGATGACAATATATGCACTTTTTTAAAAAAAAAATTGATTTATATGCCGCCCTTCTCCAGAGACTCAGGGCGGCTTACAATGTGCTAAGCACTTCCTCTGCTGTTTCATGAGTTACACTGGTTACTGTTCGGTTTCTCACGCAATTCGAGGCACTAGTGAAAGCCCTTTGTGAGTTAGGACCCAGCTACCCAAGGAAATTGCCCAATGAGGTCAGAGTAGACTTTAGCAATGTCACAGGACCCAGAAAGCACAATGATGGCTCCTGCTCTCTGGAAATCTGTATTGTTCCCAGGCTATTGATTTTTCACAACTTGCTGAAAACTGGTTGTTCTCCAGGTCTTGGAATCAATGTGTTCCAGTCATCCGTCTCCTCTTTGATAAAGATTTTAATTTTACTTCATTGTGAATCGCCCAGAGTTGCGTGGTCTCAAAACTGTAATATTAAATAGCAACTAAAATACTGTATTGTAAGATGTTAATCTTATAATAAACCTTCTTTACTTGACTCCAGGGTGATACTCTGAGGGATCTTTCTGCTCTCTGGTGCCTCATTTGGCTGAAGGTACTAGAGTTAGCCTTTTTCAGTGCAGCGTAATGAGGCCAAAACTTTTGTCTTTTGCCACATTATGGACAAATTTTAAATCCAAACCAATTTTTTAAAACAATTCTGCATTGCAGCAAAGTTGTTCTCAAAGTGATAATTAACTTGTTCTATTAGAGCCAGGTAGCTTTCAGAGTCAGGTGGCTGAGTATGTCATAAGAACATTGTCACTTAAATCCAGAAAGCAAACTACTGGATGCTTTGGGTCTCATCAGTTAAATGGGAATGAGAACCCCCAAGAGTTGGATCACCACGACCTCTTTGACTTTCTGCAAACTGCTTGAGGCGCAACATGAACCACCACTTGGGTTGTTTTTTTCTGTTTGATTTTTTTGAAATTTTGTCTCTCGTCAGTCATCTTCTTTCACTCGATATACTGCTTATTCTTTTACTTACCTGTGAGCCACCCAGCGTCACTATGGCATTGGGCAGCCTCAAAATTAAGAACTATGAATGGATCAGGTCTCCTGACGATCACCCACAAGAGCTTCATGTAAATATGATGCAGCATGCATAAAGGAACAGAACTGCAAGGCATGAGTCAGCTGGAGATTGAGTAGAAATTCTCACAGCATCACTATTGGCAGCCCACCATTCAAGCAGCAAGATTCACTTTGGTTTCCTATGAAATCTTTCAGAATGCTATAGTGTGTCATTGGCAGTTTGCATTTGGGCATGAACTTCAGAACAAAGTAGGCCATAACAATAAGTGGGAACTGGCTGTTCCTTACCAATCCTATAAAAATTATTGGCTTTTTATGAACATTTGCTATAGCAAACAGTAACAGCTTTTTTCTGCCTGCAAACAGCTATTAGAGCCAAGAGTGACACACCAACATTAATTTTAGCATAAAATTTTATTCTTGGGCTTTGGAATAGGGCAAATCGCTGGAGCCCATGTGGTTATGGACTGAATTTCTCAGGTTTATTTTTAATCTCAGCTGATCTGTTTTTTCCCTAAACTTGCTTTGAAATATATTTTGTATTTGTATGTTAGTTGCCTGGAGATGCTACTTAATTGAACAGGAATTCATGAACAAACGCAGGATTAGGAAAAATGCTGCTCTTTTGAGTACTGTTTAGACTTTTCCTTTTGTGCCGGAAAAACAACACAGAAAAGGTGTAAAAACAGCAATAAATCCAGTTTGCAGTTTGGCAGCTATTGCCTTCATGATACAGTAAATCAGTGTGGCTTTATATTTTTTTGACTCTATCAAGAAAACCTGTATTTCCTGCTTTGACCTATCCATTTTTCTATATTTTTGCCTCAGCAATTAAAAGCCAATTGAGGAATGGCCAGGAAGTCCAATGGTGTCAACACGGGTTGAAACCAGAACATTGGATGCTTTTTCCCCAAGTTTGTTTGTTTCCAAAACATGAAAGTTTTTGGCATCCCTATCAGAAAACCAGGTCTGACTGAAATGTCCTTTTATCTAGGGTTGCCCAAATTCAGACTAGATTGCTGGTCTTTTAAAGAATATGGAGGTGTGCCAATCATACCTTCTTCCTGATCCAGTGGGGCTCTGGAAGTGATTCTTGGTAAAAGATTTAGGAGGGGTGTGAATCACATCTTCAACTCTCCCAGTGCTTCATGTTCAGATAATTCATCTTGGAAAATACCCTGACCAGCCCTGGAGGAGAATTGGCATATTCTGGAGTTCTCTGGAAAGTCCCTGTCATGGCATGGTAAGTCTTGCAAGTGCCTAATAGCCTTTTGCTTTTTTTAGTGAACAGATATTAACCCATATTTTAATTGGCATTATTTGTGGTTTAAAAAGAGTCAGATTACATAGCAAGTTCCAGACCTAACCATATTTTTTTTTTTTGTAAACTCTCACAAGTTTGTCAGAGAATTAAGTTAAACTCAATACAAAATTTAACATTTCTCAATTTAACATTTCTCAATTTTCAAACATTTCTGCTCTTTCCATCATTGACTTTTTAGTGTAACCATAAACAATTTAACTGCATTTTAGAGATGTATGAAAAGCAGAGTTAAAATACTTAAAAACTCCTGGATCTCCTGGTATGGTTTGCTGACAGCTACAGCAGACAAACCCATCTACTTAGTGTCACCCAGTGTTTCCCTTCACCAGGTGTTCAATGAAACTACTGCACATCAAGTTGTGCTATCTGCATTGTAGAGCAGTTGTTTCTCCAGTGGTGTAATATTGAAGAAATGGGGAAGAAAGCGAGACAAAAAACTTTATAGAAACAGTTTATTTACTCTAAACAGCAACACAGACAAAACTCCATAAACACAAAGGAGGTGACGCAGAATCAAGATGCGGCTGACTTTGGATCCAAGGCATTTATGCAACAATCTAATTCCTTATTGGTAGAAAACAAAAGGGAATGGAGGATATGTTTTTTTTCTTACCAGCCAAGTAGAGGAAAAAAAAAAAAAAAAAAAGACACCCCCTCCCAAACATTTTAAAGCGTGCCTGCATCTGAGAGCAAAGAAACTAGAGATACTAGTGAATTTATAGAAGTATAAAAGTTTATAGTTTACAGCAGTTGAAATACTGACATCAATATTAAAATAAAAGCAAGTTTTACATAACAATCAAAAATACAAAAGA